ACCGCCACCACCTCCTCCTCCACCACCACCGCCACCACCTCCACCACCACCACCACCTCCACCACCGCCACCACTACCACGGTGCGATGGCAGCACAGCTTCAGGGCAACCTCTCTACCGGCTCTACCTCCAGCCGGCCCGACCAATCACGAGGCAGCTGCACCGCCTTGCAGCACGTCCAGCGACCAATCACCATCCAGCTCCACTGACCTATCACCAGCCAGTCCCACCGTCCGGCCAGCTCAACCAATCACCATCCAGCTCCACTGACCGATCAGCAGCCAGTCCCACCGTCCGGCCAGCTCAACCAATCACCATCCAGCTCCACTGACCGATCACCAGCCAGTCCCACCACCTGGCAGCCCGACCAATCACTGTCTAGCACCACCGACCAATCGCCATCCAGCCTTACAACCGCCTGCCAGCACCACCGACCAATCACCATCCGGCCCCATCACCCACTGCCAGCCCGACCAATCACCAGTCAGCACCATGGACCGATTAACCACCCAGCACCAATTAACCACCCAGCACCACGGACCAATCGCCATCGAGCCCCACCACCGCCTGCCCGCCCGACCAATCATCACTCAGCACCACGGACCAATCACCGCCTGGCAGGCCGCCCCACAGACAGCCGTGCGAGGCAATGCGTTGCGTGTCGCCGCACCGCCCTCTGCTGTTGCCCAGGGCTCAGTGCCACAGGGGGGAGGGGGGCCCGGGAACAGGGCTTTGAATCCTGCCCCCCCCCCCACTCCTCCCAACGTGGCTTGGCTTCCGAAATCGGTGCGGAGTTGGAGAGGGGGGTTTCCGATTCCGGATGATTGCAAACTGAACTGTGAAACAATTTTTTTTTGGGGGGGGGGGGAGGGTATTTTACCAGGTTGTAAGACGCCACACAGCAGCTAGATTTGTTCGGAAGCGAAGCTGGCCACCGCAAATGATCGCTCAGCGAAGTGGCGGATTGCCATCAGCGTCAGCATCATCGCGTGCAAATTTATAGGATGGGGTCAAAAATAAGGGGCGCCTCCTCCTCCTCTTAACAACGCTATTTGGTTCCATGAAATCGGTCGTTAAGCGATTTGGTTCCACGAAACCGGTTGAAAAGCGATTTGGTTCCACAAAACCGATTGGTAAGCGATTTGGTCGTGAAGTAAGTAGAGGGAAAATCCACGGGCAAAGGCCTAATTCGTTCCTATGGCATAGAAGGATACCCCCTTTTTCACCCCCCCCTCCCCCCCAAAAAACTTACTTTATAATATTCTTGGTTCTTTCGGAAAAGTCACCACGTAGAAGGGAAGTAATAAAATAATAAAAAATAAAACAACAAAATCAATTTTATTATTTTAAGAATATGAATCCCTGCAGTCACGAAAGCTTTAAATCGGAATTTTATTTGTGATATTTAAACAATGGATAGTAATAGATAAAGACACGAGCAACGTTATAAACATTGTAATGATCCTGGTTAATCGATGCATTAATATTTACTGTACCTACAATGGTTCGTCGTTAACAGTGGATAGGTCAGAAAGCGAACACATTAGACTCTTTGGAGGTACTTACACTACAATACACTGTACACTACTGTACACTGCAATATACACTGTGCAATACTGTACACTACACTATACACTACACTACTATACACTATACACTACTATACACTACATTATACACTACACTATACACTACACTACTATACACTACACTACTATACACTACTATACACTGTACACTACATTATACACTACACACTGTACGCTACTGTACACTACACTATACACTGTACACTACTATACACTACACTATACTACTATACACTACACTCTACATTACTATACACTACACTACAATACACTACACTACTATACACTACAATACACTACACTACTATACACTACACTACTATACACTACAATACTATAAACTAACTACTATACACTGCACTACTATACACTGCACTATACACTACTTTATTATATACTACTACACACCACGCAACTATACACTATACACTACACTACTATACACTACTATACACTACACTACTATACACTACACTACTATACACTACACTACTATACACTACACAACTATGCACTACACTACTATACACTATAATACTATAAACTAACTACTATACACTGCAACTACCATACACTACACTATACACTACTTTACTATATACTACCATACACCACGCAACTCTACACTACACTATACACTACACTACTATACACTACACTACTACACACTTCACTACTATACACTACACTATACACTACTATACACTACACTATAGGCTACTATACACTGCACTACTATACACTACACTACTATACACTACACTACTATACACTACACTACTACACACTACACTACTATACACTACTACACACTACACTACTATACCATACCTGTCAACCCCTGATCAGTGCCCTACCTTATCGCAGACCAACTCAGGCCTTATCGGTCACCCCTTGTCCCTTATAAATCTCAACGTTCATCCTACAAAGTCCCACCATCGCAAGGGAGAAACACAAATAAATAGACAACAATTATTATCAGCGTTATTTTTGTTGCTGTACGTACCTGAACACTCCATCTCCCTGCGCTAGAATACGGAGTAAACCGTGATGGGTTGACAGCCATGGAGTTAGCACGCTTTTATTCAAACGTTCTTGGCTGTTACAACCGGTGGTGGTGCGCGGAATGATGATCATGATGATAATAATAAAGCAATGCTTCAAATTTTCAGCAATCATTATTTGTTTATTGCAACTACCACCCCCCCCCCACCGAGGTGGATTCCTTCGGAGAAATGGCTTCGTTCGTGACGTCGAAAGCGGTCGAGTTGGACGGAACGGGTAACTGAGTGACAGGGTAGTTGGGTGGCTGTGTAGCTGGATGGCTGGATAGTTGGATTACTGGGTGACAGGATGGTTGGGTGGCTAGGCATTTGGGTGGTTGGATAGTTTGGTGACTTTGTAGTTGAGTGGCTGTATAGTTGGGTTACTGGGTGACAGGATGGTTGGGTGGCTAGGCATTTGGGTGGTTGGACAGTTTGGTGGTTGTGTAGTTGAGTGGCTGTATAGTTGGGTTACTGGGTGACAACATAGTTGGGTGGCTAGGCATTTGGGTGGTTGGACAGTTTGGTGGCTTTGTAGTTGAGTGGCTGTATAGTTGGGTTACTGAGTGACAGGATGGTTGGGTGGATAGGCATTTGGGTGGCTGGATAGTTTGGTGGCTGTGTAGTTGAGTGGCTGTATAGTTGGGTTACTGGGTGACAGGATGGTTGGGTGGCTAGGCATTTGGGTGGTTGGATAGTCTGGTGGCTTTGTAGTTGAGTGACTGGATAGTTGGGTTACTGGGTGACAACGTAGTTGGGTGGCTAGGCATTTGGGTGGTTGGACAGTTTGGTGGCTTTGTAGTTGAGTGGCTGTATAGTTGGGTAACTGGGTGACAGCGTAGTTGGGTGGCTAGGCATTTGGGTGGTTGGACAGTTTGGTGGCTTTGTAGGTGAGTGGCTGTATAGTTGGGTTACTGGGTGACAGCATAGTTGGGTGGCTAGGCATTTGGGTGGTTGGACAGTTTGGTGGTTGTGTAGTTGAGTGGCTGTATAGTTGGGTTACTGGGTGACAGGATGGTTGGGTGGCTAAGCATTCGGGTGGTTGGATAGTTTGGTGGCTTTGTAGTCGAGTGGCTGGATAGTTGGGTTACTGGGTGACAACGTAGTTGGGTGGCTAGGCATTTGGGTGGCTGGATAGTTTGGTGGCTTTGTAGTCGAGTGGCTGGATAGTTGGGTTACTGGGTGACAGCGTAGTTGGGTGGCTAGGGATTTGGGTGGTTGGATAGTTTGGTGGCTGTGTAGTTGAGTGGCTGTATAGTTGGGTTACTGGGTGACAGGATGGTTGGGTGGCCGTGTAACACCCCAGAATTGAGGGAGCAGGGGAAGCTCTTAAGGGGAGGGGGAAGTGAGGACAAACTGGTTCGGAATGTTCCGATGCCAATCATCATTACTAGGTAGGGTTGGGCTTTTAATTAGTAACAGGTGCGAAGCTGCCGTAGGCCCCTTAGACTCCTCTATAAGAGGCGGGTTCAGAGACCGGGGAGTCTCGCTCGCCCTCGGCGTGTCGCTGCTGCCGGATCGGAGGCGATGGGCGACTCCACAGCGGTTGGTGACGCGGACGTTGACGCGGTGGATGACGTGGTGGATGACGCGGTGGATGACGCGGACGGTGACGCGGCATGTGACGCGGCGTGTGACGCGGACGGTGACGCCGACCGTAATGACGGTGACGACGGTGATGGTGACGACGATATCCAGCCCCGGTGGGGTGACGTGGACACGGTGTGCCTGGCTGTATCTTGGAGACGTTGGACAGGCGCCCTGTCAACTGTGCTGGAGTGAACGAATACTCCCGATGGGCAAGACGGTTCATTACAGCTGGAAAGCTGGGTGGCTGTGTATATTGTAGCTGGGCAGCTGGGTGGTTGTGTATGTGGGTGGCTGTAGAGTTTGGTAGCTGGGCAACTGGGTGGCTGGATAGTTTGATAACTGGGTAGTTGACTGGCTGTGTAGGTGAGTGGCTGGGTATTTGGGCGGCTGGGTGACACGGTCGTTGGGTGGCTGTGTAGTTGGGTGGCTGAGTAGCCGAGCTGAGTAACTGCAAGCGCAAATCGTGGACTAAGGGGTGAGGATAGACGTGCCACCGCCCAAAGAATGTGAAATTTCCGCATCCAGCCCTATGGCTCTCCGCGCGGTGGTGCAGCGGTTGGCACTGCACCACGCTACGAACCGGGCAGACCCGAGTTCGATTCCCGCCCACGGCCACCAACACCAGTGACGGTTATCTGAACTGGTCCTGGTGGGTGTCCCCCAGGTCAACTCGGCCTCAACTGTGCGCCTGGTGCGCTGTGTCAACATGGTCACTGGGGGAGACAAAGGCGGCCGGGCGCGGTGCTGGCCACCCACCCCGTCGAGTGCCACAGGTGGCGCTGCTGCTCGCTACTAACGGCACTTGCCCCCCAGTCTCTTGCAGGCTACACGGGGGATCTTTGTCTTTTGGCGTGGTGTGGCCGGGGGCGTGGTGTGGCCGTAGCGTGGTGTGTCCGTAGCGTGGTGTGTCCGTAGCGTGGTGAGGCCGTAGCGTGGTGAATGTCGCGCGGGTTTGCTGGCGAGGTGCCCTTAGGAGGAAGGAGTGGCCGGCGCGGGGCTGGTCAGGCCTCCCCCCACCACGGCCGTGCCCCCCCCCACCACGGCCGTGCCCCCCCCCACCACGGCCGTGCCCCCCCCCACCACGGCCAGCGAGGCGAGGGCGGCCCCCTGGAAGCGGACGAGGTGCCAGCCCTCGGCGGCTGTGAGGTCGCTGGCGCCCCGTGCCCGGTAGAAGTCCATGGCCGGGGCGTTCCAGTCCAGCACAGACAAAGTGAGACGCACGCAGCCGTTCAGCCGGCAAACCTGGGCACGGGGGGGGGAGCAAAGGTGCCAGGCTAGGTGCACGAGGTCACGGGACTGACCCCAGGTGCCCTGGGTTGAGCGCTGTGCCAGGCTAGGTGCACGAGGTCACGGGACTGACCCCAGGTGCCGTGTGTTGAGCGCTGTGCCAGGCTAGGTGCACGAGGTCACGGGACTGATCCAGCAGGTGACGTGGGTTGAGCGCTGTGCCAGGCTAGGTGCATGAGGTCACGGGACTGACCCCAAGTGACGTGGGTTGAGTGCTGTGCCAGGCTAGGTGCATGACGTGGGTTGAGTGCTGTGCCAGGCTAAGTGCATGACGTGGGTAGACTGCTGTGCCAGGCTAGGTGCAGGAGGTCACGGGACTGACCCCAGGTGACGTGGGTTGAGTGCTGTGCCAGGCTAGGTGCACGAGGTCACGGGACTGACCCCAGGTGACGTGGGTTTAGTGCTGTGCCAGGCTAGGTGCACGAGGTCACGGGACCGACCCCAGGTGACGTGGGTTTAGTGCTGTGCCAGGCTAGGTGCATGACGTGGGTTGAGTGCTGTGCCAGGCTAGGTGCAGGAGGTCACGGGACAGACCCAGCAGGTGCCGTGGGTTGAGTGCTGTGCCAGGCTAGGTGCATGACGTGACGTGAGTGCTGTGCCAGGCTAGGTGCAGTGCTGAGGTGACCGGCTCATGCTCTGCCATCCTCCCGTGCCAACTCTCCCGCGTCTCTGCCGAGGCCATTACCTCCGCAACCTTCCGCAGGAGATCCTTGCCAACTCCTCTTCCTGCGAGCAAAGACAAAGACAAAGATCCCCCGTGTAGCCTTGGCCAGACTGCAGGGGTTGGTCACGTGCAGAGAACGTGCCCACCACCACCACCCCACGTGCCCACCACCACCACCACCCCACGTGCCCACCACCACCACCACAACCACCCCCGTGCCCACCACCACCAGCCCCCGTGCCCACCACCACCACCACCCCACGTGCCCACCACCACCACCACCCCCCGTGCCCACCACCACCCCCGTGTCCACCACCACCACCACCCGTGCCCACCACCACCACCCCCCGTGCCCACGGCCCCATCCCCACCGCTGACCTCTGAACTCTGTGGTGACGTAGAGGCCCTCCAGGTATGCCGAGCGTCCCACCCAGGTGCAGTAGGTGTCGTAGAACAGCGCGTAGCCAATCAGCATGGCCCCTGCGGGGTCGGACAATCACGTCACGCTGTGTCAACACTGACGGTCGGACATTGATGTCATGATGTGTCAACACTGACGGTCAGACATTGATGTCATGCTGCGAGTGTCAATACTGACTGTCAGACAATGAAGTCACGATGTGTCAACACTGACGGTCAGACAATGACGTCATGCTGCGAGTGTCAACACTGACGTTCAGACAATGACGTGTACGAGGTGCAGGTGAAGTTTGTTTCGTTAATTCTTGTGATTACCTTGCTGATGCTGATGCTGCACCTCGGCTACCAGGCAGTGGAAGAGCGGCTTCCCTCCAAACCCATCACGACGGAGGTCTGCACGGACATCGCAAACTCGCTCGCTCGGTTCGACGGCCATAGGAATGTGGAATTTCCACGGTTTGCCGCCTTTGTGCGCGTGTGTGAGCGAACAGCACTTGCCCCAACAGTCTGGTAAAGGCTACACGGGGGATCTTCGTCTTTGTTTTGTGCTCTATCCCCCCCTCACCGCCTCCCCACTACCCCCCCTCACCCTCCCTCGCCCCCCCCTCTCACCCTCCTCTGTGATGTCCACCTGGCCCAGGAGTTTCTCGTACGTGACAAGTTCCTGCAGGCAAGGGCACAGGGGGTGGGTAAGCGGGTGAGTGGTTGGTGAGTGGGTGAGTGGGTGGGTAAGCGAGTGGGTGAGTGGGTGGGTAAGCGAGTGGATGAGTGGATGGTGAGTGGGTGGGTAAGCGAGTGGGTGAGTGGGTGGGTAAGCGAGTGGGTGGGTGAGTGGGTGGGTAGGCGAGTGGGTGAGTGGGTGGGTAAGCGAGTGGGTGAGTGGGTGGGTAAGCGAGTGGGTGAGTGGGTGGGTAAGCGAGTGGGTGAGTGGGTGGGTAAGCGAGTGGGTGAGTGGGTGGGTAAGCGAGTGGGTGAGTGGGTGGGTAAGCGAGTGGGTGAGTGGGTGGGTAAGCGAGTGGGTGAGTGGGTGGGTAAGCGAGTGGATGAGTGGATGGTGAGTGGGTGGGTAAGCGAGTGGGTGAGTGGGTGGGTAAGCGAGTGGGTGGGTGAGTGGGTGGGTAGGCGAGTGGGTGAGTGGGTGGGTAAGCGAGTGGGTGAGTGGGTGGGTAAGCGAGTGGGTGAGTGGGTGGGTAAGCGAGTGGGTGAGTGGGTGGGTAAGCGAGTGGGTGAGTGGGTGGGTAAGCGAGTGGGTGAGTGGGTGGGTAAGCGAGTGGGTGGGTGGGTGGGTAAGCGAGTGGGTGAGTGGATGAGTGGGTGGGTAAGCGAGTGGGTGAGTGGATGAGTGGGTGGGTAAGCGAGTGGGTGAGTGGGTGGGTAAGCGAGTGGGTGAGTGGATGGGTAAGCGAGTGGGTGAGTGGATGGTGAGTGGGTGAGTGGATGGTGAGTGGGTGGGTATGCGAGCGAGTGGGTGAGTGGGTAAGCGAGTGAGTGGGTGGGTGAGTGAGCAGATGAGTGAATGGATGGTGAGTGGATGAGTGAGGTGAGTGGATGTGTGTAATCAGCAGATGTCCAACACCGCGGCTTTCCTGCGAATCATTTAAACTGGATATTGGCTATGTAATCAATCGGTCGTGGGTTCTTTAAGACGGCGTAGACGCCTTCCAAGAGGCAACGCTTATTTATCACAATGCGTAACTCAACGCAATACAGTCTTGAACTTGAAAGAGTAACGGGCCCCTTCACCCGCTGCTAGCTGGGGATATACGCCCTCGGCTAACTCGCCTTAGCGCTGGGCTAGGGTCCCCCTGGGTCCTCCGGCTAAGAGGGCCCTAGGGGAGGCTAGCTGACCTGACCCTGGTCACGGTACAGGTCTCGACCGCCAGCCACACGGACCCGGTCCTGATAAGGACGGCAGGTCGGAGCAGTCCCAGGGTCATGTCTAGCCGGTCTTCGGTCTTCAACTGGCTCTTCCGTCTTCAGCTGGCACGCACTGCCCCAACCCTCCCGGGGTCCGGCCTTTTATCCTGCTCCGTGGCTTGCTCCGCCCTAGCCACGCCTCCCCTCACGAACCTTCCACCAGGTTCTGGAAGGGTGACATCATCCCCCCACAGCCCCCCCTACTGATGATTGGGGCTGTGCCGATTCGTTCCAAGATCCTTTTTCCCGGCTGACTGTTTTGCCCCAATGGGTCATAGTCCTCTGGGTACCGTCTCAAACCGTCGATTGCCTCCCTATTGGTAAGTAGCAGCTATCACCCTGACACGGTGAACATTCGCCCAACAACACCGTTACATATTGGCCCGTGGAAGTGGTTATTAACCGTGGCGTTCTGTTGATCAGTGGACTCTGGACTTTGCGGTAGAGTTTAAATTAGTAACTTCTTGCAATGGCGCACCGAGCTTCCAGGTTGAATTTCATCTTACAAATTAAACTTTAACACAATTTTTTTTGTTACTGGGTACTAAGCGTTCTTTTTTTTTAAATTGCCTATGCCTAAAAGGTTTAGAAAGTGGCTTTTATTGTTACCCACAAACTTAGCTTTTGTCAACAGGACTTTACGTGAACGAAAGACGCAAATGCACACCAATGTTTTCTCGTTGACAATAGGTACATTCAAAAATATCGCTGTGCTGGTCACAAAAACAATGTTCGCGGCGATTAAAAGCCACTTTCTTGTACTTCTGAGGCATAAGCAATATTTTTTATTATTCTTGGTTCTTTCGGTAAAGTCACGTAGAAGGGAAACAATTAAATAATCAAAATATATATATACAGCGTGGGAAAAAAGTATTTGATCCCCTGCTGATTTTGTACGTTTGCCCACTGACAAAGAAATGATCAGTCTATAATTTTAATGGTAGGTTTATTTGAACAGTGAGAGACAGAATAACAACAAAATCCAGAAAAACGCATGTCAAAAATGTTATAAATTGATTTGCATTTTAATGAGGGAAATAAGTATTTGACCCCCTCTCAATCAGAAAGATTTCTGGCTCCCAGGTGTCTTTTATACAGGTAACGAGCTGAGATTAAGAGCACACTCTTAAAGGGAGTGCTCCTAATCTCAGCTTGTTATCTGTATAAAAGACACCTGTCGACAGAAGCAATCAATCAATCAGATTCCAAACTCTCCACCATGGCCAAGACCAAAGAGCTCTCCAAGGATGTCAGGGACAAGATTGTAGACCTACACAAGGCTGGAATGGGCTACAAGACCATTGCCAAGCAGCTTGGTGAGAAGGTGACAACAGTTGGTGCGATTATTCGCCAATGGAAGAAACACAAAAGAACTGTCAATCTCCCTCGGCCTTGGGCTCAATGCAAGATCTCACCTCGTGGAGTTGCAATGATCATGAGAACGGTGAGGAATCAGCCCAGAACTACACGGGAGGCTCTTGTCAATGATCTCAAGGCAGCTGGGACCACAGTCACCAAGAAAACAATTGGTAACACACAACGCCGTGAAGGACTGAAATCTTGCAGCGCCCACAAGGTCCCCCAGCTCAAGAACGCACATATACATGCCCGTCTGAAGTTTGCCAATGAACATCTGAATGATTCAGAGGACAACTGGGTGAAAGTGTTGTGGTCAGATGAGACCAAAATGGAGCTCTTTGGCATCAACTCAACTCGCCGTGTTTGGAGGAGGAGGAATGCTGACTATGACCCCAAAACACCATCCCCACCGTCAAACATGGAGGTGGAAACATTATGCTTTGGGGGTGTTTTTTCTGCCAAGAGGACAGGACAACTTCACCGCATCAAAGGGACGATGGACGGGGCCATGTACCGTCAAATCTTGGGTGAGAACCTCCTTCCCTCAGCCAGGGCATTGAAAATGGGTCGTGGATGGGTATTCCAGCATGACAATGACCCAAAACACACGGCCAAGGCAACAAAGGAGTGGCTCAAGAAGAAGCACATTAAGGTCCTGGAGTGGCCTAGCCAGTCTCCAGACCTTAATCCCAGAGAAAATCTGTGGAGGAAGCTGAAGGTTCGAGTTGCCAAACGTCAGCCTCGGAACCTTAATGACTTGGAGAAGATCTGCAAAGAAGAGTGGGACAAAATCCCTCCTGAGATGTGTGCAAACCTGGTGGCCAACTACAAGAAACGTCTGACCTCTGTGATTGCCAACAAGGGTTTTTCCACCAAGTACTATGTCATGTTTTGCAGAGGGGTCAATTACTTATTTCCCTCATTAAAATGCAAATCAATTAATATCATTTTTGACATGCGTTTTTCTGGATTTTGTTGTTGTTATTCTGTCTCTCACTGTTCAAATAAACCTACCATTAAAATTATAGACTGATTATTTCTTTGTCAGTGGGCAAACGTACAAAATCAGCAGGGGATCAAATACTTTTTTCCCTCACTGTATATATAAAAAAAACAATAAAATTCTCACGACGTTTCGACTGCAACACAAGCAATCATCATCAGGTGTTAAAATCACGACAAGAAAATTTGAAAAAAGCTTTAAATCAAAATGTTATTATTATTAATTATCAGCGAGTGGCTAATTGAGATGGTGAGTAGGTGATTGAGATGGTCAGTGAGATGAGCGGGTAGGTGAGTGGGTGATGTGGGTGCGTGAGTGGCTGAGTGGGTGACTGCGATTGGGATGGCGGGCAAGTGAGTGGCTGGCCGCGATGGTGAGCGGATGAGTGATTGAGATGGTGAGTGGGTAAGCTGGTGAGCGGATGAGTGAGTGGGCTGATTGGGATGGTGAGTGGGTGAGTGTGCTGGTTAGCAGGTGAGTGAGTGGATGATTGGGATGGTGAGCGGGTGAGTGAGCTGGTAAGCGGATGAGTGGCTGATTGGGCTGGTGAGCGGGTGAGTGAGTGGATAATTGGAATGGCGAGTGAGGTGAGTGATTGAGATGGTGAGTGAGTGGGTAAGCTGGTGAGCGGATGAGTGAGTGGGTGATTGAGATGGTGAGTGAGATGAGTGGGTGGTGTGGGTGAGTGAGCGGGTGGGTGAGTGGCTGAGCGAGTGGGTGACTGCGATTGGTAAGTGGCTGAGTGATTGCGATGGTGAGCGGGTGAGTGAGCTGGTGAGCGGATGAGTGAGTGACCGATTGGGATGGCGAGCGGGTGAGCGGATGAGTGAGTGGCTGATTGGGATGGCGAGCGGGCGAGTGAGTGGCTGACCGCGATGGTGAGTGGGTGAGTGAGCTGGTGAGCGGGTGAGCGAGTGGCTGATTTGAGATGTCTCTCACGCACCACCAGGGCCTTGCGTGATGTTGAACAACTTCACCCAGGCACAAATGTCCTCGACGTGGCCGCGAGGTCGTTTCAACTGCGCGTGCCCTCACCTTGATCAGGCGCACGATGTCAGCACAGTCTCTCTCCGCCGCCTGGCGAACTTGGAATCGCCCAGACATTGCTCGGGATGGGTGGGGTGGTGGTGTTTGTTGTTGTTGTGGGTGTTGTTGCGTTGTTCTTGTGTTGTTGACGAGTCTGTAAAAAACGTCAGACTGTGTGTGGATTGTCGCGTGTGGAATCACTCACGTGACCGTGGGTTGTGGTGGTGTTGGTGGGTGGTGGTGGGGTAGTTGGTGTGTGTGGGTGGGTGTGGGTGGTGTGTGGGTGGTGTGTGTGGGTGGTGTGGGTGTGTGTGGGTGGTGTGGGTGTGTGTGGGTGGTCTGGGTGGTGTGGGTGTGTGTGGGTGGTGTGGGGGTGTGTGGGTGGTGTGGGTGGTGTGTGTGGGTGACACTGAGGAGGCTCTTGAAGGACGCTGCTGCTGGACAGCTGGAGGCAGTCGCTCTCCAGCAGCGGTGGGCAGAGGGAGGAGAGGGGGGGGGGCAGAGAGAGGGTGGCTGTGTATGTGGGTGGCTGGATTGTTTGGCAACCGAGTAGATGGATGTGTTGTTGAGTGGCTGGGTATTTGGGTAATTGTCTGACAGGGTCGCTGGGTGGCTGGGTGGCTGAGTAGCAGAGCTGAGTAACTGCAAGTATGGTCTGGGGGTGAGGATAGACGTGGCACCGCCAAAAGAATGTGGAATTTCCGCATCCAGCCCTATCGCACCTGCCACCACTGTCACCGCCACTGCCACCCGCTCCGTCACCACCAAAAAAAAACAAAGACAAAGGTCCCCCCCCCGTGTAGCCTCTAACAGGCTGTTGGGGCAAGTGCTGTTAACGAGTAGCAGCAGCATCTATGCAGGCCTCTACTGTGGCACCACCACACTGACCACCACATTAACCACCACATTAACCACCACGCTAACCACCACATTAACCACCACGCTGACCACCACATTAACCACCACATTGACCACCACATTAACCACCACATTAACCACCACACTAACCACCACGCTGATCACCACATTAACCACCACATTGACCACCACATTAACCACCACATTAACCACCACGCTGATCACCACATTAACCACCACATTAACCACCACATTAACCACCACATTAACCACCACATTAACCACCACGCTGACCACCACATTAACCACCACATTAACCACCACATTAACCACCACACTGACCACCACACTAACCACCACACTGACCACCACATTAACCACCACGCTGACCACCACATTAACCACCACATTAACCACCACATTAACCACCACATTAACCACAACATTAACCACCACACTGACCACCACACTGACCACCACACTAACCACCACATTAACCACCACATTAACCACCACACTGACCACCACATTAACCACCACATTAACCACCACATTGACCACCACATTAACCACCACATTGACCACCACACTGACCACCACACTGATCACCACATTAACCACCACATTAACCACCACATTAACCACCACACTGACCACCACATTAACCACCACATTGTCCACCTCCACTTTATTACTGCATGGTCAGAGTCTCGACCTGCCACAGTGGGGGGGGGGGGGGGGGTAGCGGTAGCGGCATGGGGTGGTACGGTGGTGGTGGTGGTGGTGGTGGTTGTAGTGTGGTGTGGGTGGTGGTGGGCCGGTGTGGGTATTCGGTGTTGCGTGGCTGTAGCGTGGTGTGGCTGTAGCGTGGTGTGGCTGTAGCGTGGTGAATGTCGCGCGGGTTTGCTGGCGAGGTGCCCTTAGGAGGAAGGAGTGGCCGGCGCGGGGCTGGTCAGGCCCCCCCCCACCACGGCCGTGCCCCCCCCCACCACGGCCGTGCCCCCCCCCACCACGGCCAGCGAGGCGAGGGCGGCCCCCTGGAAGCGGACGAGGTGCCAGCCCTCGGCGGCTGTGAGGTCGCTGGCGCCCCGTGCCCGGTAGAAGTCCATGGCCGGGGCGTTCCAGTCCAGCACAGACAAAGTGAGACGCACGCAGCCGTTCAGCCGGCAAACCTGGGCACGGGGGGGGAGGGGGGGGGGGAGCAAAGGTGCCAGGCTAGGTGCATGAGGTCACGGGACAGACCCAGCAGGTGCCCTGGGTTGACTGCTGTGCCAGGCTAGGTGCGTGACGTGGGTTGACTGCTGTGCCAGGCTAGGTGCATGGGTTGAGTGCTGTGCCAGGCTAGGTGCGTGACGTGAGTGCTGTGCCAGGCTAGGTGCAGTGCTGAGGTGACCGGCTCATGCTCGGCCGTCCTCCCGTGCCAACCCGCCCGCGTCTCTGCCGAGGCCATTACCTCCGCAACCTTCCGCAGGAGATCCTTGCCAACTCCTCTTCCTGCGAGCAAAGACAAAGATCCCCCGTGTAGCCTTGGCCAGACTGCAGGGGTTGGTCACGTGCATAGAACGTGCCCACAACCACCACCACCACCACCACCCCCCGTGCCCACCACCACCACCACCCCACGTGCCCACCACCACCACCACCCGTGCCCACCACCCGTGCCCACCACCACCACCACCCCCCGTGCCCACCACCACCACCACCCCCCGTGCCCACCACCACCACCCCCCGTGCCCACCACCACCACCACCCCCCGTGCCCACCACCACCACCACCCCCCGTGCCCACCACCACCACCCCCCGTGCCCACCACCACCACCCCCCGTGCCCACCACCACCCCCCGTGCCCACCACCACCACCACCCCCCGTGCCCACCACCCCCCGTGCCCACCACCACCACCCCCCGTGCCCACCACCACCACCCCCCTTGCCCACCACCACCACCACCACCCCCCGTGCCCACCACCACCACCCCCCGTGCCCACGGCCCCACCCCCACCGCTGACCTCTGAACTCTGTGGTGACGTAGAGGCCCTCCAGGTATGCCGAGCGTCCCACCCAGGTGCAGTAGGTGTCGTAGAACAGCGCGTAGCCAATCAGCATGGCCCCTGCGGGGTCGGACAATGACGTCACGCTGTGTCAATACTGACGGTCAGACAATGATGTCATGCTGCGAGTGTCAACACTGACGGTCAGACAATGATGTCATGCTGGAAGTGTCAACACTGACTGTCAGACAATGAAGTCACGCTGTGTCAACACTGACGGTCAGACAATGACGTCATGCTGCGAGTGTCAACACTGACGTTCAGACAATGACGTGTGCGAGGTGCAGGTGAAGTTTGTTTCGTTAATTCTTGTGATTACCTTGCTGATGCTGATGCTGCACCTCGGCTACCAGGCAGTGGAAGAGCGGCTTCCCTCCAAACCCATCACGACGGAGGTCTGCACGGACATCGCAAACTCGCTCGCTCGGTTCGACGGCCATAGGAATGTGGAATTTCCACGGTTTGCCGCCTTTGTGCGCGTGTGTGAGCGAACAGCACTTGCCCCAACAGTCTGGTAAAGGCTACACGGGGGATCTTCGTCTTTGTTTAGTGCTCTATCCCCCCCCTCACCCCCCCTCCCCTCACCGCCTCCCCACTACCCCCCCTCACCCTCCCTCGCCCCCCCTCTCACCCTCCTCTGTGATGTCCACCTGGCCCAGGAGTTTCTCGTACGTGACAAGTTCCTGCGGGCAAGGGCACAGAGGGTGGGTAAGCGGGTGAGTGGTTGGTGAGTGGGTGAGTGGGTAAGCGGGTAAGCGAGCGGGTGAGTGGGTGGGTAAGCGAGTGGGTGAGTGGATGGTGAGTGGGTGAGTGGGTGGGTAAGCGAGTGGGTGAGTGGTTGGTGAGTGGGTGAGTGGGTGGTGAGTGGGTGAGTGGATGGGTGAGTGGTTGGTGAGTGGGTGAGTGGATGGGTGAGTGGTTGGTGAGTGGGTGAGTGGGTGGGTAAGCGAGCGGGTGAGTGGGTGGGTAAGCGAGTGGGTGAGTGGATGGTGAGTGGGTGAGTGGGTGGGTAAGCGAGTGGGTGAGTGGATGAGTGGGTGGGTAAGCGAGTGGGTGAGTGGATGGTGAGTGGGTGAGTGGGTGGGTAAGCGAGTGGGTGAGTGGATGGTGAGTGGGTGGGTAAGCGAGTGGGTGAGTGGATGGTGAGTGGGTGGGTAAGCGAGTGGGTGAGTGGGTAAGCGATGAGTGGGTGAGTGGGTGGGTGAGTGAGCAGATGAGTGAATGGATGGTGAGTGGATGAGTGAGGTGAGTGGATGTGTGTAATCAGCAGATGTCCAACACCGCGGCTTTCCTGCGAATCATTTAAACCGGATATTGGCTATGTAATCAATCGGTCGTGGGTTCTTTAAGACGGCGTAGACGCCTTCCAAGAGGCAACGCTTATTTATTACAAGGCGTAACTCAACGCAATACAGTCTTGAACTTGAAAGAGTAACGGGCCCCTTCACCCGCTGCTAGCTGGGGATATACGCCCTCGGCTAACTCGCCTTAGCGCTGGGCTAGGGTCCCCCTGGGTCCTCCGGCTAAGAGGGCCCTAGGGGAGGCTAGCTGACCTGACCCTGGTCACGGTACAGGTCTCGACCGCCAGCCACACGGACCCGGTCCTGATAAGGACGGCAGGTCGGAGCAGTCCCAGGGTCATGTCTAGCCGGTCTTCGGTCTTCAACTGGCTCTTCCGTCTTCAGCTGGCACGCACTGCCCCAACCCTCCCCGGGGTCCGGCCTTTTATCCTGCTCCGTGACTTGCTCCGCCCTAGCCACGCCTCCCCTCACGAACCTTCCACCAGGTTCTGGAAGGGGGCTGTGGGGGGATGATTGGGGCTGTGCCAATTCGTTCCAAGATCCGTTTTCCCGGCTGACTGTTTTGCCCCCATGGGTCATAGTCCTCTGGGTACCGTCTCAAACCGTCGATTGCCCCCTATTGGTAAGTAGCAGCTATCACCCTGACACGGTAAACATTCGCCCAACAACACCGTTACATATTGGCCCGTGGAAGTGGTTATTAACCGTGGCGTTCTGTTGACCAGTGGACTCTGGACTTTGCGGTAGAGTTTAAATTAGTAACTTCTTGCAATGGCGCACCGAGCTTCCAGGTTGAATTTCATCTTACAAATTAAACTTTAACACAATTTTTTTTTGTTACTGGGTACTAAGCGTTCTTTTTTTTTAAATTGCCTATGCCTAAAAGGTTTAGAAAGTGGCTTTTATTGTTACCCACAAACTTAGCTTTTGTCAACAGGACTTTACGTGAACGAAAGACGCAAATGCACACCAATGTTTTCTCGTTGACAATAGGTACATTCAAAAATATCGCTGTGCTGGTCACAAAAACAATGTTCGCGGCGATTAAAAGCCACTTTCTTGTACTTCTGAGGCATAAGCAATATTTTTTATTATTCTTGGTTCTTTCGGTAAAGTCACGTAGAAGGGAAACAATTAAATAATCAAAATATATATATACAGCGTGGGAAAAAAGTATTTGATCCCCTGCTGATTTTGTACGTTTGCCCACTGACAAAGAAATGATCAGTCTATAATTTTAATGGTAGGTTTATTTGAACAGTGAGAGACAGAATAACAACAAAATCCAGAAAAACGCATGTCAAAAATGTTATAAATTGATTTGCATTTTAATGAGGGAAATAAGTATTTGACCCCCTCTCAATCAGAAAGATTTCTGGCTCCCAGGTGTCTTTTATACAGGTAACGAGCTGAGATTAAGAGCACACTCTTAAAGGGAGTGCTCCTAATCTCAGCTTGTTATCTGTATAAAAGACACCTGTCCACAGAAGCAATCAATCAATCAGATTCCAAACTCTCCACCATGGCCAAGACCAAAGAGCTCTCCAAGGATATCAGGGACAAGATTGTAGACCTACACAAGGCTGGAATGGGCTACAAGACCATTGCCAAGCAGCTTGGTGAGAAGGTGACAACAGTTGGTGCGATTATTCGCCAATGGAAGAAACACAAAAGAACTGTCAATCTCCCTCGGCCTTGGGCTCAATGCAAGATCTCACCTCGTGGAGTTGCAATGATCATGAGAACGGTGAGGAATCAGCCCAGAACTACACGGGAGGCTCTTGTCAATGATCTCAAGGCAGCTGGGACCACAGTCACCAAGAAAACAATTGGTAACACACAACGCCGTGAAGGACTGAAATCTTGCAGCGCCCACAAGGTCCCCCAGCTCAAGAAAGCACATATACATGCCCGTCTGAAGTTTGCCAATGAACATCTGAATGATTCAGAGGACAACTGGGTGAAAGTGTTGTGGTCAGATGAGACCAAAATGGAGCTCTTTGGCATCAACTCAACTCGCCGTGTTTGGAGGAGGAGGAATGCTGACTATGACCCCAAAACACCATCCCCACCGTCAAACATGGAGGTGGAAACATTATGCTTTGGGGGTGTTTTTTCTGCCAAGAGGACAGGACAACTTCACCGCATCAAAGGGACGATGGACGGGGCCATGTACCGTCAAATCTTGGGTGAGAACCTCCTTCCCTCAGCCAGGGCATTGAAAATGGGTCGTGGATGGGTATTCCAGCATGACAATGACCCAAAACACACGGCCAAGGCAACAAAGGAGTGGCTCAAGAAGAAGCACATTAAGGTCCTGGAGTGGCCTAGCCAGTCTCCAGACCTTAATCCCAGAGAAAATCTGTGGAGGAAGCTGAAGGTTCGAGTTGCCAAACGTCAGCCTCGGAACCTTAATGACTTGGAGAAGATCTGCAAAGAAGAGTGGGACAAAATCCCTCCTGAGATGTGTGCAAACCTGGTGGCCAACTACAAGAAACGTCTGACCTCTGTGATTGCCAACAAGGGTTTTTCCACCAAGTACTAAGTCATGTTTTGCAGAGGGGTCAATTACTTATTTCCCTCATTAAAATGCAAATCAATTTATATCATTTTTGACATGCGTTTTTCTGGATTTTGTTGTTGTTATTCTGTCTCTCACTGTTCAAATAAACCTACCATTAAAATTATAGACTGATTATTTCTTTGTCAGTGGGCAAACGTACAAAATCAGCAGGGGATCAAATACTTTTTTCCCTCACTGTATATATATAAAAAAAACAATAAAATTCTCACGACGTTTCGACTGCAACACAAGCAATCATCATCAGGTGTTAAAATCACGACAAGAAAATTTGAAAAAAGCTTTAAATCAAAATGTTATTATTATTAATTATCAGCGAGTGGCTAATTGAGATGGTGAGTAGGTGATTGAGATGGTCAGTGAGATGAGCGGGTAGGTGAGTGGGTGATGTGGGTGCGTGAGTGGCTGAGTGGGTGACTGCGATTGGGATGGCGGGCAAGTGAGTGGCTGGCCGCGATGGTGAGCGGATGAGTGATTGAGATGGTGAGTGGGTAAGCTGGTGAGCGGATGAGTGAGTGGGCTGATTGGGATGGTGAGTGGGTGAGTGTGCTGGTTAGCAGGTGAGTGAGTGGATGATTGGGATGGTGAGCGGGTGAGTGAGCTGGTAAGCGGATGAGTGGCTGATTGGGCTGGTGAGCGGGTGAGTGAGTGGATAATTGGAATGGCGAGTGAGGTGAGTGATTGAGATGGTGAGTGAGTGGGTAAGCTGGTGAGCGGATGAGTGAGTGGGTGATTGAGATGGTGAGTGAGATGAGTGGGTGGTGTGGGTGAGTGAGCGGGTGGGTGAGTGGCTGAGCGAGTGGGTGACTGCGATTGGTAAGTGGCTGAGTGATTGCGATGGTGAGCGGGTGAGTGAGCTGGTGAGCGGATGAGTGAGTGACCGATTGGGATGGCGAGCGGGTGAGTGAGCTGGTGAGCGGATGAGTGAGTGGCTGATTGGGATGGCGAGCGGGCGAGTGAGTGGCTGACCACGATGGTGAGTGGGTGAGTGAGCTGGTGAGCGGGTGAGCGAGTGGCTGATTTGAGATGTCTCTCACGCACCACCAGGGCCTTGCGTGATGTTGAACAACTTCACCCAGGCACAAATGTCCTCGACGTGGCCGCGAGGTCGTTTCAACTGCGCGTGCCCTCACCTTGATCAGGCGCACGATGTCAGCACAGTCTCTCTCCGCCGCCTGGCGAACTTGGAATCGCCCAGACATTGTGTGTGTGGGTGGGTGTGGGTGGTGTGTGGGTGGTGTGTGTGGGTGGTGTGGGTGTGTGTGGGTGGTGTGGGTGTGTGTGGGTGGTCTGGGTGGTGTGGGTGTGTGTGGGTGGTGTGGGGGTGTGTGGGTGGTGTGGGTGGTGTGTGTGGGTGACACTGAGGAGGCTCTTGAAGGACGCTGCTGCTGGACAGCTGGAGGCAGTCGCTCTCCAGCAGCGGTGGGCAGAGGGAGGAGAGGGGGGGGGGGCAGAGAGAGGGTGGCTGTGTATGTGGGTGGCTGGATTGTTTGGCAACCGAGTAGATGGATGTGTTGTTGAGTGGCTGGGTATTTGGGTAATTGTCTGACAGGGTCGCTGGGTGGCTGGGTGGTTGGGTGGCTGAGTAGCAGAGCTGAGTAACTGCAAGTATGGTCTGGGGGTGAGGATAGACGTGGCACCGCCAAAAGAATGTGGAATTTCCGCATCCAGCCCTATCGCACCTGCCACCACTGTCACCGCCACTGCCACCCGCTCCGTCACCACCAAAAAAAAACAAAGACAAAGGTCCCCCCCCCCGTGTAGCCTCTAACAGGCTGTTGGGGCAAGTGCTGTTAACGAGTAGCAGCAGCATCTATGCAGGCCTCTACTGTGGCACCACCACACTGACCACCACATTAACCACCACATTAACCACCACGCTAACCACCACATTAACCACCACGCTGACCACCACATTAACCACCACATTGACCACCACATTAACCACCACATTAACCACCACACTAACCACCACGCTGATCACCACATTAACCACCACATTGACCACCACATTAACCACCACATTAACCACCACGCTGATCACCACATTAACCACCACATTAACCACCACATTAACCACCACATTAACCACCACGCTGACCACCACATTAACCACCACATTAACCACCACATTAACCACCACACTGACCACCACACTAACCACCACACTGACCACCACATTAACCACCACGCTGACCACCACATTAACCACCACATTAACCACCACATTAACCACCACATTAACCACAACATTAACCACCACACTGACCACCACACTGACCACCACACTAACCACCACATTAACCACCACATTAACCACCACACTGACCACCACATTAACCACCACATTAACCACCACATTAACCACCACACTAACCACCACATTAACCACCACATTGACCACCACATTAACCACCACATTGACCACCACATTAACCACCACATTAACCACCACACTGACCACCACATTAACCACCACACTGACCACCACATTATCCACCACACTGATCACCACATTAACCACCACATTAACCACCACATTATCCACCACACTGACCACCACATTAACCACCACATTGTCCACCTCCACTTTATTACTGCATGGTCAGAGTCTCGACCTGCCACAGTGGGTGGGGGGGGTAGCGGTAGCGGCATGGGGTGGTACGGTGGTGGTGGTGGTTGTAGTGTGGTGTGGGTGGTGGTGGGCCGGTGTGGGTATTCGGTGTTGTGTGGTTGGACGTGGTGTGTCCGTAGCGTGGTGAGGCTGTAGCGTGGTGTGGCTGTAGCGTGGTGTGGCTGTAGCGTGGTGAATGTCGCGCGGGTTTGCTGGCGAGGTGCCCTTAGGAGGAAGGAGTGGCCGGCGCGGGGCTGGTCAGGCCCCCCCCCACCACGGCCGTGCCCCCCCCCACCACGGCCGTGCCCCCCCCCCACCACGGCCAGCGAGGCGAGGGCGGCCCCCTGGAAGCGGACGAGGTGCCAGCCCTCGGCGGCTGTGAGGTCGCTGGCGCCCCGTGCCCGGTAGAAGTCCATGGCCGGGGCGTTCCAGTCCAGCACAGACAAAGTGAGACGCACGCAGCCGTTCAGCCGGCAAACCTGGGCACGGGGGGGGGAGCAAAGGTGCCAGGCTAGGTGCACGAGGTCACGGGACTGACCCCAGGTGACGTGGGTTGAGCGCTGTGCCAGGCTAGGTGCAGGAGGTCACGGGACTGACCCCAGGTGAAGTGGGTTGAGTGCTGTGCCAGGCTAGGTGCTTGACGTGAGTTTACTGCTGTGCCAGGCTAGGTGCACGAGGTCACGGGACTGACCCAGCAGGTGACGCGTGTTGAGTGCTGTGCCAGGCTAGGTGCAGGAGGTCACGGGACTGACCCCAGGTGATGTGATTTGAGCGCTGTGCCAGGCTAGGTGCAGGAGGTCACGGGACTGACCCCAGGTGACGTGGGTTGAGTGCTGTGCCAGGCTAGGTGCAGGAGGTCACGGGACTGACCCCAGGTGATGTGGGTTGAGCGCTGTGCCAGGCTAGGTGCAGGAGGTCACGGGACTGATCCAGCAGGTGACGTGGGTTGAGTGCTGTGCCAGGCTAGGTGCAGGAGGTCACGGGACTCACCCCAGGTGAAGTGGGTTGACTGCTGTGCCAGGCTAGGTGCATGAGGTCATGGTACAGACCCAGCAGGTGCCATGGGTTGAGTGCTGTGCCAGGCTAGGTGCGTGACGTGGGTTGAGTGCTGTGCCAGGCTAGGTGCGTGACGTGGGTTGACTGCTGTGCCAGGCTAGGTGCATGGGTTGAGTGCTGTGCCAGGCTAGGTGCGTGACGTGAGTGCTGTGCCAGGCTAGGTGCGTGACGTGAGTGCTGTGCCAGGCTAGGTGCAGTGCTGAGGTGACCGGCTCATGCTCTGCCATCCTCCCGTGCCAACCCGCCCGCGTCTCTGCCGAGGCCATTACCTCCGCAACCTTCCGCAGGAGATCCTTGCCAACTCCTCTTCCTGCGAGCAAAGACAAAGATCCCCCGTGTAGCCTTGGCCAGACTGCAGGGGCAAGTGCTGTTAGTAGCGAGTAGCAGCGCCTGTGAAGGCTACCGGCTCTTTGGCGCACGAGGGGGGTGGGTGGCTACCAGCACCACCACGCCCGGCCGCCTTTGTCTCCCCCAGTAGCGATGTTTACTGCACACCGCACCAGGTACTCATTTGAGGCTGAGTCGACCTAAGGGGAGAACCAGGACCGGTTCAGATAATCGTGTTGGCCATGAGCGGGAATGGAACCCGTCTCTCTCTCTCTCTCATCATCATCATCATCACGGTGGCTAGGAGATGTTGACTACCTCGCCTGGTATACAGGAGGAGGTCGTGGGTTAGATCCCGACCCTGACGCCTGCTGCTGCTGTATATTTGGAGTTTGTGTCTCTCTCTCATCATCATCATCATCACGGTGGCTAGGAGATGTTGACTACCTCGCCTGCTGCTGCTGTATATTTGGATTTTGCATCTCTCTCTCATCATCATCATCATCAGGGTGGCTAGGAGATGTTGACTACCTCGCCTGGTTTACAGGAGGTCGTGGGTTCAATCCCGACCATGATGCCTGCTGCTGCTGTATATTTGGAGTTTGTGTCTCTCTCTCATCATCATCATCATCACGGTGGCTAGGAGATGTTGACTACCTCGCCTGCTGCTGCTGCTGTGTATTCGGAGTTGGTGTCTCTCTCCCCGTGGTGGTGTGGATTTTTCTCCGGGTCCTCCGGTTTCCCCCCCCCCCCCACATTTAAGACTCAACGTCACCCACGGCGTTTACAGAGTCATTTGGCTGCTGCTCTAAATTCCCACGTGGTGGTGGTGATGATGATGATGACGATGATCAGCGGCCACTTCGTTGAGCGATAATTCGTGATGGCCAGAGGGTTGGCTTCTGAAACGGAGCTGCGGATCGCTCAGTGGGGCCTTGCAAGCGGTAAAATACGAAAATAGTTAAATAATAGGAGTTTTTCGCCTTTATTTCTGGTGACAAAACTGAAACCTTTTGCAAAGGAATCATGTTATTTATTCACGATGTACTTACAAAAAAATCCGCAGGCTACCTGCTGGATCTCCTCTCTGTTTCAAAGAACAACGTTGAGCTCAGGTCTTCGCTCATTTGCCCGCTTCACATTCCCTATTGCCGTACAAAAACTGGAGGAAGGGCCTTTGCTATTGATGCCCCCAGGGTCTGGAATGCTATTGCCAATTAACTGCAACTTGAATCGCTACCAATGAGATTTTCACTCAGAACTGCTCTAGAGGAGTTGTACACCCCTAGCTGCCACTGCTATTCATTGGCCTAAAATAAAATAAAATGTTTCGCTTCGGTTGACCGCTGCAAAGTATTATTCTGTATTTTGATTTAGCGTGCTGATCTTAAAGGTGCATTCAAAAATGTGATACTCCAACTGATGCTCCTGTTGTTGTGGAGTGACTCATGCAGCCAGCTATGGCTCTAGGGTTTGGTGTTACATTTTATTTATGTAGTTTATTGTTTAAAAAAATTCGGTCACAGTCCGTATGATCACTGTTACATTGCATTTATGGCTTTGTTTTGGTGATTTCGAAAACGTTTTTTGGTTTGGCCATGTTTGTGTTTATTGTAGTACGGAGTTAGACTGATGGCCTTAATCTTAGTTGTCTTGTGGTTGTTGTTGTTGTTGTTTGACTTGCATCCCACTGGGATTTTTGCACACAGAGTTGGTGTACGGTGCTATTTCAGGAATATTTTGATGTTTTTTTTCCTGGATTTTCTGTTTGCACAGTCACACAAAGTCACTTTAAGATGTTTTCTTGTTCATGTTTTTTTGTTTGTTGTGGTTGCACCAGATTCAAGAGCCGAGTGGCTCACAGGGCTATACCAAATAAATGGAAACTATAGAACTAACTATGGAACTATGTTTACATGAACCACAGTACCTGCAGTCACAATGCAAATGAAAAACCAGCACGTAGTCTCCATTGGAACCTCCTTTGCCAGTAGCAAAATATATTAATTGTTTTTTACCCTTTTATCTGGCAACAAAAAACTGACACCTTTTTTTTTACAAGGAGTCATGTTTCCATTGACCACAATACCTGCGGTCGGAATGCAAACAAAAAACACAACTCTGATCATGTATTGGCACTGTCCTTGACATTGATTGGTCCACACCCAAGACAGCTAAAAGGCCTAGTCTCACATGGTGTTGGCCCAGATGACGCCAAAAGGCGTCATCTGGTCCAGCACCACGTGAGACTAGGCCTTTTGGCATCATCTGGTCCAGCACCACGTGAGACTAGGCCGTTTGGCATCATCTGGTCCAACACCACGTGAGACTAGGCCTTTTGGCGTCATCTGGTCTAACACCAAGTGAGACTAGGCCTTTTGGCGTCATCTGGTCCAACACCCACGTGAGACTAGGCCTTTTGGCATCATCTGGTCCAACACCACGTGAGACTAGGCCTTTTGGCATCATCTGGTCCAACACCCGTGTTAGACTAAGGGCTCTAAGGAAAGCTGTCTCGGGTGTGGACCAATCAATCAATGTCAAGGACAGTGCCAATACATTATCAGAGTTGTGTTTTTGTTTGCATTCCGACGGCAGGTATTGTGGTCAATGCAAACATGCCTCCTTGTGAAAAAGAGGTGTCAGTTCTGTTGCCAGATAAAAGGGTAAAAAAACCAATTACTAACGCACAGTCTCATACGATGTTCGACCAGATGATGCCTTTAAGCGCTAAGGAAAGCCGTCTCTCTGGTGTGCACCAATCAGTTTCAAGGACGATGCTTATGTTATCAAGAGTGTTCTTTTTTTCTTCTTTGCATTCTGACCGCAAGTATTGTTGCGAATGTAAACATGATGCCTTTGCAAAAGGTTTTGATGTTTTGTCACCAGGACAAAAAGGGCGGAAAACCGCCCCTCTTGTTATATTCCGGTACTGGCAAAGGAGGCCTTGTGATGAAATGAGTTGACCAATAGCGTCCATAGTCGAGGTTTGGGCGGAAGATCGCGTAGAACTATAAATGTTGTGTCGTGAAACCCGCCACCACCCCACGCAGCCAATGGTAGTGAGGGGTTGGTCACGTACAGGGAACGTGGCCACCCCCCGGGTGCCCATGGCCCCCACCCCCACCGCCGACCTCTAAACTCTGTGGTGACGTAGAGGTCCTCCAGGTATGCCGAGCGCCCCACCCAGGTGCTGTAGGTGTCGTAGAACAGAGCGTAGCCAATCAGCATGGCCCCTGCTGCGGGTCGGACAATGACGTCACGCTGTGTCAACACTGATGGTCAGACAATGATGTCATGATGTGTCAACACTAACGGTCGGACAATGACGTCACGATGTGTCAACACTGACGGTCGGACAATGACGTCACGCTGTGTCAACTGACGGTCGGACAATGACGTCACGCTGTGTCAACACTGACGGTCGGACAATGATGTCATGCTGCGACTGTCAACACTGGTCCAGACAATGATGTCATGCTGCGATTGTCAACACTGGTCCAGACAATGATGTCATGATGTGTCAACACTGACGGTCAGACAATGATGTCATGATGTGTCAACACTGACGGTCAGACAATGATGTCATGATGTGTCAACACTGACGGTCGGACAAATGATGTCACGCTGTGTCAACACTGACGGTCAGACAATGATGTCATGATGTGTCAACACTGACGGTCAGACAATGATGTCATGATGTGTCAACACTGACGGTCAGACAATGATGTCATGATGTGTCAACACTGACGGTCAGACAATGATGTCATGCTGTGTCAACACTGACGGTCGGACAATGATGTCATGCTGGAAATGTCAACACTGACTGTCAGACAATGAAGTCATGATGTGTCAACACTGACGGTCAGACAATGACGTCATGCTGCGAGTGTCAACACTGACGGTCAGACAATGACGTCATGCTGCGAGTGTCAACACTGACGGTGAGACAATGACGTGTGCGAGGTGCAGGTGAAGTTTGTTTCGTTAATTCTTGTGATTACCTTGCTGATGCTGATGCTGCACCTCGGCTACCAGGCAGTGGAAGAGCGGCTTCCCTCCAAACCCATCACGACGGAGGTCTGCACGGACATCGCAAACTCGCTCGCTCGGTTCGACGGCCATAGGAATGTGGAATTTCCACGGTTTGCTGCCTTTGTGCGCGCGTGTGAGCGAACAGCACTTGCCCCAACAGTCTGGTCAAGGCTACACGGGGGACCTTTGTCTTTGTGTGTGAGATGCCCGTGACGCCACCACGGGGGGTGAGGTGAGTCCCTCCACCTCACCCCCCATCACCGCTCCCCTCACCTCCCCCTCACCCCTCCTCACCACCCCCCTCACCCCCCTCACCCCTCCCCTCACCCCCCTCACCCTCCTCTGTGATGTCCACCTGGTCCAGGAGGTTCTCGTACGTGGCAAGTTCCTGCGGGCAAGGGCACAGGGGGTGAGTGAGTGAGTGAGTGGGTGAGTGGGCGGGTGAGTGAGTGAGTGAGTGGGCGGGTGAGTGAGTGGGCGGGTGAGTGAGTGGGTGAGTGGGTGGGCGGGTGAGTGAGTGGGCGTGTGAATGAGATGGTGAGTGGGTGAGTGAGTGAGTGAGTGGCTGGGTGGGTGAGTGGGTGGGTGAGTGAGTGGGCGTGTGAATGAGATGGTGAGTGGGCGGGTGAGTGAGATGGTGAGTGGGCGGGTGAGTGAGATGGTGAGTGAATGGATGAGTAAGATGGTGAGTGAGTGGGTGGGCGGGTGAGTGAGTGGGCGTGTGAATGAGATGGTGAGTGGGTGAGTGAGTGAGTGGCTGGGTGGGTGAGTGGGTGGGTGAGTGAGTGGGCGTGTGAATGAGATGGTGAGTGGGCGGGTGAGTGAGATGGTGAGTGGGCGGGTGAGTGAGATGTTGAGTGAATGGATGAGTAAGATGGTGAGTGAATGGGTGAGTAAGATGGTGAGTGGATGAGTGTAATACTAATAAGATCTCCAACACCGCTGCTTTCCTGCGAATAATTTAAACCGGATATTGGCCATGTGATAAATTGTCCCGTGGAAGTGGTTAATAACCTCGGCGTTTTGTTGACCAATGGACTCTGGACTTTGCAGTAGAGCATTTAAACTTCTTAACTTCATGCATGGCGCGCTTAGATCCCAGGTAGAATTTCATCTTATAAATTACACTGCAACACAATTTTTCTTACTGGATACTAAGTGTTATTTTGAAACACTGCTTATGCCTAAAAGGTTTAGAAAGTGGCTTTTATTATTCCACCGCAAACTTTGCTTCTGTGACCAGGACTTCACGCGAACGAAAGACGCAAATGCACACCGCGTGTTCTCATTGAGAATAATCTACATTTCAAAATATCGCTGTGCTGGTCACAAAATCAAAAGTTCGTGGGGAATAATAAACAGCCACTTTCTATATTTTGGAGGCATAAGCAATTAGGAAATAACACTTACTACCCAGGGTAAAAAAATAATAATTGTTGCAGTTATTATTATTAGTAATGATCAGTGAGTGCGTGATTGAGATGGTGAGATGAGTGGGTAGGTGAGTGGGTGATGTGGGTGAGTGAGCGGGTGGGTGAGCGGCTGATTGGGATGGTGGGTGAGTGGCTGAGTGAGTGGGTGATTGCGATGGTGAGTGAGTGGGCTTATTGGGATGGTGAGCGGGTGAGTGAGCTGGTGAGCGGATGAGTGAGTGGCTGATTGGGATGGTGAGCGGGTGAGTGAGTGGCTGATTTGGGATGGCAAGTGAGGTGAGTGATTGAGATGGTGAGTGAGTGGGTAAGCTGGTGAGCGGATGAGTGAGTGGGTGATTGAGATGGTGAGTGAGATGAGTGGGTAGGTGAGTGGGTGATGTGGGTGAGTGAGCGGGTGGGTGAGCGGCTGATTGGGATGGTGGGTGAGTGGCTGAGTGAGTGGGTGATTGCGATGGTGAGTGAGTGGGCTTATTGGGATGGTGAGCGGGTGAGTGAGCTGGTGAGCGGATGAGTGAGTGGCTGATTGGGATGGTGAGCGGGTGAGTGAGTGGCTGATTTGGGATGGCAAGTGAGGTGAGTGATTGAGATGGTGAGTGAGTGGGTAAGCTGGTGAGCGGATGAGTGAGTGGGTGATTGAGATGGTGAGTGAGATGAGTGGGTAGGTGAGTGGGTGATGTGGGTGAGTGAGCGGGTGGGTGAGTGGCTGAGTGAGTGGGTAATTGCGATGGTGAGTGAATGGGCTGATTTGGGATGGTGAGCGGGTGAGTGAGCTGGTGAGCGGATGAGTGAGTGGGTGATTGAGATGGTGAGTGAGATGAGTGGGTAGGTGAGTGGGTGATGTGGGTGAGTGAGCGGGTGGGTGAGCGGGTGGGTGAGCGGCTGATTGAGATGGTGGGTGAGTGGCTGAGTGAGTGGGTGATTGCGATGGTGAGTGGGTGACTGCGATGGTGAGTGAGTGGGTAGGCTGGTGAGCGGATGAGTGAGCGGGTGAGTGAGTGGCCGACTGCGATGATGAGTGAGTGGGTGAGCTGGTGAGCGGATGAGCGAGTGGCTGATTGAGATGGTGAGTGAGTTGAGTGGGTGAGTGAGCGGGTGGGTGAGTGGCTGATTGTGATGGCGAGTGAGTGGGTGAGCTGGTGAGCGGATGAGCGAGTGGCTGATTGAGATGGTGAGTGAGATGAGTGGGTGATGTGGGTGAGTGAGCGGGTGAGTGAGTGGCTGATTGTGATGGCGAGTGAGTGGGTGAGCTGGTGAGCTGGTGAGCGGATGAGCGAGTGGCTGACTGCGATGGCGTGGGTGTCAGTTGTGTGGGTCAATCAGCGTCAAATACAATGCGTGCATATCATCAGAGTGCGTTTTTTTTGGGTTTCAATTCTGACCACAAGTGTCGGACGTTCGTGTAAGCAGAAGCGATTCCTCGCAGCAACAACAACAACAACAACAAAAAAACGGGGCTTCACTTTTGGTGTTTGAAAATCTTAACGCGGCTGCATTGTTGCCAGAAAAAAGGGGGGCGGGTGGGTGGGGGGTTGGGGGGGTTGGGGGAAAACCTCTTCTCGGGTTGTTGTGAGGTTGTTGAACAACTTCGCCCCAGGTAGAGATGTACACAACGAGGCAGGGTCCCTCACCTTGATCAGGCGCACGATGTCAGCGCAGTCGCTCTCCGCCGCCTGGCGAACTTCGAATCGCCCGGACATTGCTCGGGATGGAGCGGGCGTGGGGTGTGGTGGGGTGGGGTTTGTTGTTGTGGTTGTGGGTGTTGTTGTTGTGGTTGTGGGTGTTGTTGTGGGTGTTTGTGTTGTTGAAGAATCTGTTAAAACGTCAGACTGTGTGTGTGTGTGCGTTTTCGTGTGTGGAATCGCCCACGTGACCGTGGTTGTGGTGGGTGGTTGGGTGGTTGGGGTGGGGTGGTGGTGGGTGGGGTAGTTGGTGATTGGTGTGTGGGTGTGTGTGGGTGTGGGTGTGTGTGTGTGGGTGTGTGTGTGTGGGTGGGTGTGGGTGGGTGTGTGTGGGTGTGTGGCTGTGTGTGTGGGTGTGTGTGTGTGTTTAGCGTACTTCCCGGCATGCAACAAACTGGGAATTCGCCATGTGAGTACTTTCCAGACTGCCAACCATGCACACAATATAAAAATACACTTTTGGGTTTTTTTTTGGGGGGTGAGCTCAATAATGCATAAAATTTTTGCACAGGCAAGTGAGCTGTGACGTCAAATCTGTCACGTGACCCGCGCATGTGGAAGCGTTTGCAGTGTAGCGGTTAGCGCCCTGTCTGTGTGTGCATGTCTGTGTGTGTGTGCATGTCTGTGTGTGACTGTGTCTGTGTGTGACTGTGTGTGTCTCTGTGTCTGTTTGTGTGTCTCTGTGTCTGTTTGTGTGTGTCTGTGTGTGTGTGTGTGTCTGTGCGTCTGTGTGTCTGTGTGTTTGTGTCTGTGCGTGTCTGTGTGTGTCTGTGTGTGTCTGTGTGTGTGTCTGTGCATGTCTGTGTGTGTGTCTGTGTGTGTCTGTGTGTGTGGGGAGCGGTAGTGTAGCGGTTAGCGCGCTGCGCTATGAACCTAGCGACCCGGGTTCGATTCCTGCTCACGGCCAACACCAGTGACGATTATCTGAACCGGTGCCGGGCCTCCCCTAGGTCGACTCAGCCTCAAATGAGTACCTGGTGCGGTGTGTAAACATTGCCACTAGGGAGACAAAGGCGGTCGGGCGTGGTGCTGGCCACCCACCCCCTCGTGTGCCGTGCCGGCCTTCATAGGTGCTCGCTAACAGCACTTGCCTCTACAGTCTGTTAAGGCTATACGGTGCATCTTTATCTTTGTGTGGATGTGTGTTGCTGAGGAGATGGAGTCTGCCTCAGTGGCCCGCGATCACAAATCTCTATTTAACTCCATCAACAAAGTAACCTGCAGCGCCACACCTATTACCATCATTAGGGGAAAAAACGGTGATCCAATCTCCGACCCCCAGGAGCATTTCTGTGAGGTCCTTAGGGAGGGAAAATCCCTCAGCCAGGAAAACATCGTGGCACAAAGTGAGGATGACCCTGCTGAGGCTGCGGTGCCTCAAAAATTGGAAGAAGTCACCCCCTGTGAGTGGCTGGCTGAGGTGCCATCTGTTGAGGAAGTACTGAAGGCGATCCGGAGTCTGAGACCAGGAAAGGCAGCGGGCAGAGATGATCTCCCAAGCGAAATGCTGAGGGAGGGTGGCGTTTGTGCACAGACTGCCCTATATGACATCATGCCCTGGTGGTCCCCCTCTTTAAGAAGGAGGACCGCACAGACTGTAACAACTACAGGGGCATCTCACTCCTCAGTGTGCCGGGAAAGGTCCTGGCAAAGATTATTCAACATCGCCTTGCCAGGCACGCTGAGGAGAGGCTTGCGGAGACCCAACGCGGTTTCAGGAAAGGGCGGTCCTGCACAGATGCCATATTTTCTGTTCGTCTGCTACAGCAGAGGTGTAGGGAATTCCAGCAAGACCTACATCTCTGCTTTATTGACCTGGTCAAGGCCTATGATACCATCAGTAGGCCTGGGCTTTGGGTTGTTCTTCGTGCTTTTGTAGTACCTGACCCTCTGCTCACGCTCATTAAGGACCTTCATGATGGTGAGCTGGCCCGGGTAAAACTACGTGGCCGGGAGTCCGAGCCATTCCCTGTACACCTTGGGGTGCGACAGGGATGTCCTCTGGATCCCACATTATTTAACATCTATTTTGACCGCGTAGTTCGTGAAGCCTTCAATAGCTGTACGGGGGAATCTCCATATGGTACAGATATAATGGGAGGCTGATCGATGCCCGGGTGCGGTCAAGGGATGGCTCCCTATTGCTCAACCACGTTATGTATGCTGATGATTTGGTAATAGCTGGTCATTCAGAGGAGGAGTTGGAGACGCTGCTGCTGAGACTGGAGCGTGCCACTAAGAGATGGGGCCTTACCATCAGCCCCACTAAAACTAAGCACCTGCCTGGGTATTTTGTACCATCGGACACTCCACCCTCACAACTGCCAATCAGTGATGGGGCAGTTGTGGAGAGAGTGGAGAGTTTCCCATACCTGGGCAGTGTGCTTATGACTGGCTCCAGTTTAACAGCAGAGGTCTCGCTCCGAATCAGTCGAGCGGCAATATCTTTTCATCGGTTGTGTAACGCTGTGTGGAAGCTACCTGGTCTGTCGCTCCGCACTAAGCTTCAGGTCTTCTCGGCCACGGTCATTCCCTCCCTTTTCTACGCTTGCGAAACGTGGACCCCCTGAATGGAACATCTTCGCCGGTTAGAAACATTTAGGCTGGCCTGCCTACGATCCATCCTGTATTTAACCAGACTGGATTGTGTGAGCTCACAAATCCTTGAAAGATCTGGGCAAGGTCCCATCGGTGAGCTCCTCCGGCGGGCAAGGCTGCGTTGGGTGGGTCATGTAGCCCGCGTGCCCAGCCACCGCATGCCGAAACAGCTTTTGTTCGGCCGGATCGAGGGGGATAAACGGGCGCGGCACGGGCTAGAGAAGAGATGGAGTGACGTGGTACAGGAGGACGTGGAGTTGAGTGGACTTGCCGATGACTGGTACCAGCGGTGTCAAGATCGGCCTCTGTGGAGGAGGCTCGTGAAGGACGCTGCTACTGGGCAGTTGGAAGCAGTCGCCCTCCAACAACAACGGAGGGCGGAGGAGCGACGCTCACAACAACAAGCGGAGCGCCGGGTGGATAAAGCACAGCAGGTTGGCACAGTAGGGGGCACAGGTGGTGCATCAGCCAGTCATCTCAGTCAGTCGACCCGTGGCACCTGGGTCTGCCCCGTGACCTCCTGCCAGCGGGCGTTCGAAACTTCACGTGGCCTCAAGGTGCACATAGCCTGGCACAAGCGTCGTGGTGACGTCACCGCCACTTAGTGGCGAATGGCGGTTGTTATGTTATGTGGGTGTGTGTGGATGTGTGTGGATGTGGGTGGGTGTGTGTGGGTGACTTTGTAATAAATGTTATCTCCTACAACATCAGAGTTGCAGCGCCACACTAAACACGCAACTATAATGACAACAATAGTTTAAAGCGATTTGAAGAATGTTTTATTTTTTGTGTGTGGGGGAGGGGGCGGGGGCAGAGCTTTGTGACGTCATATTTGAGGGGGGGGGTAAAAAATATCGTCCAAAATCGCGTGACGTCATTTATGAACTGCCCCCTTAGCTAATTGCGCAAATGATGTTGTCAGTGTGTTCAGAACAGTGGTTCTTAACCTGGGTTCGATCGAACCCCAGGGGTTCGGTGAGTCGATCTCAGGGGTTCGGCAGAGCCCCCGCCACGGAGGTCCGGACACACTTGAATAATTGTGTAAATTTGTGATGACACACACGGCCCGCTTGGCCATCACTGGCTGCAGATAATCATGCTACACTGCTTGGCCAATCAGCGCTGCGGGGAATTTAGTGCGTACTCAGTAGTCAACGTGTGACTGTTGTTGTCGTACGTCGTGTGATTTCTTTAATATTTTATCCATACTAACTATGTCGGGCAAAAGAGGAAAGTGGTCGGACGAATATGTACAACATGGATTCTCATGTATCACGGAACGTGATGGGAAGTGAGCGTCCTATCTGCATGATTTGCAACGCCAAGTTGAGCAACTCTAGTCTTGCACCGGCAAAACTAAAGGAACACTTCTTGAAGCTGCATGGAGACGGGGAATACAAGAACACAACACTTGCTGAATTCAGGGTGAAGAGAGCCAGATTCGATGAAAGGGCCACTCTGCCTGCTCTTGGATTTGTACCTGTTAACAAACCGATCCTGACAGCATCGTACGAAGTTGCTTACCTGATCGCAAAGCAGGGCAAGCCACACACCATTGGTGAAACACTTGTGAAACCAGCTGCATTAAAGATGGCGAATCTGATACTCGGAACAGCAGCCGAAGGTAAATTATCCCAAATTCCCCTTTCAAATGACACCGTCAGTGACAGAATAGAAGACATGAGTAAAGACATCTTGGCTCAAGTAGTCGCGGATCTGATTTCAAGCCCGGCAAAATTCAGCCTTCAACTCGACGAAACCACAGACGTTTCTGATCTAAGCCAGCTTGCTGTTTTTGTACGCTATGTGAAAGACGACATGATAAAAGAAGAGTTTTTATTTTGTAAGCCTCTTACAACAACAACGAAGGCAGCCGATGTGAAGAAGCTTGTGGATGACTTCTTCAGAGACAACAATCTTTCATGGGATATGGTTTCTGCAGTTTGTACGGACGGAGCTCCAGTCATGCTGGGAAGAAAGTCTGGTTTTGGTGCGCTAGTAAAGGCCGATGCACCACACATCATTGTGACGCATTGTATTCTGCACAGGCATGCGTTGGCAACAAAAACCTTACCTCCAAAAATGACAGAAGTATTAAAAACTGTGGTGGAATGTGTGAACTATGTGCGAAAAAGTGCTCTGAGGCACCGCATCTTCAGTGAGCTGTGTAAAGAAATGGGCTCTGAATTTGAGGTACTTCTGCTCCATTCTAATATTCGGTGGTTATCCCGGGGACAGGTGCTGAATCGTGTTTTTGCCATGCGTGTGGAATTAGCCCTGTTTTTGCAAGAGCACCAACACTGCCATGCAGATTGCTTCAAAAATCCTGAGTTCATTCTCATTTTAGCGTACATGGCTGATATATTCGCAGCTCTCAATCATCTCAATCAGCAGATGCAGGGTGGTGGAGTCAATATCATGGAAGCGGAAGAACACCTGAAGGCTTTTCAAAAAAAGCTACCGTTATGGAAACGACGAACAGAGAACAATAACTTCGCAAACTTCCCGCTTCTGGACGACTGTGCAAGTAAGATCGAAGATGTGTCTGGAATCGGAGATATTTCTGTATCCACGGAACTGAAGCAAACAATTGCCACGCACTTAGATGAGCTTGCAAAGTCTCTCGACGGATATTTCCCTACAAGAGAGTCATATCCAGCATGGGTGAGACAGCCGTTCACGTTTGCTGTTGAAACAGCAGATGTCAATGATGAATTCCTCGACGAAATCATTGAAATTCAGCAGAGCCAGGTTCAACAGCAACTCTTCAGAACAACAACGCTCTCAACGTTTTGGTGTCGACAAATGAACAAGTATCCAGTTATTGCTAAGAAAGCCCTGGATTTTTTTATACCATTTGTTACAACATATCTTTGTGAGCAATCCTTTTCGAGGATGCTGGACATAAAAACGAAGAAAAGGAACAGACTTTGCTGTGAAAATGACATGAGAGTGGCACTTGCCAAGGTGAAGCCACGCATATCTGAACTGATCTCTCAAAGGCAACAGCAGAAGTCACATTGATTTCCAGGTATGTAATTTGTTGTGAGTTTATGCATTGTGTTGGTTTTATTCTTTGAACAAGGTAATGTTCATGCACGGCTCATTTTGTGTACCAGTAAAAAACATATCTATGTCTTGAATTTGAAAAAAATCACATTTTATTTTTCACTGAAGAGGGGTTCGGTGAATGCGCATATGAAACTGGTGGGGTTCGGTACCTCCAACAAGGTTAAGAACCACTGGTTCAGAATGTTATCGTGTTGAGGTCCTCCATGAAAGTCCGCTATACGAATGTAACGACCGAAAGGCAATGTTAACAGCCTCATGGCTCATCTTATTTGGTTCTTTCGGTAAAGTCACCACCACGTAGAATGAGAATAAGATAATAAAAATAAAACAATAAAATTCTCACGGACGTTTCGGCCACAACATAAGTGGCCTTCAGGTGAAAGGAACAGACCTGTCGGCTACAATGAACGCTGCTAAGATTCGCAGCGTCTTTTAAAGCTGGTTTGTTCCTTTCACCTGAAGAAGGCCACTTGTGTTGTGGCCGAAACGTCCGTGAGAATTTAATTGTTTTATTTTTATTATCTTATTCTCATTCTACGTGGTGGTGACTTTAACGAAAGAACCAAAGAAGATGAATCCTTGCAGTCACGAAAGCTTTAAATCGAAGCCTAATGGGCTATTCAGTAACAAAACAAAGTCTTAGACTGGCGGAAAGAGGCCTCGTTCCTCCGGCTGGAGACCTCGTTAGGCTGCTACCATTAGAATGGGTGAGTGGGCCGGTGATTGTGTGGGTGAGTGAATGGGTGAGTGGGTCGGTGAGTGTGTGAGTGAATGGGTGGGTAGGTGAGTGAGTGAATGGGTGAGTGGGTGGGAAGGTGAGTGAGTGAATGGGTGGGTAGGTGAGTGAGTGAATGGGTGAGTGGGTCGGTGTGTGAGTGGTCCAGCGAATGGATGAGTGGGTGGTGAGGTGAGTGAATGAATGGGAGAGTGAGTGGGAAGGTGAGTGAGTGAATGGGTGGGTAGGTGAGTGAGTGAATGGGTGAGTGGGTCGGTGTGTTGAGTGGCCCAGCGAATGGATGAGTGGGTGGTGAGGTGAGTGAATGAATGGGTGAGTGGGTGGGAAGGTGAGTGAGTGAATGGGTGGGTAGGTGAGTGAGTGAATGGGTGAGTGGGTTGGTGTGTGAGTGGCCCAGCGAGTGGGTGAGTGGGTGGTGAGGTGAGTGAATAGGTGAGTGGGTGGCTAGGTGAGTGAGTGAATGGGTGGGTAGGTGAGTGAGTGAATGAGTTGGTGTGTGAGTGGCCCAGCGAGTGGGTGGGTAGGCGAGTGAGTGGATGAATGGGTGAGTGGGTGGGTGAGTGAGAGTCTAAATGCGTGGCACCCTAGACAAATGAGCTTCTGCTCAATGGCCATAAACTTCTGAATTCTGATTTTTTTGAAAGGCCGTTGCTCGAAACGTCGCCTATTAAATAATGACTTTGACTTTTGAAGGCCACCATTATGCCATCGATTCACGTAACCTTACCAAGATGGCGGAGGCTTGTACATGACGTCACTGGGGGGGGGGGGGGGCAGGCGTCCGAATAGAATCGATTCGCCTAAAAATATGATCGATTAAGGGGAATCGCCATTGCATGTTGGTGGGTTGGGGGCACCAGAGGAATCAAATCGATTTTTAAAGTTTCCACACGATTCCTCACCCCCAGCGGATTCGAATCGATATTTAAAGGTTGCCGCACGATTCCCTCCCCCCCCAGAGGAATCGCCGCCGTTGTCTAGGCGACGAAAGATGGCGGCTGTGGCTGAGGCTGCGGGCGGCTACAGCTTGAGGCCCAACTTCCAGCACAGGCGAGAGACGCCAAAGCTCCCTCAGCAACTCTCCCCTCAGCAACTCTCCCCTCGACTCTCCCCTCAGCATCTCTCCCCTCAGCATCTCTCCCCTCGCTCTCCCCTCAGCAACTCTCGCCTCAGCAACTCTCCCCTCGACTCTCCCCTCGCCCTCCCCTCAGCAACTCTCCCCTCGACTCTCCCCTCAGCATCTCTCCCCTCAGCATCTCTCCCCTCGCTCTCCCCTCAGCATCTCTCCCCTCAGCAACTCTCGCCTCAGCAACTCTCCCCTCGACTCTCCCCTCGATCTCCCCTCAGCAACTCTCCCCTCGACTCTCCCCTCAGCATCTCTCCCCTCAGCAACTCTCCCCTCGCTCTCCCCTCAGCAACTCTCCCCTCAGCAACTCTCCCCTCAGCAACTCTCCCCTCGACTCTCCCCTCAGCATCTCTCTCCTCAGCATCTCTCCCCTCGCTCTCCCCTCAGCATCCCTCCCCTCAGCAACGCTCCCCTCGACTCTCCCTTCAGCATCTCTCCCCTCAGCATCTCTCCCCTCGCTCTCCCCTCAGCAACTCTCGCCTCAGCAACTCTCCCCTCGACTCTCCCCTCAGCATCTCTCCCCTCAGCATCTCTCCCCTCGACTCTCCCCTCAGCATCTCTCCCCTCAGCAACTCTCCCCTCGCTCTCCCCTCAGCAACTCTCCCCTCAGCAACTCTCCCCTCGACTCTCCCCTCAGCAACTCTCCCCTCAGCAACTCTCCCCTCAGCATCTCTCCCCTCAGCATCTCTCCCCTCAGCATCTCTCCACTCGACTCTCCCCTCAGCAACTCTCCCCTCGACTCTCCCCTCAGCAGCTCTCCCCTCAGCCACTCTCCCCTCGACTCTCCCCTCAGCCACTCTCCCCTCAGCATCTCTCCCCTCGACTCTCCCCTCAGCAACTCTCCCCCCAGCAACTCTCCCCTCGCTCTCCCCTCAGCATCTCTCCCCTCAGCAACTCTCCCCTCAGCAACTCTCCCCTCGCTCTCTCCTCAGCAACACTCCCCTCAGCATCTCTCCCCTCGCTCTCCCCTCAGCAACTCTCCCCTCGCTCTCCCCTCAGCCACTCTCCCCTCAGCATCTCTCCCCTCGACTCTCCCCTCAGCAACTCTCCCCTCAGCAACCCTCCCCTCAGCAACTCTCCCCTCAGCAACTCTCCCCTCAGCAACTCTCCCCTCAGCAACTCTCCCCTCATCTCTCCCCTCAGCAACTCTCCCCTCATCAACTCTCCCCTCAGCAACGCTCCCCTCATCAACTCTCCCCTCATCTCTCCCCTCAGCAACTCTCCCCTCGACTCTCCCCTCAGCATCTCTCCCCTCAGTATCTCTCCCCTCAGCAACCCTCCCCTCAGCAACTCTCCCCTCAGCAACTCTCCCCTCAGCATCTCTCCCCTCAGTATCTCTCCCCTCAGCAACTCTCCCCTCAGCAACTCTCCCCTCAGCATCTCTCCCCTCAGCAACTCTCCCCTCAGCAACCCTCCCCTCAGCAACTCTCCCCTCAGCAACTCTCCCCTCAGCAACTCTCCCCTCAGCAACTCTCCCCTCGACTCTCCCCTCAGCAACTCTCCCCTCAGCAACTCTCCCCTCATCAACTCTCCCCTCAGCAACTCTCCCCTCATCAACTCTCCCCTCATCTCTCCCCTCAGCAACTCTCCCCTCGACTCTCCCCTCAGCAACTCTCCCCTCAGCATCTCTCCCCTCAGTATCTCTCCCCTCAGCAACTCTCCCCTCAGCAACTCTCCCCTCAGTATCTCTCCCCTCGCTCTCACCTCAGCAACTCTCCCCTCAGCAACTCTCCCCTCATCAACTCTCCCCTCAGCAACTCTCCCCTCAGCAACTCTCCCCTCAGCCACACTCCCCTCAGCCACTCTCCCCTCAGCCACTCTACCCTCTTCTCTCCCCTCAGCAACTCTCCCCTCAGCAACTCTCCCCTCATCTCTCCCCTCAGCATCTCTCCCCTCAGCAACTCTCCCCTCAGCCACTCTCCCCTCGACTCGCCCCTCGACTCTCGTCTCGACTCTCGTCTCGACACTCCCCTCAACTCCCCTCGACTCTCTCCTCGACTCTGCTCGACTCTCCCCTCGACGCTCCCCTCGACTCTCCCTTCGCCCTCCCCTCGACTCCCCTCGACTCTCCCTTCGACTCTCCCTTCGACTCTCCCCTCGACTATCCCCTCAACTCTCCTCGACTCTCCCCTCGCCCTCCCCTCGCCCTCCCCTCGACTCTCCCCTCGCCCTCCCCTCGACTCTCCCCTCGCCCTCCCATCGACTCTCCCCTCGACTCCCCTCGACTCTCCCCTCGCTCTCCCCTCGCCTCCCCTCGACTCTCGTCTCGACTCTCGTCTCGACTCTCCCCTCGACTCTCCCCTCGACTCTCCCCTCAACTCCCCTCGACTCTCATCTCGACTCTCCCCTCGACGCTCCCCTCGACTCTCCTCTCGACTCTCCCCTCGACTCTCCTCTCGACTCTCGTCTCGACTCTCTCCTCGCTCTCCCCTCGACTCTCCACTCGACTCTCCCTCGACGCTCCCCTCAACTCCCCTCGACTCTCCCCTCGACTCTCCTCTCGACTCTCCCCTCGACTCCCCTCGACTCTCCACTCGACTCTCCCCTCGCTGTCTCCTCACCAACACTCCCCTCGCTCTCTTCTGATTAAACCGATGATGATGATGATGAAACTGCTGCTGCTGATGAAACTGATGATGATGAAACTGATGATGATGAAACTGCTGCTCATGATGAAACTGATGATGATGAAACTGATGATGATGAAACTGATGATGATGAAACTGATGATGAAACTGATGATGATGAAACTGATGATGAAACTGATGATGATGAAACAACTGATGATGATGATGAAACTGCTTATGATGGTGAAACTGATGATGATGATAATGAAACTGATGGTAATGATGAAACTTGTGATGTCAGGTTCCGAAAGGCGACCGTGGGGGAATGCATCCAGCAGGTGCTGAAGGAGACGCTGGACGGCAAACAGTACGATGGGGACGAGTCGCCCACGCTCACCCGCACCGTGGGCGACGCCATACGCGAGCGACTCAAGGGTGAGCGCCCGCTCGCCAATCCACCCTCGTCATCCGCTCGCTCGCCCGCTCGCTCTCCTCCTCGTTCGCCCGCTTAGCTACTGACTCACTCACCCACGAGCTAGCTCGCTCATTCACTCACCCGCTCGTTCGCTTGCTTAGCTACTGACTCACTCACTCACTAGCTAGCTCGCTCATTCACTCACCCGCTCGTTCGCTTGCTTAGCTACTGACTCACTCACCCACTCGCCCACTAGCTAGCTCGCTCATTCACTCACCCGCTCGTTCTCTTGCTTAGCTACTCACTCACCCACGAGCTAGCTCGCTCATTCACTCACCCGCTCGTTCGCTTGCTTAGCTACTGACTCACTCACTCACTAGCTAGCTCGCTCATTCACTCACCCGCTCGTTAGCTTGCTTAGCTACTGACTCACTCACCCACTAGCTAGGTCGCTCATTCACTCACCCGCTCGTTCACTTGCTTAGCTACTGACTCACTCACTCACTCACTAGTGAGCTCGCTCATTCACTCACCCACTCGTTCGCTTGCTTAGCTACTGACTCACTCACCCACTAGCTAGATCGCTCATTCACTCACCCGCTCGTTCGCTTGCTTAGCTACTCACTCACTAGCTAGCTCGCTCACTCATTCACCCACTCGTTCGCCCGCTTAGCTACTGACTCACTCACTCACTAGCTAGCTCGCTCACTCATTCACCCGCTCGTTCGCCCGCTTAGCTACTGACTCACTCACTCACTAGCTAGCTCGCTCACTCATTCACCCACTCGTTAGCTTGCTTAACTACTTACTCACTCACCCACTAGCTAGCTCGCTCATTCACTCACCCGCTCATTCGCTTGCTTAGCTACTGACTCACTCACTCATCCACTAGCTAGCTCACTCATTCACTCACCCGCTCGTTAGCTTGCTTAGCTACTCACTCACTCACCCACTAGCTAGCTCGCTCATTCACTCACCCGGTCATTCGCTTGCTTAGCTACTGACTCACTCACGAGCGAGCTCGCTCATTCACTCACCCGCTCGTTCGCTTGCTTAGCTACTCACTCACTCACTAGCGAGCTCGCTCATTCACTCACCCGCTCGTCCGCTTGCTGAGCTGACTCACTCACTCACCCACTAGCTAGCTCGCTCATTCACTCACCCGCTCGTTAGTTTGCTCAGCCACTGACTCACTCACCCACTAGCTAGCTCACTCATTCACTCACCCGCTCGTTCACTTGCTTAGCTACTGACTCACTCACCCACTAGCTAGCTCGCTCATTCACTCACCCGCTCGTTAGCTTGCTTAGCTACTCACTCACTAGCTAGCTCGCTCACTCATTCACCCGCTCGTTCGCCCGCTTAGCTACTGACTCACTCACTCACTAGCTAGCTCGCTCACTCATTCACCCACTCGTTAGCTTGCTTAACTACTTACTCACTCACCCACTAGCTAGCTCGCTCATTCACTCACCCGCTCATTCGCTTGCTTAGCTACTGACTCACTCACTCACCCACTAGCTAGCTCACTCATTCACTCACCCGCTCGTTAGCTTGCTTAGCTACTCACTCACTCACCCACTAGCTAGCTCGCTCATTCACTCACCCGGTCATTCGCTTGCTTAGCTACTGACTCACTCACTCACGAGCGAGCTCGCTCATTCACTCACCCGCTCGTTCGCTTGCTTAGCTACTCACTCACTAGCTAGCTCGCTCATTCACTCACCCGCTCGTTAGCTTGCTTACCTACTTACTCACTCACCCACTAGCTAGCTCGCTCATTCCCTCACCCGCTCGTTCACTTGCTTAGCTACTGACTCACTCATTCACCCACTAGCTAGCTCGCTCATTCACTTACCCGCTCGTTCGCTTGCTTAGCTACTGACTCACTCACCAGCTAGCTATCTCGCTCATTCACTCACCCGCTCGTTAGCTTGCTTACCTACTTACTCACTCACCCACTAGCTAGCTCGCTCATTCACTCACCCGCTCGTTCACTTGCTTAGCTACTGACTCACTCACTCACCCACTAGCTAGCTCGCTCATTCACTTACCCGCTCGTTCGCTTGCTTAGCTACTGACTCACTCACCAGCTAGCTATCTCGCTCATTCACTCACTCGCTCACCCGCTCGTTCGCCTGCTTATCCACTCACTCTAATGCTCGCTCGCTCATTCACTCACTCGCTCACTCATTCACTCACTCGCTCACCCGCTCGTTCGCCTGCTTATCAACTGACTCACTCACCAGCTAGCTGGCTCATTCACTCACTCGCTCACTCATTCACTCACTCGCTCACCCGCTCGTTCGCCTGCTCATCCACTCACTCTAATGCTCGCTCGCTCATTCACTCACTCGCTCACTCATTCACTCACTCGCTCACCCGCTCGTTCGCCTGCTTATCAACTGACTCACTCACCAGCTAGCTGGCTCATTCACTCACTCGCTCACTCATTCACTCACTCGCTCACCCGCTCGTTCGCCTGCTTATCAACTGACTCATTCACCAGCTAGCTGGCTCATTCACTCACTCGCTCACTCATTCACTCACTCGCTCACCCGCTCGTTCGCCTGCTTATCAACTGACTCATTCACCAGCTAGCTGGCTCATTCACTCACTCGCTCACTCATTCACTCACTCGCTCACCCGCTCGTTCGCCTGCTTATTAACTGACTCACTCACCAGCTAGCTCGCTCATTCACTCACTCGCTCACTCATTCACTCACTCGCTCACCCGCTCGTTCGCCTGCTTATCAACTGACTCACTCACCAGCTAGCTGGCTCATTCACTCACTCGCTCACTCATTCACTCACTCGCTCACCCGCTCGTTCGCCTGCTCATCCACTCACTCTAATGCTCGCTCGCTCATTCACCCGCTCGCCCACCAATTGGCGCACTCGCTCACACGTTCACTCACCCACTCAGGTGCTCACTCGCTCACCGTGCGTCCCGTGTCTCCCGTGTGTCTCAGAGCTGAACTATGACCGCTACAAGACGGTGGTGCAGGTGGTGATCGGGGAGCAGCGGGGAGAGGGCGTGAGGTGCGGCGCCGCGGTCACGCAAATCACTCTCTCACTCACTCGCTCCTTCACTCACTCACTCTCTCGCTCCTTCACTCACTCACTCCTTCACTCTCTCTCACTCGCTCCTTCACTCACTCGCTCGCTCGCTCCTTCACTCACTCACTCCTTCACTCACTCTCTCCTTCACTCACTCTCACCTTCACTCACACCTTCACTCTCTCTCACTCGCTCCTTCACTCACTCACTCGCTCGCTCCTTCACTCACTCACTCCTTCACTCACTCTCTCCTTCACTCACTCTCACCTTCACTCACACCTTCACTCTCACTCACTCGCTCCTTCACTCACTCACTCCTTCACTCACTCACTACCTCCTTCACTCTCTCACTCGCTCCTTCACTCACTCACTCCTTCACTCTCTCTCACTCACTCCTTCACTCTCTCACTCGCTCCTTCACTCACTCACTACTTCCTTCACTCACTCACTCGCTCCTTCACTCACTCGCTCCTTCACTCACTCACTACCTCCTTCACTCGCTCACTACCTCCTTCACTCACTCGCTCCTTCACTCACTCACTACCTCCTTCACTCACTCACTACCTCCTTCACACTCTCACTCGCTCCTTCACTCACTCACTCCTTCACTCACTCACTACCTCCTTCACTCTCTCACTCGCTCCTTCACTCACTCACTCCTTCACTCACTCACTACCTCCTACACTCACTCACTACCTCCTTCACTCACTCACTACCTCCTTCACTCACTCGTTCACACCTTCACTCACTACCTCCTTCACCCACTCACTCACTACCTCCTTCACTCACTCATTCACTCACTACCTCCTTCACTCACTCACTACCTCCTTCACTCACTCGTTCACACCTTCACTCACTCACTACCTCCTTCACTCACTACCTCCTTCACTCACTCACTCACTACCTCCTTCACCCACTCACTCACTACCTCCTTCACTCACTCACTCACTACCTCTTTCACTCACTCACTACCTCTTTCACTCACTCACTACCTCCTTCACCCACTCACTCACTCACTACCTCCTTCACCCACTCACTCACTATCTCCTTCACCCACTCACTCACTACCTCCTTCACCCACTCACTCACTACCTCCTTCACTCACTCACTACTTCCTTCGCTCACTCATTCACTCACTACCTCCTTCACCCACTCACTCACTACCTCCTTCACTCACTCACTCACTACCTCCTTCACCCACTCACTCACTACCTCCTTCACTCACTCACTCCTTCACTCACTCACTACCTCCTTCACCCACTCACTCACTACCTCCTTCACTCACTCACTACCTCCTTCACTCACTCATTCACTACCTTCTTCACTCACTCACTACCTCCTTCACTCACTCACTACCTCCTTCACTCACTCACTACCTCCTTCACTCACTCACTCACTACCTCCTTCACTCACTCACTACCTCCTTCACTCACTCACTACCTCCTTCACTCACTCATTCACTCACTACCTCCTTCACTCACTACCTCCTTCACTCACTCGTTCACACCTTCACTCACTCATTACCTCCTTCACTCACTACCTCCTTCACTCACTCATTCACTCACTACCTCCTTCACTCACTACCTCCTTCACTCACTCGTTCACACCTTCACTCACTCACTACCTCCTTCACTCACTACCTCCTTCACTCACTCACTCACTACCTCCTTCACCCACTCACTCACTACCTCCTTCACTCACTCACTACCTCTTTCACTCACTCACTACCTCCTTCACCCACTCACTCACTCACTACCTCCTTCACCCACTCACTCACTACCTCCTTCACCCACTCACTCACTACCTCCTTCACTCACTCACTACTTCCTTCACTCACTCATTCACTCACTACCTCCTTCACCCACTCACTCACTACCTCCTTCACTCACTCACTCACTACCTCCTTCACCCACTCACTCACTACCTCCTTCACTCACTCACTCACTCACTACCTCCTTCACTCACTCATTCACTCACTACCTCCTTCACTCACTCACTACCTCCTTCACTCACTCGTTCACACCTTCACTCACTCACTACCTCCTTCACTCACTACCTCCTTCACTCACTCACTCACTACCTCCTTCACCCACTCACTCACTACCTCCTTCACTCACTCACTCACTACCTCTTTCACTCACTCACTACCTCTTTCACTCACTCACTACCTCCTTCACCCACTCACTCACTCACTACCTCCTTCACCCACTCACTCACTATCTCCTTCACCCACTCACTCACTACCTCCTTCACCCACTCACTCACTACCTCCTTCACTCACTCACTACTTCCTTCGCTCACTCATTCACTCACTACCTCCTTCACCCACTCACTCACTACCTCCTTCACTCACTCACTCACTACCTCCTTCACCCACTCACTCACTACCTCCTTCACTCACTCACTCCTTCACTCACTCACTACCTCCTTCACCCACTCACTCACTACCTCCTTCACTCACTCACTACCTCCTTCACTCACTCATTCACTACCTTCTTCACTCACTCACTACCTTCTTCACTCACTCACTACCTCCTTCACTCACTCACTACCTCCTTCACTCACTCACTCACTACCTCCTTCACTCACTCACTACCTCCTTCACTCACTCACTACCTCCTTCACTCACTCATTCACTCACTACCTCCTTCACTCACTACCTCCTTCACTCACTCGTTCACACCTTCACTCACTCATTACCTCCTTCACTCACTACCTCCTTCACTCACTCATTCACTCACTACCTCCTTCACTCACTACCTCCTTCACTCACTCGTTCACACCTTCACTCACTCACTACCTCCTTCACTCACTACCTCCTTCACTCACTCACTCACTACCTCCTTCACCCACTCACTCACTACCTCCTTCACTCACTCACTACCTCTTTCACTCACTCACTACCTCCTTCACCCACTCACTCACTCACTACCTCCTTCACCCACTCACTCACTACCTCCTTCACCCACTCACTCACTACCTCCTTCACTCACTCACTACTTCCTTCACTCACTCATTCACTCACTACCTCCTTCACCCACTCACTCACTACCTCCTTCACTCACTCACTCACTACCTCCTTCACCCACTCACTCACTACCTCCTTCACTCACTCACTCACTACCTCCTTCACTCACTCACTACCTCCTTTACCCACTCACTCACTACCTCCTTCACTCACTCATTCACTACCTTCTTCACTCACTCACTACCTTCTTCACTCACTCACTACCTCCTTCACTCACTCACTACCTCCTTCACTCACTCACTACCTCCTTCACTCACTCACTCACTACCTCCTTCACTCACTCACTCACTACCTCCTTCACTCACTCACTACCTATTTCACTCACCCACTCACTCACTACCTCCTTCACCCACTTACTCACTCACTACCTCCTTCACTCACTCACTCACTACCTCCTTCACTCACTCACTACCTCCTTCACCCACTCACTCACTACCTCCTTCACCCACTCACTCACTACCTCCTTCATTCACTCACTACTTCCTTCACTCACTCATTCACTCACTACCTCCTTCACTCACTCACTCACTACCTCCTTCACCCACTCACTCACTCACTACCTCCTTCACTCACTCACTACCTCCTTCACTCACTCACTACCTCCTTCACTCACTCACTCACTACCTCCTTCAATCACTCACTATCTCCTTCACCCACTCACTCACTACCTCCACCACTCAATCCGTGGCCTTGCCCGTGTAGCAGGGCCTGGCGGAGGGCTGTCAGCTTGCCGCGTGTCCTGGTTGAGCCTCCCGGCAATGTGATCTCATTATCACCCCCACCCCCCACCGTGTCACACGGGAGCGGTGGGTGTAGCGGTTAGCGCTACGCTGCGCTACGAACCCGGCCACCCGAGTTCGATTCCCGCTCACGGCCAACACCGGCGGTGACGATTATCTGAACCGGTCCCTGGGCCTCCCCTAGGTCGACTCGGCCTCAAACGAGCACCTGGTGTAAGCGGTGGTGCAGTAAACATCGCCACTGGGGGAGACAAAGGCGGCCGGTCGTGGTTGCTGGTAGCCACCCACCCCCTCGTGTGCCACGGTGCCGGCAGCCTTCATAGGTGCTGCTGCTACTAACAGCACTTGCCCCAGCAGTCTGTAGAGGCTACACGGGGGATCTTTGTCTGTGTCTACCTTCACAGGTGCTGCTGCTACTCGCTACTAACAGCACTTGCCCCAGTAGTCTGTAGAGGCTACACGGGGGATCTTTGTCTGTGTCTACCTTCATAGCTGCTGCTACTCGCTACTAACAGCACTTGCCCCAGCAGTCTGTAGAGGCTACACGGGGGATCTTTGTCTGTGTCTACCTTCACAGGTGCTGCTGCTACTCGCTACTAACAGCACTTGCCCCAGCAGTCTGTAGAGGCTACACGGGGGATCTTTGTCTGTGTCTACCTTCATAGCTGCTGCTACTCGCTACTAACAGCACTTGCCCCAGCAGTCTGTAGAGGCTACACGGGGGATCTTTGTCTGTGTCTACCTTCACAGGTGCTGTTGCTACTCGCTACTAACAGCACTTGCCCCAGCAGTCTGTTAGAGGCTACACGGGGGATCTTTGTCTGTGTCTATCTTCATAGCTGCTGCTACTCGTTACTAACAGCACTTGCCCCAGCAGTATGTAGAGGCTACACGGGGGATCTTTGTCTGTGTCTATCTTCATAGCTGCTGCTACTCGCTACTAACAGCACTTTCCCCAGCAGTCTGTTAGAGGCTACACGGGGGATCTTTGTCTGTGTCTACCTTCATAGCTGCTGCTACTCGCTACTAACAGCACTTGCCCCAGCAGTCTGTAGAGGCTACACGGGGGATCTTTGTCTGTGTCTACCTTCACAGGTGCTGTTGCTACTCGCTACTAACAGCACTTGCCCCAGCAGTCTGTTAAGAGGCTACACGGGGGATCTTTGTCTGTGTCTATCTTCATAGCTGCTGCTACTCGTTACTAACAGCACTTGCCCCAGCAGTATGTAGAGGCTACACGGGGGATCTTTGTCTGTGTCTACCTTCATAGCTGCTGCTACTCGCTACTAACAGCACTTGCCCCAGCAGTCTGTTAGAGGCTACACTGGAGAGGGGGGATCTCTTTGTCATCCTGGACAGGATGGTGGCGCGTTGTCTGTGGGACTCGGACACGGATAACTACGCGCAGCACACGTACTCCAACGTGAGTCGCCCCACCACCACACCCGCTGCGCACAGGCAGACAGACGAGACAGGCAGACACACGCACACACACAAAGACTCCACCGTGTAGCCCTGACGGGCTTTTTTGGGCAAGCGCTGTTAGCGAGCACCCACGAAGGCCGGCACGGAAACACGAGGGGGGTGGGTGGCTACCAGCGCCACGCCCGGCCGCCTTTGTCTCTCCCAGTGGCGACGTCCGCTACACCGCACCAGGTACTCATTTGAGGCCGAGTCGACCTAGGGGAGACCCCAGGACCAGTTTACCTGTTCAGATGATCGTCGCTGGTGTTGGCCGTGAGCGGGAATCGAACCCGGACAACCGGGCTCATAGCGCAGCGTAGCGCTCACCGCTACGCTCCCGCTCCACACAAAGATCCCCCGTATAGCCTTAACAGACTGTTGGGGCAAGTGCTGTTAGCGAGCAGCACCTATGAAGGCCGGAATGGCACACGAGGGGGTGGGTGTTCAACACCATGCCCGGCCGCGTTTTGTCTCCTTCAGTGGCGATGTTTACACACCGCTACACCAGGTACTCATTTGAGGCTGAGTCGACCTAACGGAGGGCCAGAACCGGTTCAGATAATCGTCACCGCCGGTGTTGGCCGTGAGCGGGAATCGAATCCGGTTCGCCGGGTTCGTACCACTACCGCTCCCCACACAAAGATCCCCCGTATAGCCTTAAGACTGTAGGGGCAAGTGCTGTTAGCGAACACCTATGACACACACAGAGCTTGTCAGGGAGAGCTGGGGTCACTTGGGCGTTGCCACACGCGAGCGAACACACCTCACCTCCTGACCCAAGGTCTCCCCCCCCTCTCTGTTCACAGGAGTCGCTGTTCTGCATCGCTGTCGCATTTGGATGCTTCTACTACTGAGCGATGGTTGGAGGTGTGGTGGCGGGGGAGCAGCCGATCCCACTCAACCACTCCACAACCCATCTACCCAACCACTCCACAACCCATCTACCCAACCACTCCACAACCCATCTACCCAACCACTCCACAACCCATCTACCCAACCGCTCAACCACTCCACAACCCATCTACCCAACCACTCCACAACCCAACCACTCCACAACCCATCTACCCAACCACTCCACAACCCAACCACTCAACCACTCCACAACCCATCTACCCAACCACTCCATCTACCCAACCACTCCACAACCCATCTACCCAACCACTCCATCTACTCAACCACTCCACAACCCATCTACCCAACCACTCCACAACCCATCTACCCAACCACTCCACAACCCATCTACCCAACCACTCCACAACCCATCTACCCAACCACTCCACAACCCAGCCGCCCAGGCTACCACACAGCCTCCTGATTTGCTCATATGCTGCGACTCCCTTACACCTAACTACCCAGTTATTAAACCACCCAGCAACTCGGCCACCCACCCGTCCATATACCCAGCCAGCCACCCACCAACACACACACCCAGCCAGCCACCCACCCAGTCTCCCATACCCTCAGCCAGCCACCCATACACCCAGCCAGCCACACATACACCCAGCCACCCATACACCCAGCCAGCCACCCATACACTCAGCCAGCTACCCATACACCCAGCCAGCCACCCATACACTCAGCCAGCCACCCATACACCCAGCCAGCTACCCATACACCCAGCCAGCCACCCATACACCCAGCCAGCCACCCATACACTCAGCCAGCCACCCATACACTCAGCCAGCCACCCATACACTCAGCCAGCCACCCATACACCCAGCCAGCCACCCATACACCCAGCTACCCATATACTCAGCCATCCTCCCATACACCCAGCCAGCTTCACAGACACAAGACGTTACCACCATTGAGGGTGAAAGAACTTTATTACAAAATGACCCGTTGCATCTAATTAATTATCTTATAATCCACACACACGCACAAACACACAGATCCTCCCCCCTAAAGCCTTAACAGATTGCTGGGGCGGCAAGTGCTGTTATAGCGAGGAGCACCTACGAAGGCTACCGGCACAGCACAGGACGGGGGGGTGGGTGGCCAGCACCACGCCCGGCCGCCTTTGTCTCCCCAGTGTGCGAATGTTTACTACATCACCGCTACACCAGGGGAGTTCCCCAAGGACCTGTGCGGGCATTAGCGACAGATTTTGGCCACAGGTAGGAATTCGAACTCGGGTCGCCGGTTTCGTACGGAGGCGCGCTGACCGCTACACTACCGCTCCGCTACCGCTCCGCTACCGCTCCGCTACCGCTCCGCTACCGCTCCGCTACCGCTCCGCTACCGCTCCGCTACCGCTCCGCTACCGCTCCGCTACCGCTCCGCTACCGCTACGCTACCGCTACGCTACCGCTCCGCTACCGCTCCGCTACCGCTACGCCACCGCTACGCCACCGCTACGCCACCGCTACGCCACCGCACCGCTACCGCTACACTACCGCTACACTACCGCTACGCTACCGCTACGCTACCGCTCCGCTACCGCTACGCTACCGCTACACTACCGCTACACTACCGCTACGCTACGCTACCGCTACGCTACCGCTACACTACCGCACCACTACCGCTACGCTACCGCTACGCTACCGCTACGCTACCGCTACACTACCGCACCGCTACCGCTCCGCTACCGCTACGCTACCGCTACACTACCGCACCACTACCGCTACGCTACCGCTACACTACCGCACCACTACCGCTACACTACCGCTACACTACCGCACCACTACCGCTACGCCACCGCTACGCCACCGCTCCGCTACCGCTACACTACCGCTACACTACCGCTACGCTACCGCTACGCTACGCTACCGCTACCGCTACACTACCGCTACACTACCGCTACGCTACCGCTACGCTACCGCTACGCTACCGCTCCGCTACCGCTACGCTACCGCTACGCTACCGCTCCGCTACCGCTACACTACCGCTACACTACCGCTACACTACCGCTACGCTACGCTACCGCTACGCTACGCTACCGCTACGCTACCGCTACGCTACCGCTCCGCTACCGCTACGCTACCGCTCCGCTACCGCTACGCTACCGCTACGCTACCGCTACGCTACCGCTACGCTACCGCTACGCTACCGCTACGCTACCGCTACGCCACCGCTACGCCACCGCTACGCTACCGCTACACTACCGCTACACTACCGCTACACTACCGCTACACTACCGCTACACTACAGCTACACTACCGCTACACTACCGCTCCACTACCGCTCCACTACCGCTCCACTACCGCTACAGTACCGCTACACCACCGCTACACCACCGCTACACTACAGCTACACTACCGCTACACTACCGCTACACTACAGCTACACTACCGCTCCACTACCGCTCCACTACCGCTACACTACCGCTACACCACCGCTCCACTACCGCTACACTACCGCTACACTACCGCTCCACTACCGCTCCACTACCGCTACACTACCGCTACACTACCGCTACACTACCGCTACACTACAGCTACACTACCGCTACACTACCGCACCGCTACCGCTACGCTACCGCTACACTACCGCTACGCTACCGCTACCCTACCGCTACGCTACCGCTACGCTACCGCTACGCTACCGCTACACTACCGCACCACTACCGCTACACTACCGCTACACTACCGCTACACTACCGCACCGCTACCGCTACGCTACCGCTACGCTACCGCTACGCTACCGCTACGCTACCGCTACGCTACCGCTACACTACCGCTACGCCACCGCTACGCTACCGCTACACTACCGCTACGCTACCGCTACACTACCGCTACACTACCGCTACACTACCACTACACTACCGCTACACTACCGCTACACTACCGCTACACCACGCTCACACCAGCACTTGAAAACGCCGCTGTAATAATAAAATCTATTTCCCCCCCGGTTCTTGAAAGATCCCAACTTGATCTCAGCCGCGCGCGGGACGCCTCTGGTGCTGTCCGCAAGTCGCCGCCTCACGAGCAAGCCGACAGGGCACCGCGAAAAAAAACACTCTCAAGTTGAGCTGCGGAATTGTCGCTGCGTGGAGGTGGGGGGGGGAGGGGTAAGGAGGTGGGGGAGGGAGGTGAGGTGGGGGTGGGAGAGGGAGGTGGGGGGGGGATAGGGAGGTGGGGGAGGGATAGGGAGGTGAGTGAGGGAGGGAGGGAGGGAGGGAGGGAGGTGAGGGAGGGAGGGAGGTGGGAGAGGGAGGTGAGGAGGGAGGTGAGGGAGGGGAGGGAGGTGAGGGAGATGTGGAGGTGAGGGAGGGAGGGAGGTGAGGGAGGTGGGAGAGGGAGGTGAGGGAGGGAGGTGAGGGAGGGAGGTGAGGGAGGGAGGGAGGTGAGGGAGGGAGGGAGGTGGGAGAGGGAGGGAGGTGGGAGAGGGAGGGAGGGAGGTGAGGGAGGGAGGGAGGTGAGGGAGGTGGGAGAGGGAGGTGAGGGAGGGAGGGAGGTGGGAGAGGGAGGGAGGGAGGTGAGGGAGGTGGGGGAGGGAGGTGGGAGAGGGAGGTGGGGGAGGGATAAGGAGGTGGGAGAGAGAGAGGCGAGAGAGAGGCAGGAGAGTGGCTGCCGTGGGGAGGTCACAAGGACACGAGGCTGCGGAAGAGTGATCCCAGGTCAACGAGTGAGTAGGCGCTGAGGCTCACAGCGGCTTTCGCCGCCTCGTGCAGCACGCCGTAGCCCTTCTGCACCTCCAGCCACTTGCGGTTCTTGAGGGTTTCTGCAATGGCTCACGCACGGTCGCACCTCCGATTAGCACGGTTGGCTGACGTACGGTGCAAAAGTTGTTCAACGTACGTACACTCAACACTGTCACCCATCGACTCAACACTGTCACCCATAGACTCAACACTGTCACCCATAGACACAACACTGCACCATAGGCTCAGCACTGTCACCCATAGACTCAACACTGTCACCCATAGACACAACACTGCACCATAGGCTCAGCACTGTCACCCATAGACTCAACACTGTCACCCGTAGACTCAGCACTGCACCATAGACTCAACACTGCACAATAGACTCAGCACTGCACCATAGACTCAACACTGCACCATAGACTCAACACTGCACCATACACTCAACACTGCACCATAGATTCAACACTGCACCATAGACTCAGCACTACACCATAGACTCAACACTGCACCATAGACTCAACACTGTCACCCATAGACTCAACACTGTCACCCATAGACTCAACACTGCACCATAGACTCAGCACTGCCCATAGACTCAGCACTGTCACCCATAGACTCAGCACTGTCACCCATAGACTCAACACTGCACCATAGACTCAGCACTGCACCATAGACTCAACACTGTCACCCATAGACTCAACACTGCACCATAGACTCAGCACTGCACCATAGACTCAGCACTGCACCATAGACTCAGTACTGCACCATAGACTCAACACTGCACCATAGACTCAACACTGCACCATAGACTCAGCACTGCACCATAGACTCAACACTGCACCATAGACACAACACTGCACCATAGACTCAACACTGCACCATAGACACAACACTGCACCAGACTCAGCACTGCACCATAGACTCAGCACTGTCACCCATAGACTCAGCACTACCCATAGACTCAACACTGTCACCCATAGACTCAACACTGCACCATAGACTCAACACTGCACCATAGACTCAACACTGCACCATAGACACAACACTGCACCATAGACTCAACACTGCACCATAGACACAACACTGCACCAGACTCAGCACTGCACCATAGACTCAGCACTGTCACCCATAGACTCAGCACTACCCATAGACTCAACACTGTCACCCATAGACTCAACACTGCACCATAGACTCAACACTGCACCATAGACTCAACACTGCACCATAGACACAACACTGCACCATAGACTCAGCACTGTCACCCATAGACTCAGCACTGCACCATAGACTCAGCGCTGCACCATAGACTCAACACTGCACCATAGACTCAGCACTGCACCATAGACTCAACACTGCACCATAGAATCAGCACTGCACCATAGACTCAACACTGCACCATAGACTCAACACTGCACCATAGACTCAGCACTGCACCATAGACTCAGCACTGCACCATAGACTCAGCACTGCACCATAGACTCAGCACTGCACCATAGACTCAACACTGCACCATAGACTCAGCACTGCACCATAGACTCAACACTGCACCATAGACTCAACACTGCACCATAGACTCAACACTGCACCATAGACTCAGCACTATCACCCATAGACTCAACACTGTCACCCATAGACTCAGCACTGCACCATAGACTCAGCACTGCACCATAGACTCAGCACTGCACCATAGACTCAACACTGCACCATAGACTCAGCACTGCACCATAGACTCAACACTGCACCATAGACTCAACACTGCACCATAGACTCAACACTGCACAATAGACTCAGCACTGCACAATAGACTCAACACTGCACCATAGACTCAGCACTGCACCATAGACTCAACACTGCACCATAGACTCAACACTGCACCATAGACTCAGCACTGCACCATAGACTCAGCACTGCACCATAGACTCAGCACTGCACCATAGACTCAGCACTGCACCATAGACTCAACACTGCACCATAGACTCAACACTGCACCATAGACTCAGCACTGCACCATAGACTCAGCACTGCACCATAGACTCAGCACTGTACCATAGACTCAGCACTGCACCATAGACTTAGCACTGCACCATAGACTCAACACTGCACCATAGACTCAGCACTGCACCATAGACTCAGCACTGCCCATAGACTCAACACTGTCACCCATAGACTCAACACACAGCGTCGCCATCGCGTGCTCAGTTTCGTCCTGCGTCGGCAACGCGCAAGTTGCGTCTCTCGCGACCGCTGAGGAGGAACCATAGACGGAGCAGGGAAGGCGGCGGTAGCAGCAGCAGCGGTAACAGCAGCAGCAGCGGTAGCAGCAGCAGCGGCGGTAGCAGCAGCAGTGGTAGCAGCAGCAGCGGTGGTAGCAGCAGCGGTGGTAGCAGCAAGCAGCAGCGGCGGTAGCAGCAGCAGCAGGGGTGGTAGCAGCAGCAGCGGTGGTAGCAGCAGCGGTGGTAGCAGCAGCGGCGGTAGCAGCAGCAGCGGCGGTAGCAGCAGCAGCGGCGGTAGCAGCAGCAGTGGTAGCAGCAGCGGTGGTAGCAGCAGCAGCGGCAAGGAGCCGGCACCACAAACAATTGCACACACGTGTGTACGTGTGTACGTGTGTGTGTACGTGTGTGTACACTACGTGTGTAAGGCTGTGTACGTGTGTAAGGCTGTGTACGTGTGTGTGTGTGTGTAAGGCTGTGAACGTGTGTAAGGCTGTGAACGTGTGTGTGTACACTACGTGTGTAAGGCTGTGTACGTGTGTGTGTGTACACTACGTGTGTAAGGCTGTGTATGTGTGTGTGTACACTACGTGTGTAAGGCTGTGTACGTGTGTAAGGCTGTGTACGTGTGTGTGTGTACACTACGTGTGTAAGGCTGTGTACGTGTGTAAGGCTGTGTACGTGTGTGTGTACACTATGTGTGTAAGGCTGTGTACGTGTGTGTGTGTACACTACGTGTGTAAGGCTGTGTACGTGTGTGTGTGTACACTATGTGTGTAAGGCTGTGTACGTGTGTAAGGCTGTGTACGTGTGTGTGTGTGTTTACACTACGTGTGTAAGGCTGTGTACGTGTGTGTGTGTACACTACGTGTGTAAGGCTGTGTACGTGTGTAAGGCTGTGTACGTGTGTGTGTGTGTTTACACTACGTGTGTAAGGCTGTGTACGTGTGTAAGGCTGTTTACGTGTGTGTGTACACTATGTGTGTAAGGCTGTGTACGTGTGTGTACACTACGTGTGTAAGGCTGTGTACGTGTGTGTGTACACTACGTGTGTAAGGCTATGTACGTGTGTAAGGCTGTGTACGTGTGTAAGGCTGTGTACGTGTGTGTGTGTGTGTAAGGCTGTGAACGTGTGTGTGTACACTACGTGTGTAAGGCTGTGTACGTGTGTGTGTGTACACTACGTGTGTAAGGCTGTGTATGTGTGTGTGTACACTACGTGTGTAAGGCTGTGTACGTGTGTAAGGCTGTGTACGTGTGTGTGTGTACACTACGTGTGTAAGGCTGTGTACGTGTGTAAGGCTGTGTATGTGTGTGTGTACACTATGTGTGTAAGGCTGTGTACGTGTGTGTGTGTACACTACGTGTGTAAGGCTGTGTACGTGTGTGTGTGTACACTACGTGTGTAAGGCTGTGTACGTGTGTAAGGCTGTGTACGTGTGTGTGTGTTTACACTACGTGTGTAAGGCTGTGTACGTGTGTGTGTGTACACTACGTGTGTAAGGCTGTGTACGTGTGTAAGGCTGTTTACGTGTGTGTGTACACTATGTGTGTAAGGCTGTGTACGTGTGTGTGTGTACACTACGTGTGTAAGGCTGTGTACGTGTGTGTGTGTACACTACGTGTGTAAGGCTGTGTACGTGTGTAAGGCTGTGTACGTGTGTGTGTGTTTACACTACGTGTGTAAGGCTGTGTACGTGTGTGTGTGTACACTACGTGTGTAAGGCTGTGTACGTGTGTAAGGCTGTGTACGTGTGTGTGTGTACACTACGTGTGTAAGGCTGTGTACGTGTGTGTGTGTGTACACTACGTGTGTAAGGCTGTGTACGTGTGTGTGTGTACACTACGTGTGTAAGGCTGTGTACGTGTGTAAGGCTGTGTACGTGTGTGTGTGTGTACACTACGTGTGCAAGGCTGTGTACGTGTGTTTTTAGGGGTGTGTGTGTGTGTGTGTGCGCGTGTCATCGCGGGAAGGGAACTCACTCTTTTCAACCTCGGTGAGAGACTTGCAGTCCCAGTCAAAGAGGTGTTGGTAGAAGCACAGTTGGGTGTACAGCATCTTCTCTGTGTACTGCAAATGCAAACGAAGATCCACCCACCCGCCGTGTAGCCTTAGCAGCACCCACAAAGGCCGGCACGGCTCACGGGGGCACGTGGTGTCCAAAACCACGTGCCCATTTAAGGCGGAGTCGACCTAGGGGGCGGGTCCCAGGACCTGGCCCTGAGCGGGAATCGAACTCGGGTGGTTTGGGTCTGTCCCCGTGATCTACCTGCACCTAGCCTGGCACAGTAGGGGGGTACAGCTGGTGGTGCATCTCACGGTAGTCATCTCAGCCAACCCATGGCACCTGCTGGGTCTGTCCTGTGATCTCCTGCACCTAGCCTGGCACAGTAGGGGGGTACAGCTGGTGGTGCATCTCACAGTAGTCATCTCAGTCAACCCATGGCACCTGCTGGGTCTGTCCTGTGATCTCCTGCACCTAGCCTGGCACAGTAGGGGGCACAGCTGGTGCTGCATCTGCCAGTCATCTCAGTAGGTCGACCCATGGCACCTGCTGGGTCTGTCATCGTGATCTCCTGCACCTAGCCTGGCACAGCAGGGGGGGTACAGCTGGTGCTGCATCTGCCAGTCATCTCAGTCAACTCATGGCACCTGCTGGGTCTGTCCCGTGACCTCCTGCACCTAGCCTGGCACAGGTGGTGGTGCATCTGCCAATCATCTCAGTCAGTCGACCCGTGGCACCTGCTGGGTCTGCCCCGTGACCTCCTGCCAGCGGGCGTTCCGACACTTCACGTGGTAGCCTCAAGGTGCACATGGCCTGGCACAAGCGTCGTGGTGACGTCACCGCCACTTAGTGGCGAATGGCGGTTGTTGTTGTGTGCGTGTGCGTGCGTGTACGTGCGTGCGTGTACGTGCGTGTACGTGCGTGTGCGTGCGTGTACGTGTGCGTGCGTGTGCGTGTACGTGCGTGTACGTGCGTGTGCGTGCGTGTACGTGTGCGTGCGTGTGCGTGTACGTGCGTGTACGTGCGTGCGTGTGCGTGCGTGTACATGCGTGCGTGCGCGTGCGTGCGTGCGTGTACGTGCGTGTACGTGCGTGTGCGTGCGAGCGCCGCACCTCAGCCCTGAGCACCCCCCTGCGGCAAGCGGGGCACACCGGTCCGTGCTGGGTGAAGGTGAGTGGCAGGCGTCGCGTGCGGTTGCGACAGGCCATGTCCTCGCACAGCAGCCAGCCCTGACGCATACACGCACACAAAGACCCCCCCCCCACCCATATATAGCCTTGACAGGCTGTTGGGGGGCAAGTGCTGTTCGCGAGGAGCAGCTACGAAGGCCGGCACGGCGCACGAGGTTGGTGGGTGGCCGGCACCACGCCCGGCCGCCTTTGTCTCCCCCAGTGGCGATGTTTACTACACCACCACCGCTACACCAGGTAACTCATTTGAGGCTGAGTCGGCCCAGGGGAGGCCCGAGGCCCGGTTCAGATAATCGTCGCCGGCGTTGACCGCAAAGCGGGAATCGAACCCGGGTCGCCGGGTTCGTAGCGCTAACCACCTCTCCTCTGAAGCAAAGACAAAGATCTTCCCCCCGTGTAGCCTGTAACAGACTGTTGGGGGTCGAGTGCTGTTGGCGAGTAGCAGCACCTACAAGTTCACACCTCAAGTGGGCTTCGCCTGGCAGGAAGGGGATGGTTTAATTTCATTCGATTCGGTCGTTAAGCGAAACCGTGCAAAGCCAGCCACCACTGGCCAAGACTAATAATGAGAGAATCTATCGAAATTTGAAGGAAATAGAAATAACTGTAACCGTTCCGATAGCTACCGCCTTAGTGCTGCGTGGAAGCGAATCATCATCACAAAAAGATACAGGGTGTTTCAAAAAGATGGACCCGATTTGAAATCGCTGTATCTCTGCAACCACGAACCGCCTATGAATGAAATGCTTACCACTTGAAAGGGCGGGGCATAGAGTTTTAAATAATTACCGCTAGATGCCTCTCCCGGCGCACAAACAGCCCCTAGCCTCAGTCATTCGCGAGACGGTGTGACCCCCTTAAGGGGCGTTTTGCGTTCTGCGGTTCAGCAAGACCGAATCCGTAATCGCGTTTCAGCGGCGTTTTGGCATCGATCCGCCAATGTCAGTGAGCACGGCGGCACAGAAGACCGTGGCGTTTTTGTGCCACCATTAGCGACTCATCGGGACGACCTCAAATACGGAATCACGGCAGCGGTGACTTCGGTGGACACTTTCAAGACACTTTCAAGACACTTTGAGAGGCGTTTGGGACGAATTCAACTATCGTCTCGATGTCGTCCGTACAGCGGGTGGAGGGCAGATGGAGCATTTATAAAATGCTTGGTGAAACTTGACAACTCATTAAACCGTTTGTAAATTTTCGCGTAATTGTAACGTGTTCCCATCGTGAAATACACCGCTTTGAAATTGGGGTCCATCTTTTTAAACACCCTGTACATTAAATTTTGATTTAAAGCTTTCGTGACTGCAGTAATTCATATTCTTAGTTTTTTCGGTAAAGTCACGTTGAAGAAAAACAACAAAATAATAAAATATATATAAAACAATAAAAAAATTCTCACGACGTTTCGACCATAACTCAAACGGTCGTCTTCAAATTTATGCGAACCAACACACCTGAAGACGACCGTTTGAGTTATGGTCGAAACGTCGTGAGAATTTTTTATTGTTATATATATTTTATTATTTTGTTGTTTCTCTTCAACGTGACTTTACCGAAAAAACTAAGAATACCCTGTACATTGTTTAAATGCGTGCCTACAAAGTGCAGTGTGCTTCAATAGGGATTTCCGTTGGTACGCCGATTTTGTTACAATGGACAGGACAAGATCATAGGGCTCGCATAATAATGTGCATCCATAATGTACGTAGACTCAGTAATCCCACCCCCCCCCCCCCCACTTTGAGCAAGAGTGCAGAACAAAACCGGTCGACTTCTCCACAAATCTGTCTGTCGCCTGATGAAGCTGGTTGCAATTACTGGTGAAATGTCGCACTCAGATTGTAAATGTTGTGGCTTGGCTCTCCAACACACAACCGGTTAGTGCTGTACTAGTATACTACGCTATACACTACACTACACACTAGTGCTGTACTAGTATACTACGCTATACACTACACTATACACTACACTATACACTAGTACTGTACTATTATATTACACTATACACTACACTATACACTACACTATACACTAGTGCTGTACTAGTATACTACACTATACACTACACTACACACTAGTGCTGTACTAGTATACTACACTATACACTACACTACACACTAGTGCTGTACTAGTATACTACACTATACACTAGTGCTGTACTAGTATATTACACTATACACTACACTACACACTAGTGCTGTACTAGTATACTACACTATACACTACACTATACACTAGTGCTGTACTAGTATACTACACTATACACTACACTATATACTACACTACACACTAGTGCTGTACTAGTATACTACACTATACACTACACTATACACTACACTATATACTAGTGCTGTACTAGTATACTACACTATACACTACACTACACACTAGTGCTGTACTAGTATTCTACACTATACACTACACTAAACACTAGTGCTGTAATAGTATACTACACTATACACTACACTACACACTAGTGCTGTACTAGTATTCTACACTATACACTACACTATACACTAGTGCTGTACTAGTATACTACACTATACACTACACACTAGTGCTGTACTAGTATTCTACACTATACACTACACTAAACACTAGTACTGTACTAGTATACTACACTATACACTACACTACACACTAGTGCTGTACTAGTATTCTACACTATACACTACACTAAACACTAGTGCTGTACTAGTATTCTACACTATACACTAGTACTGTACTAGTATACTACACTATACACTACACACTAGTGCTGTACTAGTATTCTACACTATACACTAGTGCTGTACTAGTATACTACACTATACACTACACTATACACTAGTGCTGTACTAGTATACTACACTATACACTACACTATACACTACACTATACACTAGTACTGTACTAGTATACTACACTATACACTACACTAAACACTAGTGCTGTACTAGTATTCTACACTATACACTACACTATACACTAGTACTGTACTAGTATACTACACTATACACTACACACTAGTGCTGTACTAGTATTCTACACTATACACTAGTGCTGTACTAGTACACTACACACTACACTAGTGCTGTACTAGTATACTACACTACACACTACACTATACACTAGTGCTGTACTAGTATACTACACTATACACTACACTACACACTAGTGCTGTACTAGTATACTACACTATACACTACACTACACACTAGTGCTGTACTAGTATACTACACTATACACTAGTGCTGTACTAGTATATTACACTATACACTACACTACACACTAGTGCTGTACTAGTATACTACACTATACACTACACTATATACTACACTATACACTACACTATATACTACACTACACACTAGTGCTGTACTAGTATACTACACTATACACTACACTATACACTACACTATATACTAGTGCTGTACTAGTATACTACACTATACACTACACTACACACTAGTGCTGTACTAGTATTCTACACTATACACTACACTAAACACTAGTGCTGTAATAGTATACTACACTATACACTACACTACACACTAGTGCTGTACTAGTATACTACACTATACACTACACACTAGTGCTGTACTAGTATTCTACACTATACACTACACTAAACACTAGTACTGTACTAGTATACTACACTATACACTACACTACACACTAGTGCTGTACTAGTATTCTACACTATACACTACACTAAACACTAGTGCTGTACTAGTATTCTACACTATACACTAGTACTGTACTAGTATACTACACTATACACTACACACTAGTGCTGTACTAGTATTCTACACTATACACTAGTGCTGTACTAGTATACTACACTATACACTACACTATACACTAGTGCTGTACTAGTATACTACACTATACACTACACTATACACTACACTATACACTAGTACTGTACTAGTATACTACACTATACACTACACTAAACACTAGTGCTGTACTAGTATTCTACACTATACACTACACTATACACTAGTACTGCACTAGTATACTACACTATACACTACACACTAGTGCTGTACTAGTATTCTACACTATACACTAGTGCTGTACTAGTACACTACACACTACACTAGTGCTGTACTAGTATACTACACTATACACTACACTATACACTAGTGCTGTACTAGTATACTACACTACACACTACACACTAGTGCTGTACTAGTATACTACACTATACACTACACTATACACTAGTGCTGTACTAGTATACTACACTATACACTACACACTAGTGCTGTACTAGTATACTACACTATACACTACACACTAGTGCTGTACTAGTATACTACACTAAACACTACACTAAACACTAGTGCTGTACTAGTACACTACACTATACACTACACTACACACTAGTGCTGTACTAGTGGCGAATTGGGCACGTTCTGTCTACGTGACAACCCTTACTAGTTGGCTGTGTCGGGTGGTGGCGGGTTTTAACGACACAACATTTATATATTTCAGCGATCTAACCCAAAAAGCCTCTATCATGGATGATATTGGTCGCGAAGGCCTACGTGTTAAACTCGTTAAGTGAGGGTAGGAAATACCCGTTAAAAGCCTTAATTCGTTACGATAGCATCGAAAGTTACCCCCCTTTGTCAGCCAAAAAAATTTACTTTATGAGATTCAAACAATGGATATTCATAGATAAAGATACGTTATAAACACATAATATTAAAATAAACAAGGTTAATGCATTAATGAACATTTACTGTACCTACAATGGCCCATTGTTAACAGGGGAATGGTCGGTAGGCAAACACATTGGGCTCTACAGAGGCCCGTCTACGATACACTACACTATACACTACACTACTATACACTACACTATACACTACACTATACACTACGCTACTATACACTACACTACTATAACTACACTATACACTACACTACTATACACTACACATTGGGCTCTACAGAGGCCGTCTACGATACACTACACTATACACTACACTACTATACACTACACTACACTATACACTTTACTATACACTACACTATACACTACTATACACTACACTACTATAACTACACTACACTATACACTTCACTACTATACACTACACTATACACTACTATACACTACACTATACACTACTATACACTACACTACTATAACTACACTACACTATACACTTCACTACTATACACTACACTATACACTATTATACACTACACTATACACTACACTACTATACACTACACTACTATAACTACATTACTATACACTACACTGCTATACACTACTATACACTACACTACTACACACTACAATACACTACACTATACACTACACAACAATACACTACTATACACTACACTACTATATGCTACAATACACTCTACACTACACTACTATATGCTACAATACACTCTACACTACACTACACACTACTATACGCTACAATACACTCTACACTACACTACAATACACTACACTATACACTACAATATACTACACACTACACTACTATACACTACACTACAATACACTATACTACTATACACTACACTACTATACACTACACTACTATACACTACACTACAATACACTATACACTACACTATTATACGCTACAATACACTCTACACTACACTACAATACACTACACTATACACTACAATACACTACACACTACACTACTATACACTACACTACTATACACTACAAGACACTATACACTACACTATACACTACAATACACTACAATACACTACACTATACACTACAACACACTACACTACTATACACTACACTACTATACACTACAATACACTACTATACACTACAATACACTATACACTACTATACACTACACTATACACTACACTATACACTACAATACACTACACTACTATACACTACACTACAATACACTACAATACACTATACACTACACTACTATACACTACACTATACACTACACATTGGGCTCTACGGAGGGCCCGTCGTTAAGCGTTTAGTCGTTAGCGGGTGCTCGTTAGGAAAGTTCTACAGCGTCGTGTCTGCTGCTGAGACGTTCCGACGCAAAAAGAGCTTCACAGCTCATCGGATTCCTGCTGCGGCCAAAATTAATATTGGGATCGTGAAGTGGCGTGTGCGTGGCGAGGGTGGCGAGGGTGGCGAGGGTGGAGAGGGTGGCGAGGGTGGCGTGGTGAGGGTGGCGAGTGTGGTGAGGGTGGCGTGGCGAGGGTGGCATGGCGAGGGTGGTGAGGGTGGCGTGGGTGGCGAGGGTGGTGAGGGTGGTGAGGGTGTTGAGGGTGGCGAGGGTGGCGAGGGTGTTGAGGGTGGCGAGGGTGGCGAGGGTGGCGAGGGTGGCGAGAGTGGCGTGGCGTGGCGTGGCGAGGGTGGTGAGGATGGCGAGGGTGGCGAGGGTGGCGAGGGTGGCGAGGGTGGCGAGGGTGGCGAGGGTGGTGAGGGTGGCGAGGGTCGCGTGGCGAGGGTGGCGTGGCGAGGGTGGTGAGGGTGGCGAGGGTGGCGCCTCTCACCGCGTGGTAGCGGCCGACGTGACGCCGCACGTCCATCTGGAGGCGGTTGCACAGTGCCGGGAGGCTCGCCAGCTGTGACGCTTCACAGCTGGCGCAGCACAGCAGACTCGGCTGGATGTGGACACCCTGGGTGGCACACACACAAACACACACACAGTCAGAAACACACACACAGTCAGAAACACAGTCACACACACACACAAACACACACACAGTCAGAAACACAGTCACACACACACACAATCACACACACAATCACGCACACACACAAACACACACACGCAAACACACAAACACGCAATTACACACACAGTCACACATACAAACACACGCATACGCACGCACACACACAAATACACACACACAGTCAGAAACACAGTCACACACACACACACAATCACACACACAATCACGCGCACACACAATCACACCCAAAAACACACACAATCACACGCACAAACACACACACGAACACACACGAACACACACAATCACACACACAATCACACAAACACAATCACACACACAAACACACACACAAACACAATCACACATACACACAAACACACACAATCACACACACACAAACACACACACAAACAAACACACAATCACACACACACAATCATACACACAATCACACGCACAATCACACACAAACACAATCACACACACACAAACACACACAATCACACACAAACACACACAATCACTCACACAATCACATGCAAATACACACACACAATCACACACTCACACAAACACACACAATCACACAAACACACACAATCACACACAAACACACGCAAACACACAATCGCACACACAACAACAACCACCACAGTGCTTGTGCCAGGAGAGTGAATGAGTGGGTGACATGGTGGCTGAGTGAACGATTGGGTGAGTGAGATGGTGGGTGAGTGAATGAGTGTTTGAGATGGTGGGTGAGTGAATGAGTGGGTGAGTGAGACGGTGGGTGAGTGAGACGTTGGGTGAGTGAATGAGTGGGTGAGTGAGATGGTGGGTGAGTGAGACGGTGGGTGAGACGGTGGGTGAGTGAGACGGTGGGTGAGTGAGACGTTGGGTGAGTGAATGAGTGGGTGAGTGAGATGATGGGTGAGTGAGACGGTGGGTGAGACGGTGGGTGAGTGAGACGGTGGGTGAGTGAGACGTTGGGTGAGTGAACGAGTGGGTGAGTGAGACGGTGGGTGAGTGAGACGGTGGGTGAGTGAGACGGTGGGTGAGTGAGACGGTGGGTGAGTGAGACGGTGGGTGAGTGAGATGGGGGGTGAGTGAGATGGGGGGTGAGTGAGACGGTGGGTGAGACGGTGGGTGAGTGAGACGGTGGGTGAGTGAACGAGTGGGTGAGTGAGACGGTGGGTGAGTGAGATGGTGGGTGAGTGAACGAGTGGGTGAGTGAGATGGTGGGTGAGTGAGACGGTGGGTGAGTGAGACGGTGGGTGAGTGAGACGGTGGGTGAGTGAACGAGTGGGTGAGTGAGACGGTGGGTGAGTGAGATGGTGGGTGAGTGAGACGGTGGGTGAGTGAACGAGTGGGTGAGTGAGACAGTGGGTGAGTGAATGAGTGGGTGAGTGAGATGGTGGGTGAGTGAACGAGTGGGTGAGTGAACGAGTGGGTGAGTGAGACGGTGGGTGAGATGGTGGGTGAGTGAACGAGTGAGTGAGTGAGACGGTGGGTGAGTGAACGAGTGAGTGAACGAGTGGGTGAGCGAGACGGTAGGTGAGTGAACGAGTGAGTGAGTGAACGAGTGGGTGGGTGAGACGGTGGGTGAGCGAGACGGTGGGTGAGTGAACGAGTGAGCGAGACGGTGGGTGAGCGAGACGTCCGGTGGGTCTACGAGGCGAGCTCCGGTCGATTCTGTCCGAGTCAGTCAGTCAGAGAGAGAGCGAGGGAGCGAGAGAGCGAGGGAGCGAGGGAGCGAGAGTCTGCCCCGAGTCTGCCCCGAGTCTGCCCCGAGTCTGCCCCGGGCGTGCCCCGGGCCGCCCCGGGCCCGCCACCGGGCAGGCCGACACGCACGGCCCGAGGGGCCCGCCCGCCTCACCGATCCGCGGAAGGGCCCGTCGACGGTGGGCCCGGCGCCGCAGGCGGTGCACGGCACGCAGGGCCGCTCGCACCGTGCGAACCGCTCCGCGGCGCCCTGCGCCACGCCGCCCAGCAGGGCCTCGTCCTCACCGGCGCCGCGCGACGACGTCACGGAGAGCGACGAGGAGGAGGACGAGGAGGCTCGGAACTGAGACGGGTCCAGGCCTGGGGGGGCGGGGGGGGGGGCCGGGGCGGGGCGGGGGCCGGGGGGAGGGGGGCATCGGGAAGACCGGGAAGACGCGGTGTAGTGTGGTGAGTGTGGTTGAGTGTGGTGTGGTGAGTGTGGTGAGTGTGGTTGAGTGTAGTGTGGTGAGTGTAGTGAGTGTGGAGAGTGTAGTGTGGTGAGTGTGGTGAGTGTAGTGTGGTGAGTGTGGCGAGTGTAGTGTGGTTAGTGTGGTGAGTGTAGTGTGGTGAGTGTGGCGAGTGTAGTGTGGTTAGTGTGGTGAGTGTAGTGTGGTGAGTGTGGCGAGTGTAGTGTGGTTAGTGTGGTGAGTGTAGTGTGGTGAGTGTGGCGAGTGTAGTGTGGTTAGTGTGGTGAGTGTGGTAAGTGTGGTGAGTGTGGTGAGTGTAGTGTGGTGAGTGTGGCGAGTGTGGTGAGTGTGGTTAGTGTGGTGAGTGTAGTGTGGTTAGTGTGGTGAGTGTGGCGAGTGTAGTGTGGTTAGTGTGGCGAGTGTGGTGAGTGTAGTGTGGTTAGTGTGGTGAGTGTGGTGTGGTGAGTGTGGCGAGTGTAGTGTGGTGAGTGTGGTGAGTGTGGTGTGGTGAGTGTGGTGCGGTGAGTGTGGTGAGTGTAGTGTGGTGAGTGTGGTGTGGTGAGTGTAGTGTGGTGTAGTGTGGTGTGTGTGGTGAGTGTAGTGTGGTGTGTGTGGTGAGTGTAGTGTGGTTAGTGTGGTGAGTGTGGTTGAGTGTGGTGTGGTGAGTGTGGTGAGTGTAGTGAGTGTGGTGTGGTGTGTGTGGTGAGTGTGGTGAGTGTGGTGAGTGTGGTGAGTGTAGTGAGTGTAGTGTGGTGAGTGTAGTGAGTGTGGAGAGTGTAGTGTGGTGAGTGTGGTGAGTGTAGTGTGGTGAGTGTGGTGAGTGTGGTGTAGTGAGTGTGGTAAATGTGGTGTGTGTAGTGCGGTGAGTGTGGTGAGTGTAGTGTGGTGAGTGCGGCGAATGTGGTGAGTGTGGTGTGTGTAGTGCGGTGAGTGTGGCAAGTGTAGTGTGGTAAGTGCGGTGAGTGTGGTGAGTGTAGTGAGTATGGTGTGGTGAGTGTGGTGAGTGTGGTGAGTGTGGTGAGTGTAGTGTGGTGAGTGTGGTGAGTGTAGTGTGGTGAGTGTAGTGTGGTGAGTGTGGTGAGTGTGGTGAGTGTAGTGTGGTGAGTGTGGTGTAGTGAGTGTGGTGTGGTGAGTGTGGTGTGGTGAGTGTGGTGTGGTGAGTGTAGTGTGGTGAGTGTGGTGTGGTGAGTATGGTGAGTGTGGTGTGGTGAGTGTGGCGAGTGTGGTGTGGTTAGTGTGGTGAGTGTGGTAAGTGTGGTGAGTGTGGTGAGTGTGGTGTGGTGAGTGTGGCGAGTGTAGTGTGGTGAGTGTGGTGTGGTGAGTGTGGTGCGGTGAGTGTGGTGAGTGTAGTGTGGTGAGTGTGGTGTGGTGAGTGTAGTGTGGTTAGTGTGGTGAGTGCGGTGAGTGTAGTGTGGTGAGTGCGGTGAGTGTAGTGTGGTTAGTGTGGTGAGTGTAGTGTGGTTAGTGTGGTGAGTGTAGTGAGTGGTGTGGTTAGTGTGGTGAGTGTAGTGTGGTTAGTGTGGTGAGTGTAGTGAGTGTAGTGTGGTTAGTGTGGTTAGTGTGGTGAGTGTGGTGAGTGTAGTGTGGTTAGTGTGGTGAGTGTGGCGAGTGTAGTGTGGTTAGTGCAGTGAGTGCGGTGAGTGTAGTGTGGTTAGTGTGGTTAGTGCGATGAGTGTGGTGTGGTGAGTGTAGTGTGGTGAGTGTAGTGTGGTTAGTGTGGTGAGTGTAGCGTGGTTAGTGCGGTGAATGTGGTGAGTGTAGTGTGGTGAGTGTGGTGAGTGTAGTGTGGTTAGTGCGGTGAGTCTGGCGAGTGTAGTGTGGTTAGTGCGGTGAGTGTGGTGAGTGTAGTGTGGTGAGTGTGGTGAGTGTAGTGTGGTTAGTGCAGTGAGTCTGGCGAGTGTAGTGTGGTTAGTGCGGTGAGTGTGGTGAGTGTAGTGTGGTGAGTGTGGTGAGTGTAGTGTGGTGAGTGTGGCGAGTGTAGTGTGGTGAGTGTGGCGAGTGTAGTGTGGTGAGTGTGGCGAGTGTAGTGTGGTGAGTGTGGTGAGTGTAGTGTGGTGAGTGTGGTGAGTGTAGCGTGGTTATTGCGGTGAGTGTGGTGAGTGTAGTGTGGTGAGTGTGGTGAGTGTGGCGAGTGTAGCGCGGTGAGTGCGGTTAGTGTAGTGTGGTTATTGCGGTGAGTGTGGTGAGTGTGGTTAGTGTAGCGTGGTTATTGTGGTGAGTGTGGTGAGTGTAGTGTGGTGAGTGTGGTGAGTGTGGCGAGTGTAGCGTGGTTATTGCGGTGAGTGTGGTGAGTGTAGCGCGGTGAGTGCGGTTAGTGTAGTGTGGTTATTGCGGTGAGTGTGGTGAGTGTAGTGTGGTGTGTGTGGTGAGTGTAGTGTGGTTAGTGTGGTGAGTGTGGTTGAGTGTGGTGTGGTGAGTGTGGTGAGTGTAGTGAGTGTGGTGTGGTGTGTGTGGTGAGTGTGGTGAGTGTGGTGAGTGTGGTGAGTGTAGTGAGTGTAGTGTGGTGAGTGTAGTGAGTGTGGAGAGTGTAGTGTGGTGAGTGTGGTGAGTGTAGTGTGGTGAGTGTGGTGAGTGTGGTGTAGTGAGTGTGGTGAATGTGGTGTGTGTAGTGCGGTGAGTGTGGTGAGTGTAGTGTGGTGAGTGCGGCGAATGTGGTGAGTGTGGTGTGTGTAGTGCGGTGAGTGTGGCAAGTGTAGTGTGGTAAGTGCGGTGAGTGTGGTGAGTGTAGTGAGTATGGTGTGGTGAGTGTGGTGAGTGTGGTGAGTGTGGTGAGTGTAGTGTGGTGAGTGTGGTGAGTGTAGTGTGGTGAGTGTAGTGTGGTGAGTGTGGTGAGTGTGGTGAGTGTAGTGTGGTGAGTGTGGTGTAGTGAGTGTGGTGTGGTGAGTGTGGTGTGGTGAGTGTGGTGTGGTGAGTGTAGTGTGGTGAGTGTGGTGTGGTGAGTATGGTGAGTGTGGTGTGGTGAGTGTGGCGAGTGTGGTGTGGTTAGTGTGGTGAGTGTGGTAAGTGTGGTGAGTGTGGTGAGTGTGGTGTGGTGAGTGTGGCGAGTGTAGTGTGGTGAGTGTGGTGTGGTGAGTGTGGTGCGGTGAGTGTGGTGAGTGTAGTGTGGTGAGTGTGGTGTGGTGAGTGTAGTGTGGTTAGTGTGGTGAGTGCGGTGAGTGTAGTGTGGTGAGTGCGGTGAGTGTAGTGTGGTTAGTGTGGTGAGTGTAGTGTGGTTAGTGTGGTGAGTGTAGTGAGTGGTGTGGTTAGTGTGGTGAGTGTAGTGTGGTTAGTGTGGTGAGTGTAGTGAGTGTAGTGTGGTTAGTGTGGTTAGTGTGGTGAGTGTGGTGAGTGTAGTGTGGTTAGTGTGGTGAGTGTGGCGAGTGTAGTGTGGTTAGTGCAGTGAGTGCGGTGAGTGTAGTGTGGTTAGTGTGGTTAGTGCGATGAGTGTGGTGTGGTGAGTGTAGTGTGGTGAGTGTAGTGTGGTTAGTGTGGTGAGTGTAGCGTGGTTAGTGCGGTGAATGTGGTGAGTGTAGTGTGGTGAGTGTGGTGAGTGTAGTGTGGTTAGTGCGGTGAGTCTGGCGAGTGTAGTGTGGTTAGTGCGGTGAGTGTGGTGAGTGTAGTGTGGTGAGTGTGGTGAGTGTAGTGTGGTTAGTGCAGTGAGTCTGGCGAGTGTAGTGTGGTTAGTGCGGTGAGTGTGGTGAGTGTAGTGTGGTGAGTGTGGTGAGTGTAGTGTGGTGAGTGTGGCGAGTGTAGTGTGGTGAGTGTGGCGAGTGTAGTGTGGTGAGTGTGGCGAGTGTAGTGTGGTGAGTGTGGCGAGTGTAGTGTGGTGAGTGTGGTGAGTGTAGCGTGGTTATTGCGGTGAGTGTGGTGAGTGTAGTGTGGTGAGTGTGGTGAGTGTGGCGAGTGTAGCGCGGTGAGTGCGGTTAGTGTAGTGTGGTTATTGCGGTGAGTGTGGTGAGTGCGGCGAGTGTAGCGTGGTTATTGCGGTGAGTGTGGTGAGTGTAGCGCGGTGAGTGCGGTTAGTGTAGTGTGGTTATTGCGGTGAGTGTGGTGAGTGCGGCGAGTGTAGCGTGGCTATTGCGGTGAGTGTGGTGAGTGCGGCGCGGTGAGTGCGGTTAGTGTAGTGTGGTTATTGCGGTGAGTGTGGTTAGTGCGGTGAGTGTAGTGCGGTGAGCGCGGACAGCGCGCGGACAGTGCAGCGCGCCGAGCGAGCCCCCCGTAAACCTACCGAGCCACTCGGCGATGACCTGCGCGTCCACTCCCTCCATGGGCTCGCAGAGCCTGGAGACCACGGGCAGCACCTGGCTGGCGAGGTAATACTCCGTGTCCACGCGGAGACTCTCCAGTCGCTGCAGCTGCTCCGGAGCGTAGGCCCGCTGACTCGCCGCTAGGCCCGAGCCGTCCTGCACCAAGCCGCAAAACCCACCGCCGACGGTCAGCGCCGAAGGCTTGTCGAGGGAACGGCTGCCATTGCCATTGCGGGGGGTGGAGGAGACGCCCCTAGAGGCTGGGGGGCTAGCCGCGGTGATGAGATGTTGGACTGCCTCGGGCTGGTGCGCGGGAGGTCGCGGGTTCGATGCTGACCCCGCCGATGCGTGCTGCTGCTTATTTGGAGTTTGCCGTGTCTCTCTCTCTCTCTCTCTCGTGGCGTCTCTGGCCTAGCGGCTCCCCCAGCAGCCAATGGGAGAGCCCCTAGGGCTAGAGCCACACAGCAGTCAATCGTCACCACCCCCTGCTACTGGCAGCAGACTGATGCACAGGGACAGCTGCCGCTGCGGGTGCCCCCTAGGCTAGACCCACACAGCAGTCAATCATCACCACCCCCTGCTACTGGCAGCAGACTGATGCACAGGGACAGCTGCCACTGGGGGTGCCCCCTAGGCTAGACCCACACAGCAGTCAATCGTCACCGCCCCTACTACTGACAGGGACACCCACGTCACACACCTCACTCACCTCACTCACCTCACTCACTCACCTCACTCACTCACTCACCTCACTCACATCACTCACCTCACTCACCTCACTCACGTCACTCACCTCACTCACCTCACCTCACTCACGTCACTCACCTCACTCACCTCACTCACATCACTCACCTCACACACCTCACCTCACTCACCTCACTCACGTCAATCACCTCACTCACATCACTCACCTCACACACCTCACCTCACTCACTCACTCACCTCACTCACCTCACCCACGTCACTCACCTCACTCACTCACCTCACACACCTCACTCACCTCACTCACCTCACTCACGTCACTCACCTCACTCACCTCACTCACGTCACTCACCTCACTCACCTCACTCACCTCACTCACGTCACTCACCTCACTCACGTCACTCGCCTCACTCACCTCACTCACGTCACTCACCTCACTCACCTCACGCGCCTCACTCACCTCACTCACGTCACTCGCCTCACTCACCTCACTCACGTCACTCGCCTCACTCACCTCACTCACCTCACTCACCTCACTCACCTCACGCGCCTCACTCACCTCACTCACCTCACTCACCTCACTCACCTCACTCACCTCACTCACCTCACTCACCTCACTCACGTCACTCACCTCACTCACGTCACTCACCTCACTCACCTCACTCACCTCACTCACCTCACTCACCTCACTCACCTCACTCACCTCACTCACCTCACTCACCTCACTCACCTCACTCACTCACCTCACTCACCTCACTCACGTCACTCACCTCACTCACCTCACTCACGTCACTCACGTCACTCACGTCACTCACCTCACTCACGTCACTCACCTCACTCCCCTCACTCACCTCACTCACGTCACTCGCCTCACTCACGTCACTCACCTCACTCACCTCACTCACGTCACTCACCTCACTCACGTCACTCACCTCACTAACCTCACTCACCTCACTCACGTCACTCACCTCACTCACCTCACTCACCTCACTCACCTCACTCGCCTCACTCACCTCACTCACGTCACTCCCCTCACTCACCTCACTCACCTCACTCACCTCACTCACCTCACTCGCCTCACTCACCTCACTCACGTCACTCACGTCACTCACCTCACTCACGTCACTCACCTCACTCACCTCACTCACTCACGTCACTCACGTCACTCACCTCACTCACGTCACTCACGTCACTCACCTCACTCACCTCACTCACGTCACTCACGTCACTCACGTCACTCACCTCACTCACGTCACTCACCTCACTCCCCTCACTCACCTCACTCACGTCACTCACCTCACTCACGTCACTCGCCTCACTCACCTCACTCACGTCACTCACCTCACTCACCTCACTCGCCTCACTCACCTCACTCACGTCACTCACCTCACTCACGTCACTCACCTCACTCACGTCACTCACCTCACGTCACTCACGTCACTCACGTCACTCACCTCACTCACCTCACTCACCTCACTCACCTCACTCACGTCACTCACCTCACTCACCTCACTCACGTCACTCACCTCACTCACCTCACTCACCTCACTCACCTCACTCACGTCACTCACCTCACTCACCTCACTCGCCTCACTCACCTCACTCACCTCACTCACCTCACTCACGTCACTCACCTCACTCACGTCACTCACCTCACTCACCTCACTCACGTCACTCGCCTCACTCACCTCACTCACCTCACTCACGTCACTCACGTCACTCACCTCACTCACCTCACTCACGTCACTCACCTCACTCACCTCACTCACCTCACTCGCCTCACTCACGTCTCTCACGTCACTCGCCTCACTCACCTCACTCACGTCACTCCCCTCACTCACGTCACTCACCTCACTCACCTCACTCACGTCACTCCCCTCACTCACGTCACTCACCTCACTCACCTCACTCACCTCACTCACCTCACTCACCTCACTCACGTCACTCCCCTCACTCACGTCACTCACCTCACTCACCTCACTCACCTCACTCACGTCTCTCACGTCACTCGCCTCACTCACGTCTCTCACGTCACTCGCCTCACTCGCCTCACTCACGTCTCTCACGTCACTCACGTCACTCACCTCACTCACGTCACTCACCTCACTCACCTCACTCGCCTCACTCACGTCTCTCACGTCACTCACCTCACTCACCTCACTCACGTCACTCGCCTCACTCACCTCACTCACCTCACTCACGTCACTCGCGTCACTCACCTCACTCGCCTCACCTCACACGCGCTTCACGCATCTCAAGCAGTCACTCCCCCAAACTCCTCCCTCCACCCACCCACCCACCACCCACCGACCCTCCCTCCACCCACCCACCCACCCACCCACCCTCCCTCCACCCACCCACCCTCCCTCTACCCACCCTCCCTCCACCCACCCACCCACCCTCCACCCACCCACCCACCACCCACCCACCCTCCCACCCACCACCCACCCACCCACCACCCACCCACTCACCACCCACCCACCCTCCCTCCACCCACCCACCCACCCACTACCCACCCACCCACCCACCACCCACCCACCCACCACCCACCCACCACCCTCCCAGCACCTGGCACACTACGTAGGTGACTGTGTCGCCCGCCCTCAGCCGCTTGCCCGCCTGGGAGTTCACCCAGAGGGCTACGTGGACATGGGGCAAGGCCCGCTTGTCTGGGTAGTCCTGGGGGTCCTTGGTCAGCGCCTTTGGTGGTGGTGGGGGGAGGGAGGGAGGAGGAGGGAGGGGGGGTGGGGCAAGTGGGGGGGGGGGGGAGAGGTGGGGGGGGAGAGGTGGGGGGAGAGGTGGGGGGCGGTGAGCATCAATGCGAGCCCCTCAGCACGTGCAGTGAGCGATGCGGTACTGCCGGACGTCCACCGTGCCGTTGGTAGGTGCCTAGGTTGGTGTGTGGATAGGTGTGTGGGTAGTTGTATAGGTAGGTGTGTAGTTAAGTAGGTGTGTGGGTAGTTGTCTAGGTAGGTGTGTAGTTAAGTAGGTGTGTGGGTAGTTGTCTAGGTGTGTGGGTAGTTGTATAGGTAGGTGTCTAGTTAAGTAGGTGTGTGGGTAGTTGTCTAGGTAGGTGTCTAGTTCAGTAGGTGTGTGGGTAGTTGTATAGGTAGGTGTGTAGTTAAGTAGGTGTGTGTGTAGTTGTATAGGTAGGTGTGTAGTTAAGTAGGTGTGTGGGTAGTTGTCTAGGTGTGTGGGTAGTTGTATAGGTAGGTGTCTAGTTAAGTAGGTGTGTGGGTAGTTGTCTAGGTAGGTGTCTAGTTCAGTAGGTGTGTGGGTAGTTGTATAGGTAGGTGTGTAGTTAAGTAGGTGTGTGGGTAGTTGTCTAGGTGTGTGGGTAGTTGTATAGGTAGGCGTGTAGGTAGCTGTATAGGTAGGTGTGTAGTTAAGTAGTGTAGGTAGCTGTATAGGTAAGTGTGTAGTTAAGTAGGTGTGTGTGTAGTTGTCTAGGTAGGTGTTTAGGTAGCTGTATAGGTAGGTGTGTAGTTAAGTAGGTGTGTGGGTAGTTGTCTAGGTAGGTGTGTGGGTAGTTGTATAGGTAGGTGTGTAGTTAAGCAGGTGTGTGTGTAGTTGTATAGGTAGGTGTGTAGTTAAGTAGGTGTGTGGGTAGTTGTCTAGGTGTGTGGGTAGTTGTATAGGTAGGTGTCTAGTTAAGTAGGTGTGTGGGTAGTTGTCTAGGTAGGTGTCTAGTTCAGTAGGTGTGTGGGTAGTTGTATAGGTAGGTGTGTAGTTAAGTAGGTGTGTGGGTAGTTGTCTAGGTGTGTGGGTAGTTGTATAGGTAGGCGTGTAGGTAGCTGTATAGGTAGGTGTGTAGTTAAGTAGTGTAGGTAGCTGTATAGGTAAGTGTGTAGTTAAGTAGGTGTGTGTGTAGTTGTCTAGGTAGGTGTTTAGGTAGCTGTATAGGTAGGTGTGTAGTTAAGTAGGTGTGTGGGTAGTTGTCTAGGTAGGTGTGTGGGTAGTTGTATAGGTAGGTGTGTAGTTAAGCAGGTGTGTGTGTAGTTGTATAGGTAGGTGTGTAATTAGCTGTATAGGTAGGTGTGTAGTTAAGTAGGTGTGTGGGTAGCTGTATAGGTAGGTGTGTAGGTAGCTGAATAGGTAGGTGTGTAGTTAAGTAGGTGTGTGTGTAGTTGTATAGGTAGGTGTGTAATTAGCTGTATAGGTAGGTGTGTAGTTAAGTAGGTGTGTGGGTAGCTGTATAGGTAGGTGTGTAGGTAGCTGTATAGGTAGGTGTCTAGTTAAGTAGGTGTGTAGGTAGCTGTATAGGTAGGTGCGTAGTTAAGTAGGTGTGTGTGTAGTTGTCTATGTAGGTGTGTAGGTAGCTGTATAGGTAGGTGTGTAGTTAAGTAGGTGTGTGGGTAGTTGTCTAGGTAGGTGTGTAGGTAGCTGTATAGGTAGGTGTGTAGTTAAGTAGGTGTGTGTGTAGTTGTATAGGTAGGTGTGTAGTTAAGTAGGTGTGTGGGTAGTTGTCTAGGTAGGTGTGTAGGTAGCTGTATAGGTAGGTGTGTAGTTAAGTAGGTGTGTGTAGTTGTATAGGTAGGTGTGTAGGTAGCTGTATAGGTAGGTGTGTAGTTAAGCAGTGTAGGTAGCTGTATAGGTAGGTGCGTAGTTGAGTAGGTGTGTAGGTAGCTGTATAGGTAGGTGTGTAGTTAAGTAGGTGTGTGGGTAGTTGTATAGGTAGGTGTGTAGGTAGCTGTATAGGTAGGTGTGTAGTTAAGTAGGTGTGTGTAGTTGTATAGGTGGGTGTGTAGGTAGCTGTATAGGTAGGTGTGTAGTTAAGTAGGTGTGTGTGTAGTTGTATAGGTAGGTGTGTAGGTAGCTGTATAGGTAGGTGTGTAGTTAAGTAGGTGTGTGTGTAGTTGTCTAGGTGTGTGGGTAGTTGTATAGGTAGGCGTGTAGTTAAGTAGTGTAGGTAGCTGTATAGGTAGGTGTGTAGTCTAGGTAGGTGTGTAGGTAGCTGTATAGGTAGGTGTGTAGTTAAGCAGGTGTGTGGGTAGTTGTCTAGGTGGGTGTGTAGGTAGCTGTATAGGTAGGTGTGTAGTTAAGTAGGTGTGTGTGTAGTTGTCTAGGTAGGTGTGTAGGTAGCTGTATAGGTAGGTGTGTAGTTAAGTAGGTGTGTGTGTAGTTGTATAGGTAGATGTGTAGTTAAGTAGGTGTGTGTGTAGCTGTATAGGTAGATGTGTGGGTAGCTGTATAGGTAGGTGTGTAGTTAAGTAGGTGTGTGTGTAGTTGTCTAGGTAGGTGTGTAGGTAGCTGTATAGGTAGGTGTGTAGTTAAGTAGGTGTGTGGGTAGTTGTCTAGGTGTGTGGGTAGTTGTATAGGTAGGCGTGTAGGTAGCTGTATAGGTAGGTGTGTAGTTAAGTAGTGTAGGTAGCTGTATAGGTAGGTGTGTAGTTAAGTAGGTGTGTGTGTAGTTGTATAGGTAGGTGTGTAGGTAGCTGTGTAGGTAGGTGTGTAGTTAAGCAGGTGTGTGTGTAGTTGCCTAGGTAGGTGTATAGGTAGGTGTGTAGTTAAGTAGGTGTGTGGGTAGTTGTCTAGGTAGGTGTGTAGGTAGCTGTATAGGTAGGTGTGTAGTTAAGCAGTGTAGGTAGCTGTATAGGTAGGTGCGTAGTTGAGTAGGTGTGTGTGTAGTTGTCTAGGTAGGTGTGTAGTTAAGTAGGTGTGTGTGTAGTTGTATAGGTAGGTGTGTAGTTAGCTGTATAGGTAGGTGTGTAGTTAAGTAGGTGTGTGTGTAGTTGTCTAGGTAGCTGTATAGGTAGGTGTGTAATTAAGTAGGTGTGTGTGTAGCTGTATAGGCAGGTGTGTAGGTAGCTGTATAGGTAGGTGTGTAGGTAGCTGTATAGGTAGGTATGTAGTTAAGCAGGTTTGTGTTTAGTTGTCTAGGTAGGTGTGTAGGTAGCTGTATAGGTAGGTGTGTAATTAAGTAGGTGTGTGTGTAGTTGTATAGGTAGGTGTATAGGTAAGTCAGTGTGTGGGTAGCTGTATAGGTAGGTGTGTAGTTAAGTCGGTGTGTGTGTAGTTGTCTAGGTAGGTGTGTAGGTAGCTGTATAGGTAGGTGTGTAGTTAAGTAGGTGTGTGTAGCTGTATAGGTAGGTGCGTAGTTAAGTAGGTGTGTGTGTAGTTGTCTAGGTAGGTGTGTAGGTAGGTGTGTAGGTAAGTCGGTGTGTGTGTAGCTGCATAGGTAGGTGTGTAGGTAGCTGTATAGGTAGGTGTGTAGTTAAGTAGGTGTGTGTGTAGTTGTATAGGTAGGTGTGTAGGTAGCTGTATAGGTAGGTGTCTAGTTAAGTAGGTGTGTAGGTAGCTGTATAGGTAGGTGCGTAGTTAAGTAGGTGTGTGTGTAGCTGTATAGGTAGGTGTGTAGGTAGCTGTATAGGTAGGTGTGTAGTTAAATAGGTGTGTGTGTAGTTGTCTAGGTAGGTGTGTAGTTAAGTAGGTGTGTGTGTAGTTGTCTAGGTAGGTGTGTAGGTAGCTGTATAGGTAGGGGTGTAGTTAAGCAGGTGTGTGTGTAGTTGTATAGGTAGGTGTGTAGGTAGCTGTATAGGTAGGTGTGTAGTTAAGTAGGTGTGTGTAGCTGTATAGGTAGGTGTGTAGGTAGTTGTATAGGTAGGTGTGTAGGTAAGTCGGTGTGTGTGTAGCTGTATAGGTAGGTGTGTAGGTAAGTCGGTGTGTGGGTAGCTGTATAGGTAGGTGTGTAGTTAAGTAGGTGTGTGTGTAGTTGTATAGGTAGGTGTGTAGTTAAGTAGGTGTGTGTGTAGTTGTATAGGTAGGTGTAGGTAGCTGTATAGGTAGGTGTGTGTGTAGCTGTATAGGTAGGTGTGTGTGTAGCTGTATAGGTAGGTGTGGGTAGTCACAGGCACGCACCTTGTGTATGTGGTACTGCTTGACGTCCACCGTACCGTCGGCCACCCTGCGCCCCGTCTCCTCCAGGTGGCTCTGGATCTTGTCCAAGATGTCTCCGCGCGACTGGTCGGACAGAATCTGTCCGATCACGTAGCTGGGTGGACGCCACCGTGGGACAGAGAGGGGAGGGAGGGAGAGGGGGTGATTGCAATTCAGCGTGATGCAACAACACCATACCACAGTGCGCACGCCACGGTGGCTAGGAGATCATCTTCTCGGTTCTTTCAATAAAGTCTAGTAAATAGGAAACCCAAAAAATAAAAAAATAAAGATACAAAATAATAATAATAAATAATAAAACGAATAAATCGAAAATAATTAAAGCAGAAAACCCACAGTAAAAATAAACTGAAAATAAAAGATGTTAACTACCTCGCCTGGTGTACAGGAGTTCGTGGGTTCGACCCCGACCCTGACGGTGCCTGCTGTACATTTGGAGTTTGCACGTCTCTCTCTCATCATCATCATCATCACGGTGGCTAGGAGATGTTGACTACCTCGCCTGGCGCGCAGGAGGTCGTCGGTTCGATCCCGAACCCTGCTCTATATTGGGAGTTTGCGCGTCTCTCTCTCTCTCATCATCATCATCACGGTGGCTCGGAGATGTTAACTACCTCGCCTGGTGTACAGGAGTTCGTGGGTTCGACCCCGACCCTGACGGTGCCTGCTGTACATTTGGAGTTTGCGCGTCTCTCTCTCATCATCATCATCATCATCACGGTGGCTAGGAGATGTTGACTACCTCGCCTGGCACGCAGGAGGTCGTCGGTTCGATCCCGAACCCTGACGCCTGCTCATCATCCTCATCATCACGGTGACGACGACGATGATGATGATGAGAGAGAGAGACGCGCCACTCACTTGCCGCAGGTCTTGGCCAGGTCGCACCAGTCGCGCCGCACGATGTCCAGGCCCTTGAGCTCCTGCCGGGTGGTGCAGGAGCCGTCGGCCTGCCGCTCGACGCTCAGCGCCGCGTACTTCTTCTTCTTCAGCAGCAGCATGGAGCGGTAGACGCCGTCCACGTCGATCTCCAGCAAGCGGTACGAGCGGTTCACCTCCGCCTTCACCTGCGGGGGAGGGAGCGCGGCGACGTCACGGACGCGCGGAACCCCCCCCTCATCCCCCCGCACGCACGTTGAACCCACACCTCGCACGTTGAACCCACACCTCGCACGTGAACCCACACCTCGCACGTTGAACCCACACCTCGCACGTTGAACCCACACCTCGCACGTGAACCCACACCTCGCACGTTGAACCCCAAAGACAAAAACAAGATCCCCCGTGTAGCCTGTAACAGACCGCAGGGGCAAGTGCTGTTAGTAGCGGGCAGCAGCAGCAGCTATGAAGGTAGACACAGACAAAGGTCCCCCGTGTAGCCTGTAACAGACTGCTGGGGCAAGTGCTGTTAGTAGCGAGTAGCAGCAGCTATGAAGGTAGACACAGACAAAGGTCCCCCGTGTAGCCTGTAACAGACCGCAGGGGCAAGTGCTGTTAGTAGCGAGTAGCAGCAGCACCTGTGAAGGTAGACACAGACAAAGATCCCCGTGTAGCCTCTAACAGACTGTAGGGGCAAGTGCTGTTATTAGCGAGTAGCAGCAGCTATGAAGGTAGACACGGACAAAGGTCCCCCGTGTAGCCTCTACAGACTGCAGGGGCAAGTGCTGTTAGCGAGCAGCAGCAGCAGCTATGAAGGTAGACACAGACAAAGGTCCCCCGTGGAGCCTCTACAGACTGTAGGGGCAAGTGCTGTTAGTGAGCGAGCAGCAGCACCTGTGAAGGCTACCGGCACTGTGGCACACGAGGGGGTGGGTGGCTACCAGCACCACGCCCGGCCGCCTTTGTCTCCCCCAGTGGCGATGTTTACTACACCACCGCTACACCAGGTAACTCATTTGAGGCCGAGTCGACCTAGGGGAGGCGCAGGACCGGTTCAGATTACCGTCACCGGCGTTGGCCGTGAGCGGGAGTCGAACCCGGGTCGCCGGGTTCGTAGCGCAGCAGCGTAGCGCTAACCCAGGGGTGGTCAAATTTTTGTTTTAACTCGCGGGCCACAATGTGTTCTAAAGTTTGACAGAGGAGCCGGGGACCAGGAAGCAGGTGGACGGAGCGTTCGCGTGAACTTAATATAAATGACGTGCTAAAAATCATTACGTGAAAGGATTTGGCCTTCGGACAGGTAGCAAAAAGCATTTACGTGCGAGGCAATTTAACAAAATTTGCACGAACGTGAGCGATACAAAAACATTTCTAGATTTTCAGCTTTCGTGACTGCAGTAATTCATATTCTTAGCTCTTTCGGTAAAGTCACGTTGAAGGGAAACAATAAAATAACAAAATATATATATTTTATTGTTTCCCTTCAACGTGACTTTACCGAAAGAGCTAAGAATAATACAGAAAGATGTCGTAACTCCCGGTCAAAGTGCGCCATCTAATGGGGAAATGGGGGCATTACAGGAGAAAGGTAAAATTTAATTTGCCCACGTCTGCGCTAACCACTACACTACCGCTCCCCCCCCCACACACACACACACTCAACGTGGTCGCGGCCCTCGTCAGCCCACCTTGGACCCCAGCCGGTACACCTCGTCCAGGTCTCGGCTGTTGGTGTTGATCATGATGGAGTCCGTGTCCCCATAGATCACCTCCAGGTTCATCTGTGTCGCACACGACCCAAGGGTCAAACAAACGGCCGGACCGTCCCTTGCCAGGCACAGAACGGCCGGGGGTCCTGCCCTGCATCACGGTGGCTAGGAGATGTTAACGGCCTCGCCTGGTATACAGAAGGTCGTGAGTTCCATCCCGACCCTGACGCCTGCTGTATATTTGGAGTTTGCGCGTCTCTCTCATCATCATCACGGTGGCTAGATGTCAACTACCTCGCCTGGTATACAGGATGTCGTGAGTTCGATCCAGACCCTGATGCCTGCTGTATATTTGGAGTCTGCGTGTCTCTCTCACTCATCATCACGGTGGCTAGGAGATGTTGACTACCTCGCCTGGTGTACAGGATGTCGTGAGTTCGATCCAGACCCTGATGCCTGCTGTATATTTGGAGTCTGCGTGTCTCTCTCTCATCATCATCACGGTGGCTAGGAGATGTTAACTACTTACCTCGCCTGGTGCGCAGGAGGTCGTCGGTTCGATCCCGACTCTGACGCCTGCTCTATATTTGGAGTTTGCGCGTCTCTCTCTCATCATCACGGTGGCTAGGAGATGTTAACTACCTCGCCTGGTGCGCAGGAGGTCGTCGGTTCGATCCCGACCCTGACGCCTGCTCTATATTTGGACTTTGCGCGTCTCTCTCTCCCCTTAGGTCGACGGTACGGTGGACGTCAAGCAGTACCACATACACAAGGTGCGTGCCTGTGACTACCCACACCTACCTATACAGCTACACACACACCTACCTATACAGCTACACACACCTACCTATACAGCTACACACACACCTACTTAACTACACACCTACCTATACAGCTACACACACACCTACCTATACAGCTACACACACACCTACTTAACTACACACCTACCTATACAACTACACACACACACCTACTTAACTACACACCTACCTATACAGCTACCTACACACCTACCTAGACTACACACACACCTACTTAACTACACACCTACCTATACAGCTACCCACACACCGACTTACCTACACACCTACCTATACAGCTACCCACACACCGACTTACCTACACGCCTACCTATACAGCTACCCACACACCGACTTACCTACACACCTACATATACACCTACCCACACACCTACTTACCTACACACCTACCTATACAGCTACCCACACACCGACTTACCTACACACATACCTATACAGCTACCCACACACCGACTTACCTACACATCTACCTATACAGCTACCCACACACCGACTTACCTACACACCTACCTATACAGCTACCAATGGCACGGTGGACGTCCAGCAGTACCACACACACACGGCTAACTAACCACACTCCACCCAGCAGTCAACCTATCCTCCGCAGGCGGACCGCCACCACCCAGCAACAACAACAACAACCGCCATTCGCCACTAAGTGGCGGTGACGTCACCACGGCGCCTGTGCCAGGCTGGGTGCGCTTTTAAGGCCACGTGAAGTGTCAAACGCCCGCTGGCAAGGAGGTCACGTGACAGACCCAGCAGGTGCCATGGGGTTGACCGACTGAGATGACTACTGGCAGATGCACCACCACCCGTGCCCCCTACTGTGCCAGGCTAGGTGCACGAGGTCACGGGGACAGACACAGCAGGTGCCATGGGGTTGACCGACTGAGATGACTACTGGCAGATGCACCACCAGCCGTGCCCCCTACTGTGCCAGGCTAGGTGCACGAGGTCACGGGGACAGACCCAGCAGGTGCCATGGGGTTGACCGACTGAGATGACTACTGGCAGATGCACCACCAGCCGTGGCCCCCTACTGTGCCAGGCTAGGTGCAGGAGGTCACGGGTATCAGACCCAGCGGGTGCCACGGGTTGACCGACCAAGACGACTGGCCGATTTCGCCGCCCCTCCCACTCGCTCACCTTCTGCACCAGCTCCTTCGTGTGCAGCAGGATCTGGAAAAGGGGCAAAGAGGAGCAAAAATCAAGCGCCACGCACGTCCCTGGAAGCACGCACGCACACACACGCACATACACACGCACGCACACACACACGCACACACACACACGCACGCACACACGCATACATACACACACACACACACGCACGCACATACACACACACGCACACACACACACACGCACGCACGCACGCTGACGGTCTACTGCGGAGGGTAGCGGCGTAGCGGTACCACCAGTGGTGCCACGCAGCCTGTGTGGAGGTTGTGCGTGTTCTTCCCGCCACCCGCAACCCCCGTCCTGCGGAGCGAGTGTGTGCGAGTGTGTGCGAGTGTGTGTGAGTGTGTGTGAGTGTGTGCGAGTGTGTGCGAGTGTGTGAGTGTGACTCGGTACGGGTGTGTGAGTGTGACTCGGTAGGGGTGTATGTGTGACACACCCCTACCGATTCGCACACACACTCACACACAATCCTACCGAGTCACACTCACAGGACACACACACACTCACACATGCAGGACACACACGCAGGACACACACACAGGACACACAAACAGGACACACACACAGGACACACACACTCACAGGACACACACAGGACACACGCAGGCAGACACGTACGTGCGTGAGTGAGTGAGTGCGTGCGTGAGTGTGTGCGTGAGTGTGTACGTGTGTGTGTGTGTACATGAGTGCGTGAGTGAGTGTGTACGTGAGTGAGTGTGTACGTGAGTGTGTACGTGAGTGAGTGTGTACGTGAGTGAGTGTGTACGTGAGTGCGTGAGTGTGTACGTGAGTGCGTGAGTGTGTGCGTGAGTGAGTGTGTACGTGAGTGAGTGTGTACGTGAGTGAGTGCGTGAGTGTGTGCGTGTGTGAGTGCGTGAGTGTGTACGTGTGTGAGTGAGTGTGTACGTGAGTGAGTGTGTACGTGAATGCGTGAGTGAGTGCTTGCGGGCACCTCGCGTCCCTTGAGGGTGACGAGGGCGGCCAGCGGCTTGGCGTAGAAGCGGGACAGCGAGAATCCCAGGCAGCCGTACATGCTGTTGGCCGTTAGCTTCAGTGCCTTCTGCCGGATGTCGTACTGCGAGCGGGGGGTGGTGGTGGTGTGTGTGGTGTGTGGTGTCGACAGAGTCACAATCCTTTAGCCGCGTCGCGAGAGAATTCCCGGCGAGTCACGAGGATCTTTTCACTCCACCCCCCCCCCCCCCCGCGTAGGTTGTGTGGGGAGGTGGGGCCAGGGGGTGAGACTAAGGGCACGCTGACCTACGTGTAGAGGTCAGGGAGTGAGGCTGGGGTCACGCTGACCGACGTGTAGTGGTCAGGGAGTGAGGCTGGGGTCACGCTGACCGACGTGTAGTGGTCAGGGAGTGAGGCTGGGGTCACGCTGACCTACGTGTAGTGGTCAGGGAGTGAGGCTGGGGTCACGCTGACCTGTGTGTAGAAGTCAGGGAATGAGGCTGTGGTCACGCTGACCTGTGTGTAGAGGTCATGGTGGGACTGGGGTCACGCTGACCTGTGTGTAGAAGTCAGGGAATGAGGCTGTGGTCACACTGACCTGTGTGTAGAGGTCATGGTGGGACTGGGGTCACACTGACCTGTGTGTAGAGGTCAGGGAGTGAGACTAGGGTCACACTGACCTGTGTGTAGAGGTCAGGGAGTGAGACTGGTCACACTGACCTGTGTGTAGAGGTCATGGTGAGACTGGGGACACGCTGACCTGTGTGTAGAAGTCAGGGAATGAGGCTGTGGTCACACTGACCTGTGTGTAGAGGTCATGGTGGGACTGGGGTCACACTGACCTGTGTGTAGAGGTCAGGGAGTGAGACTGGTCACACTGACCTACGTGTAGAGGTCATGGTGGGACTGGGATCACACTGACCTGTGTGTAGAGGTCAGGGTGTGAGACTGGGGTCACACTGACCTGTGTGTAGAGGTCATGGTGGGACTGGGGTCACGCTGACCTGTGTGTAGAGGTCAGGGTGAAACTAGGGTCACGCTGACCTGTGTGTAGAGGTCAGGGAGTGAGACTGGGGTCACACTGACCTGTGTGTAGAGGTCAGGGAGTGAGACTAGGGTCACGCTGACCTGTGTGTAGAGGTCAGGGTGAAACTAGGGTCACGCTGACCTGTGTGTAGAGGTCAGGGAGTGAGACTGGGATCACGCTGACCTGCATGTATAGGTCAGGGAGTGAGACTGGGGTCACGCTGACCTGCATGTAGAGGTCAGGGTTGAGGTCAGCTTGCTTCATGAGCCCCTTGACCTGCTTACGTCGCTCCACGAGCTTGCGAATCTCCGTGGGCAGCACGCCCAGCTCCAGGCCGGACTCTGGCAAATCCGGAATCCAGTCGGCACCCTGCTGGTGTACAAACAAAGACATGCCCCGTGTAGCCTTTACAGAACGCAGGGTCAAGTGTCAGCCTCCAGTACACTCAGCCAGCCACACATACACCCAGCCAGCCACACATACACCCAGCCAGCCACACGTACACCCAGCCAGCCAAACACCCAGCCAGCCACACATACACTCAGCCAGCCTCCCATACACTCAGCCAGCCTCCCATACACCCAGCCTGCCCCCCATACACCCAGCCAGCCACCCATACACCCAGCCAGCCACCCATACACCCAGCCAGCCACCCATACACCCAGCCAGCCACCCATACACCCAGCCAGCCACACATACACCCAGCCAGCCTCCCATACACCCAGCCAGCCACCCATACACCCAGCCAGCCTCCCATACACCCAGCCAGCCTCCCATACACCCAGCCAGCCACACATACACCCAGCCAGCCACACATACACCCAGCCAGCCTCTCATACACTCAGCCAGCCACCCATACACCCAGCCAGCCACCCATACACCCAGCCAGCCTCCCATACACTCAGCCAGCCACACATACACCCAGCTACCCATACACCCAGCCAGCCTCTGATACACTCAGCCAGCCACCCATACACCCAGCCAGCTACCCATACACCCAACCAGCCACCCATACACCCAGCCAGCCACCCATACACCCAGCCAGCCACCCATACACCCAGCCACGAGGCGTTACCACCATTGAGGGTGAAAGAACTTCATTACAAAATGACCCCTTGCATCTAATTATCTTATAATCCACACACACACACAGACACAAAGATCCCCCATAGAGCCTTAACAGACTGTTGGGGCAAGTGCTGTTATCGAGTAGCACCTATGAAGGCTACCGGCACCATGGCACACGAGGGGGTGGGTGGCCGGCAACCACGCCCGGCCGCCTTTGTCTCCCCCGAGCGGCGAAGTTAACACACCGCACCAGGTACTCAATTGAGGTCGAGTCGACCTAGGAGAGGCCCGGCACCAATTGAGATGATGGCGGTGACCGTGAGCGGGAATCGAACTCGGGTCGCCGGGTTCGTAGCGCAGCGTAGCGCTAACCACTACACCACCGCTCCCCACAATCAGACACACAGCGACACACACACACACAGCCACGACTCCCCACCCAAACACGTTGATCACCCCTCAACTAACAACACAATCGCACTTTCACTCGCACGCACGCGCAGGCAAAGGTCCCCCCCCCCCCCGCATAGCCTCTTAACAAGACTGCCGGGGCAAGTGCTGCTACCCATACACCCAGCCAGCCACTACCGGCACTGTGGCACACGAGGGGGCGGGTGGCCGGCAACCACGCCCGGCCGCCTTTGTCTCCCCCAGGTGGTTGACGTTCACTACACCGCCGCGACACCGGGTAACTCCATTCGAGGCCCAGACACGTTTACACGCACGTCACCTGCCCGGGCGGAGTGTGCTGACACACGGTGGTGAAGCAGATGTTGTACTCCTGGATGATGGACGGGTACAGGCTGTTGAAATCCAGCAGGAGAATGAATTTGTCGTAAAATCCTGCCACGCACACACACAAAGGCAGAGGTCCACCCCGTGTAGCCTCTTAACAAAGACTGTAGGGGCAAGTGCTGCTAGCGGGCAGCGCCTGTGAAGGCTGCCGGCACCGTGGCACTCGAGGTGGGTGGGTGGCCACCAGCACCGCGCCCGGCCGCCTTTGTCTCCCCCAGTGGCGATGTTTAACCACACACCGCACCGGGTACTCATTTGAGGCCGCGTCGATCTTAGGGGAGGGCCCAGGACCCTTTCAGATAATCGTCGCTGTTGCTAGACGAGAGCGGGAAATCGAACCCGGGTCGCTGGGTTCGTAGTGCGGCGCGCGCTAGTCGCTACACCACCGCTCCCCACGCACACGCACACAGACACACAGACACACACAGACACACACACAGACACACACACACGGACACACGCACACACGCACGGACACACGCACAGAAACACACACAGACACACACACAGAAACACGCACGGACACACACACAGAAACACGCACAGACACACACACAGACACACACACACAGACACACACACACGGACACACGCACGGACACACGCACGGACACACACACAGACACACACACAGACACACTCACACACACACACACACGCACAGACACTCACACACACACACGCACAGACACACGCACAGACACACACACAGACACACACACAGACACACAGCCACAGACACACACAGACACACGGACACACGCACGGACACACACACAGACACACACACTGACACACAGACACACACACAGACACACGCACAGACACACACACAGACACACACACAGACACACACACAGACACAGACACACACACACGCACAGACACACACACACGCACAGACACACAGACACACACACAGACACACACACAGACACACACAGACACACACACAGACACACACAGACACACACACAGACACACACACAGACACACGCACAGACACACACACACAGACACACACAGACACACGGACCGCACGGGGTGACACAGCGGGCAGTGAGCATCCTCACCCCGCTACGGCAAACTGCCTCCTCGACGGCCTCACCCACCTACCCCCCCACCCCCCCTGTTCCTTACTTCGCCCGAACCCCTCTCATCTCACTCCACTCCCCTCTCATCTCACTCCACTCCCCTCATCTCACTCCACTCCACTCTCATCTCACTCCACTAACCTCCACTCTCACCTCACTCCACTCTCATCTCACTACACTAACCTCCACTCTCATCTCACTCCACTCCCCTCTCGTCTCACTCCCCCACTCCACTCTCTCTACCTGTCCCTCTCATCTCACTCCACTCCACTCCCCTCTCATCTCACTCCATGCATTCTCCTACCCCTAACCTCTCACCTCACTCCACTCCCCTCCACGCATTCTCCTACCTCTCCCCTCTCATCTCACTCCACTCGCCTCTCATCTCACTCCACTCCACACTCTCTCCTACCTCTCCCTCTCATCTCACACCACTCCACTCATCTCACTCCACTCCCCTCTCATCTCACTCCACTCCCCTCTCATCTCACTCCACTCCCCTCTTATCTCACTCCACTCCACTCTCATCTCACTCCACTCCACACTCTCTCCTACCACTCCCTCTCATCTCACTCCACTCCCCTCTCATCTCACTCCACTCCCCCTCTCATCTCACTCCACTCCCCTCTCATCTCACTCCACTCCACACTCTCTCCTACCACTCCCTCTCATCTCACTCCACTCCCCTCTCATCTCACTCCACTCTTTCTCCTACCCCTAACCTCTCATCTCACTCCACTCTCCTCATCTCACTCCACTCCGATCCACTCTCATCTCACTCCACTCCACGCATTCTCCTACCCCTAACCTCTCATCTCACTCCACTCCCCTCCACGTACTCTCCTACCTCTCCCCTCTCATCTCACTCCACTCCCCTCTCATCTTACTCCACTCCCCTCCACTCTCACCTCACTCCCCTCCACGCTCACTCCTACCTCTCCCCTCTCATCCCGCTCCACTACCCACCACGCTCTCCCCCCGCCCCAAACCTCTCCCCTCCCCCTCTCACTCCACACGCTCCGCTACGCCCCACGAATTCATCCAGCAGCGGATAGGCCCTGCCTGACGACGGCGATGACGGCGGCGATGACGGCATACCGACTTTGGGCTCCAGGACGAGACCTCCAGCGTAGGCCGCCTTGCGCTTTCCCCTTCCCCGCTCGCCGTCTTCATCCTCCTCCTGGGGGTGAGCGTCACACGGAGGCCCGTCAGGGCGTGGTGGAGGGGAGCGAGCGTCACACGGAGGCCCGTCAGGGTGTGGTGGAGGGGAGCGAGCGTCACACGGAGGCCCGTCAGGGCGTGGTGGAGGGGAGTGAGCGTCACACGGAGGCCCGTCAGAGTGTGGTGGAGGGGAGCGAGCGTCACACGGAGGCCCGTCAGGGTGTGGTGGAGGGGAGCGAGCGTCACACGGAGGCCCGTCAGGGTGTGGAGGGGAGTGAGCGTCACACGGAGGCCCGTGGCGAACCCCACGAGCGGCGAGTGAAGGGGTGAGGCCGTTATGGGAACCGTGGCTGAGACCGGCAACTCGCTCTCACTCCGGCGAGCGTCTCTGTGTTTGTGGAGTCTGTGGGTCTCTGTGTTTGTGGAGTCTGTGGGTCTCTGTGTTTGTGGAGTCTGTGGGTCTCTGTGTTTGAGGAGTCTGTGGGTCTCTGTGTTTGTGGAGTCTGTGGGTCTCTGTGTTTGTGAGCGAGTCTGTGGGTCTCTGTGTTTGTGGAGTCTGTGGGTCTCTGTGTTTGTGGAGTCTGTGGGTCTCTGTGTTTGTGAGCGAGTCTGTGGGTCTCTGTGTTTGTGGAGTCTCTGGGTCTCTGTGTTTGTGGAGTCTGTGGGTCTCTGTGTTTGTGAGCGAGTCTGTGGGTCTCTGTGTTTGTGGAGTCTTTGGGTCTCTGTGTTTGTTGAGTCTCTGGGTCTCTGTGTTTGTGGAGTCTGTGGGTCTCTGTGTTTGTGAGCGAGTCTGTGGGTCTCTGTGTTTGTGAGCGAGTCTGTGGGTCTCTGTGTTTGTGGAGTCTCTTGGTCTCTGTGTTTGTGGAGTCTGTGGGTCTCTGTGTTTGTGGAGTCTCTTGTTCTCTGTGTTTGTGGAGTCTGTGGGTCTCTGTGTTTGTGAGCGAGTCTGTGGGTCTCTGTGTTTGTGGAGTCTGTGGGTCTCTGTGTTTGTGGAGTCTGTGGGTCTCTGTGTTTGTGGAGTCTGTTGGTCTCTGTGTTTGTGGAGTCTGTGGGTCTCTGTGTTTGTGGAGTCTCTGGGTCTCTGTGTTTGTGAGCGAGTCTGTGGGTCTCTGTGTTTGTGGAGTCTGTGGGTCTCTGTGTTTGTGGAGTCTCTGGGTCTCTGAGTTTGTGGAGTCTCTGGGTCTCTGAGTTTGTGGAGTCTGTGGGTCTCTGTGTTTGTGAGCGAGTCTATGGGTCTCTGTGTTTGTGGAGTCTGTGGGTCTCTGTGTTTGTGAGCGAGTCTGTGGGTCTCTGTGTTTGTGAGGGAGTCTGTGGTTCTCTGTGTTTGTGAGCGAGTCTGTGGGTCTCTGTGTTTGTGAGCGAGTCTGTGGGTCTCTGTGTTTGTGAGCGAGTCTGTGGGTCTCTCTGTTTGTGGAGTCTGTGGGTCTCTGTGTTTGTGGAGTCTGTGGGTCTCTGTGTTTGTGAGCGAGTCTGTGGGTCTCTGTGTTTGTGGAGTCTGTGGGTCTCTGTGTTTGTGGAGTCTGTGAGTCTCTGTGTTTGTGGAGTCTGTGAGTCTCTGTGTTTGTGGAGTCTGTGGGTCTCTGTGTTTGTGAGCGAGTCTGTGAGTCTCTGTGTTTGTGGAGTCTGTGGGTCTCTGTGTTTGTGAGCGAGTCTGTGGGTCTCTGTGGTTGTGGAGTCTGTGGGTCTCTGTGTTTGTGGAGTCTGTGGGTCTCTGTGTTTGTGTAGTCTGTGGGTCTCTGTGTTTGTGAGCGAGTCTGTGGGTCTCTGTGTTTGTGGAGTCTGTGGGTCTCTGTGTGTGTGGAGTCTGTGAGTCTCTGTGTTTGTGTAGTCTGTGGGTCTCTGTGTTTGTGAGCGAGTCTGTGGGTCTCTGTGTTTGTGAGCGAGTCTGTGGGTCTCTGTGTTTGTGGAGTCTGTGGGTCTCTGTGTTTGTGGAGTCTGTGGGTCTCTGTGTTTGTGAGCGAGTCTGTGGGTCTCTGTGTTTGTGGAGTCTGTGGGTCTCTGTGTTTGTGGAGTCTGTGGGTCTCTGTGTTTGTGTAGTCTGTGGGTCTCTGTGTTTGTGGAGTCTCTGGGTCTCTGTGTTTGTGGAGTCTGTGGGTCTCTGTGTTTGTGAGCGAGTCTGTGGGTCTCTGTGTTTGTGAGCGAGTCTGTGGGTCTCTGTGTTTGTGGAGTCTGTGGGTCTCTGTGTTTGTGAGCGAGTCTGTGGGTCTCTGTGTTTGTGGAGTCTGTGGGTCTCTGTGTTTGTGGAGTCTGTGGGTCTCTGTGTTTGTGGAGTCTCTGGGTCTCTGTGTTTGTGGAGTCTGTGGGTCTCTGTGTTTGTGGAGTCTGTGGGTCTCTGTGTTTGTGGAGTCTGTGGGTCTCTGTGTTTGTGGAGTCTGTGGGTCTCTGTGTTTGTGGAGTCTCTGGGTCTCTGTGTTTGTGAGCGAGTCTGTGGGTCTCTGTGTTTGTGGAGTCTGTGGGTCTCTGTGTTTGTGGAGTCTGTGGGTCTCTGTGTTTGTGGAGTCTGTGGGTCTCTGTGTTTGTGAGCGAGTCTGTGGGTCTCTGTGTTTGTGAGCGAGTCTGTGGGTCTCTCTGTTTGTGGAGTCTGTGGGTCTCTGTGTTTGTGGAGTCTGTGGGTCTCTGTGTTTGTGAGCGAGTCTGTGGGTCTCTGTGTTTGTGGAGTCTGTGGGTCTCTGTGTTTGTGGAGTCTGTGAGTCTCTGTGTTTGTGGAGTCTGTGGGTCTCTGTGTTTGTGAGCGAGTCTGTGAGTCTCTGTGTTTGTGGAGTCTGTGGGTCTCTCTGTTTGTGAGCGAGTCTGTGGGTCTCTGTGGTTGTGGAGTCTGTGGGTCTCTGTGTTTGTGGAGTCTGTGGGTCTCTGTGTTTGTGTAGTCTGTGGGTCTCTGTGTTTGTGAGCGAGTCTGTGGGTCTCTGTGTTTGTGGAGTCTGTGGGTCTCTGTGTTTGTGGAGTCTGTGAGTCTCTGTGTTTGTGTAGTCTGTGGGTCTCTGTGTTTGTGAGCGAGTCTGTGGGTCTCTGTGTTTGTGAGCGAGTCTGTGGGTCTCTGTGTTTGTGGAGTCTGTGGGTCTCTGTGTTTGTGGAGTCTGTGGGTCTCTGTGTTTGTGAGCGAGTCTGTGGGTCTCTGTGTTTGTGGAGTCTGTGGGTCTCTGTGTTTGTGGAGTCTGTGGGTCTCTGTGTTTGTGAAGTCTGTGGGTCTCTGTGTTTGTGGAGTCTGTGGGTCTCTGTGTTTGTGGAGTCTGTGGGTCTCTGTGTTTGTGAGCGAGTCTGTGGGTCTCTGTGTTTGTGAGCGAGTCTGTGGGTCTCTGTGTTTGTGGAGTCTGTGGGTCTCTGTGTTTGTGAGCGAGTCTGTGGGTCTCTGTGTTTGTGGAGTCTGTGGGTCTCTGTGTTTGTGGAGTCTGTGGGTCTCTGTGTTTGTGGAGTCTCTGGGTCTCTGTGTTTGTGGAGTCTGTGGGTCTCTGTGTTTGTGGAGTCTGTGGGTCTCTGTGTTTGTGGAGTCTGTGGGTCTCTGTGTTTGTGGAGTCTGTGGGTCTCTGTGTTTGTGGAGTCTCTGGGTCTCTGTGTTTGTGAGCGAGTCTGTGGGTCTCTGTGTTTGTGGAGTCTGTGGGTCTCTGTGTTTGTGGAGTCTGTGGGTCTCTGTGTTTGTGGAGTCTGTGGGTCTCTGTGTTTGTGCGAGTCTGTGGGTCTCTGTGTTTGTGGAGTCTCTGGGTCTCTGTGTTTGTGGAGTCTGTGGGTCTCTGTGTTTGTGGAGTCTGTGGGTCTCTGTGTTTGAGGAGTCTGTGGGTCTCTGTGTTTGTGGAGTCTGTGGGTCTCTGTGTTTGTGAGCGAGTCTGTGGGTCTCTGTGTTTGTGGAGTCTGTGGGTCTCTGTGTTTGTGGAGTCTGTGGGTCTCTGTGTTTGTGAGCGAGTCTGTGGGTCTCTGTGTTTGTGGAGTCTCTGGGTCTCTGAGTTTGTGGAGTCTGTGGGTCTCTGTGTTTGTGAGCGAGTCTGTGGGTCTCTGTGTTTGTGGAGTCTGTGGGTCTCTGTGTTTGTGGAGTCTCTGGGTCTCTGTGTTTGTGGAGTCTGTGGGTCTCTGTGTTTGTGAGCGAGTCTGTGGGTCTCTGTGTTTGTGAGCGAGTCTGTGGGTCTCTGTGTTTGTGGAGTCTCTTGGTCTCTGTGTTTGTGGAGTCTGTGGGTCTCTGTGTTTGTGGAGTCTCTTGTTCTCTGTGTTTGTGGAGTCTGTGGGTCTCTGTGTTTGTGAGCGAGTCTGTGGGTCTCTGTGTTTGTGGAGTCTGTGGGTCTCTGTGTTTGTGGAGTCTCTGGGTCTCTGTGTTTGTGGAGTCTGTGGGTCTCTGTGTTTGTGGAGTCTGTGGGTCTCTGTGTTTGTGGAGTCTCTGGGTCTCTGTGTTTGTGAGCGAGTCTGTGGGTCTCTGTGTTTGTGGAGTCTGTGGGTCTCTGTGTTTGTGGAGTCTCTGGGTCTCTGTGTTTGTGGAGTCTCTGGGTCTCTGAGTTTGTGGAGTCTGTGGGTCTCTGTGTTTGTGAGCGAGTCTATGGGTCTCTGTGTTTGTGGAGTCTGTGGGTCTCTGTGTTTGTGGAGTCTGTGGGTCTCTGTGTTTGTGAGGGAGTCTGTGGGTCTCTGTGTTTGTGAGCGAGTCTGTGGGTCTCTGTGTTTGTGAGCGAGTCTGTGGGTCTCTGTGTTTGTGAGCGAGTCTGTGGGTCTCTCTGTTTGTGGAGTCTGTGGGTCTCTGTGTTTGTGGAGTCTGTGGGTCTCTGTGTTTGTGAGCGAGTCTGTGGGTCTCTGTGTTTGTGGAGTCTGTGGGTCTCTGTGTTTGTGGAGTCTGTGAGTCTCTGTGTTTGTGGAGTCTGTGAGTCTCTGTGTTTGTGGAGTCTGTGGGTCTCTGTGTTTGTGAGCGAGTCTGTGAGTCTCTGTGTTTGTGGAGTCTGTGGGTCTCTCTGTTTGTGAGCGAGTCTGTGGGTCTCTGTGGTTGTGGAGTCTGTGGGTCTCTGTGTTTGTGGAGTCTGTGGGTCTCTGTGTTTGTGTAGTCTGTGGGTCTCTGTGTTTGTGAGCGAGTCTGTGGGTCTCTGTGTTTGTGGAGTCTGTGGGTCTCTGTGTTTGTGAGCGAGTCTGTGGGTCTCTGTGTTTGTGGAGTCTGTGGGTCTCTGTGTTTGTGGAGTCTGTGGGTCTCTGTGTTTGTGGAGTCTCTGGGTCTCTGTGTTTGTGGAGTCTGTGGGTCTCTGTGTTTGTGGAGTCTGTGGGTCTCTGTGTTTGTGGAGTCTGTGGGTCTCTGTGTTTGTGGAGTCTGTGGGTCTCTGTGTTTGTGGAGTCTCTGGGTCTCTGTGTTTGTGAGCGAGTCTGTGGGTCTCTGTGTTTGTGGAGTCTGTGGGTCTCTGTGTTTGTGGAGTCTGTGGGTCTCTGTGTTTGTGGAGTCTGTGGGTCTCTGTGTTTGTGCGAGTCTGTGGGTCTCTGTGTTTGTGGAGTCTCTGGGTCTCTGTGTTTGTGGAGTCTGTGGGTCTCTGTGTTTGTGGAGTCTGTGGGTCTCTGTGTTTGAGGAGTCTGTGGGTCTCTGTGTTTGTGGAGTCTGTGGGTCTCTGTGTTTGTGAGCGAGTCTGTGGGTCTCTGTGTTTGTGGAGTCTGTGGGTCTCTGTGTTTGTGGAGTCTGTGGGTCTCTGTGTTTGTGAGCGAGTCTGTGGGTCTCTGTGTTTGTGGAGTCTCTGGGTCTCTGTGTTTGTGGAGTCTGTGGGTCTCTGTGTTTGTGAGCGAGTCTGTGGGTCTCTGTGTTTGTGGAGTCTGTGGGTCTCTGTGTTTGTGGAGTCTCTGGGTCTCTGTGTTTGTGGAGTCTGTGGGTCTCTGTGTTTGTGAGCGAGTCTGTGGGTCTCTGTGTTTGTGAGCGAGTCTGTGGGTCTCTGTGTTTGTGGAGTCTCTTGGTCTCTGTGTTTGTGGAGTCTGTGGGTCTCTGTGTTTGTGGAGTCTCTTGTTCTCTGTGTTTGTGGAGTCTGTGGGTCTCTGTGTTTGTGAGCGAGTCTGTGGGTCTCTGTGTTTGTGGAGTCTGTGGGTCTCTGTGTTTGTGGAGTCTCTGGGTCTCTGTGTTTGTGGAGTCTGTGGGTCTCTGTGTTTGTGGAGTCTGTGGGTCTCTGTGTTTGTGGAGTCTCTGGGTCTCTGTGTTTGTGAGCGAGTCTGTGGGTCTCTGTGTTTGTGGAGTCTGTGGGTCTCTGTGTTTGTGGAGTCTCTGGGTCTCTGAGTTTGTGGAGTCTCTGGGTCTCTGAGTTTGTGGAGTCTGTGGGTCTCTGTGTTTGTGAGCGAGTCTATGGGTCTCTGTGTTTGTGGAGTCTGTGGGTCTCTGTGTTTGTGGAGTCTGTGGGTCTCTGTGTTTGTGAGGGAGTCTGTGGGTCTCTGTGTTTGTGAGCGAGTCTGTGGGTCTCTGTGTTTGTGAGCGAGTCTGTGGGTCTCTGTGTTTGTGAGCGAGTCTGTGGGTCTCTCTGTTTGTGGAGTCTGTGGGTCTCTGTGTTTGTGGAGTCTGTGGGTCTCTGTGTTTGTGAGCGAGTCTGTGGGTCTCTGTGTTTGTGGAGTCTGTGGGTCTCTGTGTTTGTGGAGTCTGTGAGTCTCTGTGTTTGTGGAGTCTGTGAGTCTCTGTGTTTGTGGAGTCTGTGGGTCTCTGTGTTTGTGAGCGAGTCTGTGAGTCTCTGTGTTTGTGGAGTCTGTGGGTCTCTCTGTTTGTGAGCGAGTCTGTGGGTCTCTGTGGTTGTGGAGTCTGTGGGTCTCTGTGTTTGTGGAGTCTGTGGGTCTCTGTGTTTGTGTAGTCTGTGGGTCTCTGTGTTTGTGAGCGAGTCTGTGGGTCTCTGTGTTTGTGGAGTCTGTGGGTCTCTGTGTTTGTGGAGTCTGTGAGTCTCTGTGTTTGTGTAGTCTGTGGGTCTCTGTGTTTGTGAGCGAGTCTGTGGGTCTCTGTGTTTGTGAGCGAGTCTGTGGGTCTCTGTGTTTGTGGAGTCTGTGGGTCTCTGTGTTTGTGGAGTCTGTGGGTCTCTGTGTTTGTGAGCGAGTCTGTGGGTCTCTGTGTTTGTGGAGTCTGTGGGTCTCTGTGTTTGTGGAGTCTGTGGGTCTCTGTGTTTGTGAAGTCTGTGGGTCTCTGTGTTTGTGGAGTCTGTGGGTCTCTGTGTTTGTGGAGTCTGTGGGTCTCTGTGTTTGTGAGCGAGTCTGTGGGTCTCTGTGTTTGTGAGCGAGTCTGTGGGTCTCTGTGTTTGTGGAGTCTGTGGGTCTCTGTGTTTGTGAGCGAGTCTGTGGGTCTCTGTGTTTGTGGAGTCTGTGGGTCTCTGTGTTTGTGGAGTCTGTGGGTCTCTGTGTTTGTGGAGTCTCTGGGTCTCTGTGTTTGTGGAGTCTGTGGGTCTCTGTGTTTGTGGAGTCTGTGGGTCTCTGTGTTTGTGGAGTCTGTGGGTCTCTGTGTTTGTGGAGTCTGTGGGTCTCTGTGTTTGTGGAGTCTCTGGGTCTCTGTGTTTGTGAGCGAGTCTGTGGGTCTCTGTGTTTGTGGAGTCTGTGGGTCTCTGTGTTTGTGGAGTCTGTGGGTCTCTGTGTTTGTGGAGTCTGTGGGTCTCTGTGTTTGTGCGAGTCTGTGGGTCTCTGTGTTTGTGGAGTCTCTGGGTCTCTGTGTTTGTGGAGTCTCTGGGTCTCTGTGTTTGTGAGCGAGTCTGTGGGTCTCTGTGTTTGTGGAGTCTGTGGGTCTCTGTGTTTGTGAGCGAGTCTGTGGGTCTCTGTGTTTGTGAGCGAGTCTGTGGGTCTCTCTGTTTGTGAGCGAGTCTGTGGGTCTCTGTGTTTGTGGAGTCTGTGGGTCTCTGTGTTTGAGGAGTCTGTGGGTCTCTGTGTTTGTGGAGTCTGTGGGTCTCTGTGTTTGTGGAGTCTGTGGGTCTCTGTGTTTGTGGAGTCTGTGGGTCTCTGTGTTTGTGGAGTCTGTGGGTCTCTGTGTTTGTGAGCGAGTCTGTGGGTCTCTGTGTTTGTGGAGTCTGTGGGTCTCTGTGTTTGTGGAGTCTGTGGGTCTCTGTGTTTGTGGAGTCTATGGGTCTCTGTGTTTGTGGAGTCTGTGGGTCTCTGTGTTTGTGGAGTCTGTGGGTCTCTGTGTTTGTGGAGTCTGTGGGTCTCTGTGTCTGTGGAGTCTGTGGGTCTGTGTTTGTGTAGTCTGTGGGTCTCTGTGTTTGTGAGCGAGTCTGAGGGTCTCTGTGTTTGTGGAGTCTGTGGGTCTCTGTGTTTGTGAGCGAGTCTGTGGGTCTCTGTGTTTGAGGAGTCTGTGGGTCTCTCTGTTTGTGGAGTCTGTGGGTCTCTGTGTTTGTGGAGTCTGTGGGTCTCTGTGTTTGTGAGCGAGTCTGTGGGTCTCTGTGTTTGTGGAGTCTGTGGGTCTCTGTGTTTGAGCGAGTCTGTGGGTCTCTGTGTTTGTGGAGTCTGTGGGTCTCTGTGTTTGTGAGCGAGTCTGGGGGTCTCTGTGTTTGTGAGCGAGTCTGTGGGTCTCTGTGTTTGTGGAGTCTCTGGGTCTCTGTGTTTGTGAGGGAGTCTGTGGGTCTCTGTTTTTGTGGAGTCTGTGGGTCTCTGTGTTTGTGGAGTCTGTGAGTCTCTGTGTTTGTGGAGTCTGTGGGTCTCTGTGTTTGTGAGCGAGTCTGTGGGTCTCTGTGTTTGTGGAGTCTGTGGGTCTCTGTGTTTGTGAGCGAGTCTGTGGGTCTCTGTGTTTGTGGAGTCTGTGGGTCTCTGTGTTTGTGGAGTCTGTGGGTCTCTGTGTTTGTGAGCGAGTCTGTGGGTCTCTGTGTTTGTGGAGTCTGTGGGTCTCTGTGTTTGTGGAGTCTCTGGGTCTCTGAGTTTGTGGAGTCTCTGGGTCTCTGAGTTTGTGGAGTCTGTGGGTCTCTGTGTTTGTGAGCGAGTCTGTGGGTCTCTGTGTTTGTGGAGTCTGTGGGTCTCTGTGTTTGAGGAGTCTGTGGGTCTCTGTGTTTGTGGAGTCTCTGGGTCTCTGTGTTTGTGAGCGAGTCTGTGGGTCTCTGTGTTTGTGAGCGAGTCTGTGGGTCTCTGTGTTTGAGGAGTCTGTGGGTCTCTCTGTTTGTGGAGTCTGTGGGTCTCTGTGTTTGTGGAGTCTGTGGGTCACTGTGTTTGTGAGCGAGTCTGTGGGTCTCTGTGTTTGTGAGCGAGTCTGTGGGTCTCTGTGTTTGTGAGCGAGTCTGTGGGTCTCTGTGTTTGTGGAGTCTGTGGGTCTCTGTGTTTGTGAGCGAGTCTGTGGGTCTCTGTGTTTGTGGAGTCTGTGGGTCTCTGTGTTTGTGGAGTCTGTGGGTCTCTGTGTTTGTGGAGTCTGTGGGTCTCTGTGTTTGTGGAGTCTGTGGGTCTCTGTGTTTGTGGAGTCTGTGGGTCTCTGTGTTTGTGGAGTCTGTGGGTCTCTGTGTGAGTCTGTGGCTCTCCCTGTGTGAGTCTGTGGCTCTCCCTGTGTGAGTCTGTGGGTCTCTGTGTGAGTCTGTGGGTCTCTGTGTGAGTCTGTGGCTCTCCCTGTGTGAGTCTGTGGCTCTCACTGTGAGTCTGTGGCTCTCTCTGTGAGTCTGTGGCTCTCCGTGCGTGTGTGGTGGCTCTCCCTGTGTGAGTCTGTGGCTCTCCCTGTGTGAGTCTGTGGCTCTCCCTGTGTGAGTCTGTGGCTCTCTTTGTGAGTCTGTGGCTCTCTCTGTGAGTCTGTGGCTCCCTGTGTGAGTCTGTGGCTCTCCCTGTGTGAGTCTGTGGCTCTCCGTGCGTGTGTGGTGGCTCCACCTCTGCGGCCGTGCTGTTCTTGCGGCCGTACGTCTTGTCGGGGCAGATGAAGTTGCGCTGGTGGAACGCGTGGAGCAGCAGGAACTCATTCCGCTCCGACCGCCCGCCCAGCAGCGTGCGAGACTGCACAGCGACAATGACGACGACATCAACGACAACGACAACAATGATGGCGACGATGACGACAACGATGACGTCAACAATAACGACGATCAGTTTAACACGTAGGCTTTCGCGACCGAAATTATTCATAATAAAGGTTTTTGGGTTAGATCGCCGGTGGGCTAAAGTAGTGAATTATTTGCCTTTTGTCAACGTGACACTTTTTTTGCTGATTGGCCGTGTCGGGTGGTGGAGGGTTACGACACATTTATAAGTAAACGCGATCTAACCCAAAAAACGTTATTATGAATAACGACGATACCAACAAAGACTACACAAACAAAATTGCCCACACCGCCACGTCTCTTGCCACCGCCACCACCACCACCACCACACCACTCCCCTGGTGACATGGTTAGAACACACACACACACACCACGTCTCTCACCACCACCACCACCACACTACCCCCTGGTGGTGTTGTTAGAACACACACACACACACCACATCTCTCACCACCACCACCACCACCACCCCCTGGTGGCGTGGTTAGAACACACACACACACACCACGTCTCTCACCACCACCACCACCACCCCCTGGTGGCATGGTTAGAACAAACACACACACACACCACGTCTCTCATCACCACCACCACACCACACCCCTGGTGACATGGTTAGAACACACACACACACACACCACGTCTCTCATCACCACCACCACACCACACCCCTGGTGACATGGTTAGAACACACACACACACACCACGTCTCTCATCACCACCACCACACCACACCCCTGGTGGCATGGTTAGAACACACACACACACACACCACGCCTCTCACCACCACCACCACATCATCCCCCTGGTGGCGTTGTTAGAACACACACACACACACACCGCGTCTCTCACCACCACCCCCCTGATGGCATGGTTAGAACACACACACACACACACCATGCCTCTCACCACCACCACACCACCACCCTGGTGACATGGTTAAAACACACACACACCACGTCTTTCACCACCACCACCACCTCCCTGGTGACAAGGTTAGAACACACACACACACACACCGCGTCTCTCACCACCACCACCACCACCCCCCTGGTGGCATGGTTAGAACACACACACACACACCGCGTCTCTCACCACCACCACCACCACCCCCCTGGTGGCATGGTTAAAACACACACACACCACGTCTTTCACCACCACCACCACCCCCTGGTGGTGTTGTTAGAACACACACACACACACACCACGTCTCTCACCACCACCACCACCACACCCCCCTGGTGGCATGGTTAGAACACACACACACACCACGTCTCTCACCACCACCACCACCAAACCACACCCCTGGTGACATGGTTAGAACACACACACACCACGTCTCTCACCACCACCACACCACCCTGGTGGGATGGTTAAAACACACACACACACACCGCGTCTCTCACCACCACCACCACCACACCCCTGGTGGCATGGTTAGAACACACACACACACACACACCACGCCTCTCACCACCAACACCACCATCTCCCTGGTGGCATGGTTAGAACACACACACACACACCACATCTCTCACCACCAACACCACCACACCACCACCCTGGTGACATGGTTAGAACACACACACACACACACCGCGTCTCTCACCACCACCACCACCACCACCCTGGTGACATGGTTAGAACACACACACACACACCACATCTCTCACCACCAACACCACCTCACCACCACCCTGGTTACATGGTTAGAACACACACACACACACACACCGCGTCTCTCACCACCACCACCACCACCACCCTGGTGACATGGTTAGAACACACACACACACACCACATCTCTCACCACCAACACCACCACACCACCACCCTGGTGACATGGTTAGAACACACACACACACACCGCGTCTCTCACCACCACCACCACCACCCTGGTGACATGGTTAGAACACACACACACACACCACGCCTCTCACCACCACCACCACACCACACCCCTGGTGGTGTTGTTAGAACACACACACACACACCACGTCTCTCACCACCACCACCACCAAACCACACCCCTGGTGACATGGTTAGAACACACACACACACACCACGTCTCTCACCACCGCCACCACCACCCCCTGGTGACATGGTTAGAACACACACACACACACCACGTCTCTCACCACCACCACACCACCCTGGTGGGATGGTCAAAACACACACACACACACACCGCGTCTCTCACCACCACCACCACCACCCTGGTGACATGGTTAGAACACACACACACACACACCGCGTCTCTCACCACCACCGCCACCGCCACCGCCACCACACCCCGGCGGTGTGAGCCGACACACAAAAAACTGCGGCCGCTCACCAGCAGGTTGCCGGCGATGCAGGTGATCTGGTGAGCCAGTGGCAGGGCGTTGAGCTCGCTCATGATGCTGAGCGCGTGCCGAGCGTCGGTGAGCGTGTGCGACGCCATGTCCAGCAGGCGCTGAGAGTCGCTGCAGAATGCAGGGGACGATCGACACGTTTGTTTATACCCCAGGAGGAAGGGGGTGGTAAGGAGAGGGAGGGATGGGGGGTGGTGGTGAGGAGGGTGGGAAGAGTAATCCGATGAGCTATGAAGCTCTTTTTCACAGGTGTCCAGGTAGGGGGGCACGGGGCACAACGCTACAACAAACTAAACTAAAACTAGATTTTGATTCAAAGCTTTCGTGATGACTGCAAGGATTCATCTGCTTTGGTTCCGTCGGTAAAGTCACCACCACGTAGAATGAGAATAAAATAATAAAATAACACAATAAAATTCTCACGACGTTTCGGCCACAACACAAGTAGCCTTCTGCAGGTGAAGGAACAGAACTGTCGGGGAGACAGAGCTTCAATGGCATCATCTGGTCCAACACCAGTGTGGAGACTGTTTTTTTTCGTATTTTGATACTATTCATCTGGTCCAACACCAGTGTGAGACTAAGGGCTCTAAGAAAAGCCGTCTCGGGTGTGGACCAATCAATGTCAAGGACGCCGCCAATATCATTATCAGAGTTGTCTCTCTTTTTCGATTTAAAGCTTTCGCGATGACTGCAAGGATTCAGCTTCTTTGGTACTTTCGGTAAAGTCACCACCACGTAGAATGAGAATAAAATAATAAAATAACACAATAAAATTCTCACGACGTTTCGGCCACAATGCAAGTAGCCTTCTTCAGGTGAAGGAACAGAACTGTCGGGACGACAGAGCTTCAATGGCATCATCTGGTCCAACACCAGTGTGGAGACTATTTTTTTCGTATTTTGATACTATTTATCTGGTCCAACACCAGTGTGAGACTAAGGGCTCTAAGAAAAGCCGTCTCGGGTGTGGACCAATCAATGTCAAGGACGCCGCCAATATCATCATCAGAGTTGTCTCTCTTTTTCGATTTAAAGCTTTCGTGATGACTGCAAGGATTCATCTTCTTTGGTTCCGTCGGTAAAGTCACCACCACGTAGAATGAGAATAAAATAATAATAAATTGATAAAATAAAATATCACAATAAAATTCTCGCGACGTTTCGGCCACAACGCAAGCGGCCTTCATCAACGTCGTGAGAATTTAATTGCCTTATTTTATTTTATCAATTTATTATTTTATTCTCATTCTACGTGGTGACTTTACCGAAAGAGCTAAAAATATAAACTAAATTTTGATTTGAAGCTTCTGTGACTGCAGGAATTACTCTTTGATTCTTTCGGTAAAGTGATGTAGAAATGAAAAAAAAAATTATGTAAATAATGATTTAAAATAAATAATAAAGTATGCGGATTAATAATTGATTTCCTCTCTACGTTGACTTTACCGAAAGAAGCAAAGAGTAAACTAAACTCACCTATTATTATCATTATTACACTTCCATTTAACTCACTCTGTTGTTGTTGTCATTGTTGTTGTATCCTCAAATCTTGTAACTCAATTTTAATCCGCTTCCCAATGCGGTATCGAGTACAGACTTGGTATACTTATGTCACTGATGACAATACTACATTCTGTCATAAAATATGAACATATATTTTTAAACAATCTTTTTACACACTTTCATTTAACTCACTCTGTCTGTTGTTGTATCCTCAAATCTTGTAACTCAATATTAATCCGCTTCCCAATGTGATATCGACTACAGACTTGGTATACTGATGTCACGCTGATGACAATACTACATTATATCATAAAAAATACAAATATATATTTTTAAACAATCTTTTTACACACTTTCATTTAACTCACTCTGTCTATTGTTGATGTATCCTCAAATCTTGTAACTCAATATGAACCCACTTCCCAATGTGATATCGACTAGACTTGGTATACTGATGTCACACTGATGACAATACTACATTCTGTCATAAATAATACATGTTTAGTTTCGGCTTTTGGCTGTAAATCACCACGGTCCCTTACGTTGTGGCAAAGCTTCAGGGCCACTTCCTGGAGTTCTTACATTATTACTCGTACGGTACATTTCATTAAAGCGTGTTTTTTAAAAAAAAGTAGTTTTAAATATTACTTATTATTTTTACACGCTTTCATTTAACTCACTCTGTCTGTCGTTGTTGTATCCTCAAATCTTGTAACTCAATATTAACCCACTTCCCAATGTGGTATCGACTACAGACTTGGTATACTGATGTCATACTGATGACAATACTATATTATATCATAAAAAATAAATATATATTTTGAAACAATTTTTTTACACGCTTTCATTTAACTCACTCTGTTGTTGTTGTCATTGTTGTTGTATCCTCAAATCTTGTAACTCAATATTAACCCACTTCCCAATGTGGTATCGACTACAGACTTGGTATACTGATGTCACACTGATGACAATACTATATTATATCATAAAAAATATAAATATATATTTTTAAACAATCTTTTTTACATGTTATGTTTCGGATTTTGTGGCAAACTTCAGGGCCACTTCCTGGAGTCGTGCAGTTCTTACATTATTACTCGTACGGTACATTTCATTAAAGCGTGTAATTTTTAAAAAGTAGTTTTAGATATTACTTATTATTTTTACACGCTTTAATTTAACTCACTCTGTCTGTCGTTGTTGAATCCTCAAATCTTGCAACTCAATATTAACCCACTTCCCAATGTGGTATCGACTACAGACTTGGTATACTGATGTCACACTGATGACAATACTACATTCTATCATACAAAAATAAAAATAGATATTTTGAAACAACCTTTTTACATGCTTTCATTTAACTTACTGTCTGTTGTTGTATTATCAAATCTTGTAACTCAATTTTAACCACTTCCCAATGTGGTATCGACTACAGACTTGGTATACTGATGTCATACTGAGGACAATACTACATTCTGTCATACAAAAATAAATGTTATGTTTCGGCTTTTGGCTGTAAATCACCATGGTCCCTTACGTTGTGGCAAAGCTTCGGGGCCACTTCCTGGAGTTCTGACATTACTACTCGTACGGTACATTTCATTAAAGCGTGTGATTTTTAAAAGTAGTTTTAAATATTACTTACTATTTATACACGCTTTCATTGAACTCACTCTGTCTGTCGTCGTTGAATCCTCAAATCTTGTAACTAAATATTAACCTGCTTCCCAATGTGATATCGACTACAGACTTGGTATACTGATGTCTTACTGATGACAATACATTCTATCATACAAAAATATAAATATATATTTTGAAACAATCTTTTTACACGCTTTCATTTAACTCACTCTGTTGTTGTTGTATCCTCAAATCTTGTAACTCAATATTAACCCACTTCCCAATGTGGTATCGACTACAGACTTGGTATACTGATGTCTTACTGATGACAATACTATATTATATCATAAAAAAATAAAAATATATATTTTGAAACAATCTTTTTACACACTTTCATTTAACTCACTGTCTGTTGTTGATGTATTCTCAAATCTTGTGACTCAATATTAACTCGCTTCCCAATGTGATATCGACTGCAAAACTTGCTATACTTATGTCATACTGATGACAATACTACATTCTATCATACAAAAATATATATATTTTGAAACAATCTTTTTACACACTTTCATTTAACTCACTGTCTGTTGTTGTTGTATTCTCAAATCTTGTGACTTAATATTAACCCACTTCCCAATGTGATATCGACTACAGACTTGGTATACTGATGTCTTACTGATGACAATACTACATTCTATCATACAAAAATATAAATATATATTTTGAAACAATCTTTTTACACGCTTTCATTTAACTCACTGTCTGTTGTTGTATCCTCAAATCTTGCAACTCAATATTAACCCGCTTCCCAATGTGATATCGACTACAGACTTGGTATACTGATGTCTTACTGATGACAATACTATATTATATCATAAAAAATAAAAATATATTTTGAAACAATCTTTTTACATGCTTTCATTTAACTCACTGTCTGTTGGTGTATTCTCAAATCTTGCGACTCAATATTAACCCGCTTCCCAATGTGATATCGACTGCAAAACTTGCTATACTGATGCCATACTGATGACAATACTATATTATATCATGCAAAAATATATTTTGAAACATTATTTTTAACATGTTATGTTTCGGCTTTGGTCTAAATGTCCACGGTCCATCACGTTGTGGGAAGCTTCGGGGCCACTTCCTGGAGTCGTGGAGTTCTGACATTACTGGTACATTTCATAAAAGCGTGTTTTTTTTTTAAAAAAAAAAGTTTTTTTTTTTAATATTACTTATGTTAAAACAAAAATATTTAACCAGGTAATGTCCACTGAGCTGTAGGAGCTCGTTTTCACGCACAACGCGTGCACACACACAAGCGCCGCAGGCGTGCAGAGCATAGGGGGGGAAGGTTAACAAATCAATTTTTTAAAAAAAATTAAACACGAATAAAACTGAACTATAAATCTCTCGACTTGAAGCTTTCGTGACCGCGGCAATTCATCTTCGTTGGGTCTTTCTGTCAAACAGATCGGTTCAAAATGTTTACAAAATAAACAAAAGAGCTACGACGTTTCGATAGCAACCACGAGGTCTTTAACCGAAATAATAGCAAATTAAACGATAATTTTTTTTCTGACCAGGTAAGGGCCCAATGGAGCTATGAGCTTATTTTTTTCAAATGACATCTCAACGAAGTGGCTTGACCACGTGGAAATTTACGGAGAGCAAAAATAATCTAGACCCCACCCCCCCAACCACACGAAGATTAAAAAATATATATATATAATATCCCCCCTACGTAGCTTTAAGAGACATTTTGGGGCAAGTGCTGTTAGGGCAAAGGTGGCGAACCTTCTTTTTGCCAAGGGCCATTTGGATATTTATATAACATCGTTCGCGGGCCATACAAAATCATCGACTTAAAAATGAGCCCGTTATATTTGGACGAACATTTCATTAACTCGCCCCCTTGATGTGATGGCTGGAACAGGCCAAAAATGATTTCGCGGGCCTCGTACGGCCCGTGGCCCGGACGCTCCGCACCTACGCAGGCCAGAATGGCACATGAGGGGGGTGGGTGGGGTGGCCAGGACCACGCCCGGCCGCCTTTGTCTCACCCAGTGACGATGCTTCCAGATCACACCGGGAACTAATTTGAGGCCGAGTCGACCTAGGGGAGGCCCAGGACAATCGTCACCGGTGGTGTTGGTGATCGCGAGCGGGAATCGAACTCGGGCTGCCGGGTTCGTAGCGCAGCGCCTATGAAGGTCGGCACGGGCACCAACAACAACAACCGCCATTCGCCACCGAGTGGCGGTGACGTCACCACGGCGCCTGTGCCAGGCTAGGTGCACGTTGAGGCTACCACGTGAAGTGTCGAACTCCCGCCGGCAGGAGGTCACGGGGCAGACCCAGCAGGTGCCATGGGGTCGACTGACTGAGATGAGTGGCCGATGCACCACCTGTGCCCCCTACTGTGCCCCCTACTGTCCCAACTTGCTGTGTTTTAGCCTGTCAACACGCACACACCAACGCACGCACACCAACACACACACACCAACACACGCACGCCAACACACGCACGCCAACACACACACACCAACTCACGCACGCCAACACACACACACCAACTCACGCACGCCAACTCACGCACACCAACACACAAACACCAACACACACACACCAACACACGTACGCACACCAACACACACACACCAACACACGTACGCACACCAACACACGCACACCAACACACGCACACCAACACACGCACACCAACACACGCACACCAACACACACACACCAACACGCACACACCCACCAACGCACGCACACCAACACACACGCACACCAACACACACGCACACCAACGCACGCACACCAACACACAACACACACCAACACACACCAACACACGCACACCAACACACGCACACCAACACACACACACCAACACACACACACCAACACACACACACCAACACACGCACACACACCAACACACACACACCAACACACGCACACACACCAACACACACACACCAACACACGCACACACACCAACACACACACACCAACACACGCACACACACCAACACACACACACCAACACACGCACACCAACACATGCACACACACCAACACACGCACACACACCAACACACGCACACACACCAACACACGCACGCACACCAACACACGCACACCAACACACGCACACCAACACACACCAACACACACACACACACCAACACACACACACCAACACACGCACACCAACACACGCACGCCAACACATGCACGCCAACACACGCACACCAACACACACACGCACACCAACACACACACACCGACACACGCACACCAACTCACGCACACCAACACACGCACACACACCAACACACGCCAACACACACACACCAACACACACACCAACACACGCACACACACCAACACACACACCAACACACGCACACCAACTCACACACACCAACACACACACACCAACACACACACACACCAACACACACACCAACACATGCACACCAACACACACACACCAACACACCAACACACACGCACACCAACACACACACACACCAACACACACACGCACGCACACCAACACACACACGCACACCAACACACACACCAACACACACACACACCAACACACACACACCAACACACACACCAACACACACACCAACACACCAACACACACACCAACACACACACACACACCAACACACACACACCAACACACACACACCAACACACACACGCACGCACACCAACACACACACCAACACACACACACCAACACACACCAACACACGCACACCAACTCACGCACACCAACACACGCACACCAACACACACACACACCAACACACACACACCAACACACACACACACACCACCACACACACACCAACACACACACACACACCAACACACACACACCAACACACACACACACACCAACACACACACGCACACCAACACACACACAACAACACACACACACACCAACACACACACACCAACACACGCACACCAACACACACACACCCCAACACACGCACACCAACACACACGCACACCAACACACACACCAACACACACACACCAACACACACACCAACACACACACAAGAACACACACCCACACCAACACACACACACCAACACACACACACCAACACACACACACCAACACACGCACGCCAACACACACACACCAACACACACACACCAACACACACACACCAACACACACACACCAACACACACACACACACCAACACACACACACACCAACACACACACCAACATACACACACCAACACACACCAACACACACACACCAACACGCACACACACACGCACACCAACACACACACGCACACCAACACACACACCAACACACACACAACAACACACACGCACACCAACACACACACACCAACACACACACACACCAACACACACACACCAACACACCAACACACGCACACCAACACACGCACGCCAACACACACACACCAACACACACACCAACACACACACACACACCAACACACACACACACACACTAACACACACACACCAACACACGCACACCAACACACACCAACACACCCACACCAACACACCAACACACGCACACCAACACACACACACCAACACACACACACACACCAACACACACACACCAACACACACACACACACACCAACACACACACACACCAACACACACACACCAACACACACACGCACGCCAACTCACACACGCCAACACACGCACACCAACACACACACACCAACTCACCAACACACACACACCAACACACACACCAACACACACACACACCAACACACACACACCAACACACGCACACCAACACACACACACCAACACACGCACACCAACACACACCAACACACACACCAACACGCACACACACACGCACACCAACACACACACGCACACCAACACACACACACACCAACACACACCAACACACACACCCCAACACACACACAACACACACGCACACCAACACACACACACCAACACACACACCAACACACACACACCAACACACACACACCAACACACGCACGCCAACACACACACACCAACACACACACCAACACACACACACACCAACACACACACACACACCAACACCAACACACACACCAACACCAACACACACACCAACACACGCACACCAACACACGCACACCAACACACACCAACACACACCAACACACAAAGATAAAGACAAAGATCCCCCATATAGCCTTAACAGACTGTAGGGGCAAGTGCTGTTAGCGAGCACCTATGAAGGCCGGAACGGTACACGAGGGGGTGGGTGGCCAGCACCACGCCCGACCGCCTTTGTCTCCCCAGTGGCAATGTTTACACACCGCACCAGGTACTCATTTGAGGCTGAGTCGACCTAGGGGAGGCCCGGGACCGAGTTAAGATAATCGTCACTGGTGTTGGCCGTGAGCGGGAATCGAACCCGGGTCGCCAGGTTCATAGCGCAGCGCGCTAACCGCTACACTATCGCTCCCCACACACCAACACACACACACCAACACACACACACACCAACACACACACACACACACCAACACACACACACACACCAACACACACACACACCAACACACACACACCAACACACACACGCACGCCAACTCACACACACCAACACACGCACACCAACACACACACACCAACACACACACGCACACCAACTCACCAACACACACACACCAACACACACACACCAACACACACACACCAACTCACACACACACACTAACACACCAACACACACACACCAACACACACACCAACACACACACACCAACACACACACACCAACACACACACACACACACCAACACACACACCAACACAAACACACCAACACACACACACGCACACCAACACACACACACCAACACACACACACACCAACACACACACACCAACACACACCAACACACACGCACGCCAACTCACACACACCAACACACGCACACCAACACACACACACCAACACACGCACACACACCAACTCACCAACACACACACACCAACACACACACACCAACACACACACACCAACACACGCACACACACCAACTCACCAACACACACACACCAACACACACACACCAACACACGCACACACACCAACTCACCAACACACACACACCAACACACACACACCAACACACGCACACACACCAACTCACCAACACACACACACCAACACACACACACCAACACACACACACACCAACACACCAACACACGCACGCCAACTCACACACACCAACACACACACACACCAACACACACACACCAATACACACACACACACACCAACACACCAACTCACGCGTAGGCGGCCGAGATGCTCTCTGCGGGGAACGGCTCCCGCTTGGCCCTCAGCAGCGAGGCGACCAACTCATCGAGGTCATAGCTCTTGCAGCGGATGAGCTCACGGGCTGACGTCTTCACGTCACACACCACGCGCCCGCACGTCGCCAGACGCTCCACCACGCGCCGGCCCTGCCACGCCACGCCGGACACGGTCACAGGCATAGACACCACCAACACCGTCACACACAGACACCACCAACACCGTCACACACAGACACCACCCGCACCGTCACACACAGACACAGACACCACCCACACCGTCACACACAGACACCACCCGCACCGTCACACACAGACACCACCCGCACCGTCACACACAGACACCACCCACACCGTCACACACAGACACCACCCGCACCGTCACACACAGACACCACCCACACCGTCACACACAGACACAGACACCACCCACACCGTCACACACAGACACCACCCGCACCGTCACACACAGACACCACCAACACCGTCACACACAGACACCACCCGCACCGTCACACACAGACACAGACACCACCAACACCGTCACACACAGACACCACCCGCACCGTCACACACAGACACCACCAACACCGTCACACACAGACACAGACACCACCAACACTGTCACACACAGACACCACCCGCACCGTCACACACAGACACCACCAACACCGTCACACACAGACACAGACACCACCAACACTGTCACACACAGACACCACCCACACCGACACACACAGACACCACCCGCACCGTCACAGACACAGACACGACCCGCACCGTCATACACAGACACCACCCACACCGTCACACACAGACACCACCAACACCGTCACACACAGACACCACCCGCACCGTCACACACAGACACCACCCACACCGTCACACACAGACACCACCAACACCGTCACACACAGACACCACCAACACCGTCACACACAGACACCACCCACACCGTCACACACAGACACCACCCACACCGACACACACAGACACCACCCACACCGTCACAGACACCACCCACACAGACACAGACACCACCCACACCGTCACACACAGACACCACCCACACCGTCACACACAGACACCACCCGCACCGTCACACACAGACACCACCCGCACCGTCACACACAGACACGACCCACACCGACACAGACACCACCCGCACCGTCACACACAGACACCACCCGCACCGTCACACACAGACACGACCCACACCGACACAGACACCACCCGCACCATCACACACAGACACCACCCACACCGTCACACACAGACACCACCAACACCGTCACACACAGACACCACCCGCACCGTCACACACAGACACCACCAACACCGTCACACACAGACACAGACACCACCCACACCGTCACACACAGACACCACCAACACCGTCACACACAGACACCACCCGCACCGTCACACACAGACACCACCAACACCGTCACACACAGACACCACCCACACCGTCACACACAGACACCACCCACACCGTCACACACAGACACCACCCACACCGTCACACACAGACACCACCCGCACCAACACAGACACAGACACCACCAACACCGTCACACACAGACACAGACACCACCCACACCGTCACACACAGACACCACCCACACAGACACAGACACCACCCACACAGACACACACAGACACCACCCACACCGTCACACACAGACACCACCCACACCGTCACACACAGACACGACCCGCACCAACACAGACACAGACACCACCCGCACCGACACACACAGACACCACCCACACCGTCACACACAGACACCACCCACACCAACACACACAGACACCACCCACACCGTCACAGACACCACCCACACCGACACAGACACCACCCACACCGTCACACACAGACACCACCCACACCGTCACACACAGACACCACCCACACCGTCACACACAGACACCACCCACACCGTCACACACAGACACGACCCGCACCAACACAGACACAGACACCACCCGCACCGACACACACAGACACCACCCACACCGTCACACACAGACACCACCCACACCGACACACACAGACACCACCCACACCGACACCACCCACACCGACACAGACACCACCCACACTGACAGACACCACCCACCCCGTCACAGGCACCACCCACACCGACACACACAGACACCACCCCCACCGTCACAGACACCACCCACACCGTCACAGACACCACCCACACCGTCACAGACACCACCCCCACAGTCACAGACACCACCTACACCAACACAGACACCACCCACACCGTCACACACAGACACCACCCACACCGTCACACACAGACACCACCCACACCAACACAGACACCACCCACACCGTCACAGACACCACTCACACCGTCACACACAGACACCACCCGCACCGTCACACACAGACACCACCCGCACCAACACAGACACCACCCACACCGACACAGACAGACACCACTCACACCAACACAGACACCACCCACACCGTCACAGACACCACCCACACCGTCACAGACACCACCCACACCGACACAGACACCACCCACACCGTCACCACCCCCACCGTCACAGACACCACCCCCACCGTCACAGACACCACCCACACAGACACCACCCCCACCGTCAGAGAGAGAGAACGACTCAGAGAGAGAGAGGGGACGACTCAGAGAGAGGACGACTCAGAGAGAGAGAGGGCGACTCAGAGAGAGGACGACTCAGAGAGAGAGGACGACTCCGAGAGGGAGAGGACGACTCAGAGAGAGAGAGCGAGAGAGAGAGGACAACTCAGAGAAAGAGGACGACTCCGAGAGGGAGAGAGGACGACTCCGAGAGGGAGAGGACGACTCCGAGAGGGAGAGAGGACGACTCAGAGAGAGAGAGGACGACTCCGAGAGGGAGAGAGGACGACTCAGAGAGAGAGAGGACGACTCCGAGAGGGAGAGAGGACGACTCAGAGAGAGAGAGGACGACTCCGAGAGGGAGAGAGGACGACTCAGAGAGAGAGAAGACGACTTAGAGAGGGAGAGAGGACGACTCAGAGAGAGACAGAGGGCTACTCAGAGAGAGAGGACGACTCAGAGAGAGGACGACTCCGAGAGAGAGAGAGAGGACGACTAAGAGAGACAGAGGGCTACTCAGAGAGAGAGGACAACTCAGACAGAGAGGACGACTCAGAGAGAGAGAGAGAGAGAACGACTCAGAGAGAGAGAACGAGAGAGAGAGGACGACTCAGAGCGAGAGAGAGAGAGAGGACGACTCAGAGAGAGAGAGGACGACTCAGAGAGAGAGAGAGCGAGAGAGGACGACTCAGAGAGAGAGAGGACGACTCAGAGAGAGAGAGCGAGAGAGGACGACTCAGAGAGAGAGAGAGCGAGAGCGGACGACTGAGAGGAGACGGGCGACTTCGCTCGCCCCCCCGGCACGTTCCCGTGGCACGTCCGCCCCGCTCTCACCCCGAGGCGAGGCATGGCAGAGCGACGCAGGCGACTGAGCTTGCTCCAGTGGGGGGCCTTGCACGCCGAGATCCTCTGCAGCAGCACCTCCAGGTCGAAGCCGACGATGTCGTGGCCCTGCGCACGTGCACCGCAGGAGTCGGAGGCACGTGTCAGGGCGGTAAGGGGGGGACTAGCGGTCGCGGGGGGGTAATGAAGGGGGAATCAGCAGGGGAAGGGACTAAGGGGGTCACAGGGCGTAGCGACAGGTTACTTGACATCGTGGGCACGGGGGGTAATGAAGGGGGAATCAGCAGGGGAAGGGACTAGGGGTCACAGGGGGTAGCGACAGGTTACTTGACATCGTGGGCACGGGAGGTAATGATAGAGGTAATGATAGAGGTAATGATGGGGGAATCAGCAGGGGAAGGGACTAGTGGTCACAGGGAGTAGCGACAGGTTACTTGACATAGTGGGCACGGGAGGTAATGATAGAGGTAATGATAGAGGTAATGATGGGGGAATTAGCATGGGAAGGGACTAGTGGTCACAGGGCGTAGCGACAGGTTACTTGACATCGTGGGCACGGGAGGTAATGATAGAGGTAATGATAGGGGGAATCAGCAGGGGAAGGGACTAGGGGTCACAGGGCGTAGCGACAGGTTACTTGACATAGTGGGCACGGGAGGTAATGATAGAGGTAATGATGGGGGAATCAGCATGGGAAGGGACTAGGGGTCACAGGGCGTAGCGACAGGTTAAGGGACAGACAGGGGAACGATCTGGGGGGGTCTACGAGAAGGATCAAGAACAGGGGCTGTGGCCAAGCGACAGAAGAGAGCAGGCGTGGACCCCTCCCCTCACCCCTCTCTCTCTCAATATATAATACCTCATCACAGAGGCGTTGTTTCTCTGTGTGTCTCTGTGTGTCTCTCTTTCTGTGTCTCTCTCTCTGTGTCTCTCTCTGTGTGTCTCTCTCTCTCTGCGTGTCTCTCTCTTTGTGTCTCTCTCTCTGTGTGTCTCTCTCTGTGTGTCTCTCTCTTTGTCTCTCTCTCTCTCTCTGTGTCTCTCTCTCTGTGTCTCTCTCTCTGTGTGTCTCTCTCTCTCTGTGTCTCTCTCTCTCTCTGTGTCTCTCTCTCTGTGTGTCTCTCTCTCCGTGTCTGTGTGTCTCTCTCTGTGTTTGTCTCTCTCTGTGTATGTGTCTCTCTCTCCGTGTCTGTGTCTCTCTCTCTGTGTGTCTCTCTCTCCGTGTCTGTGTGTCTCTCTCTGTGTTTGTCTCTCTCTGTGTATGTGTCTCTCTCTCCGTGTCTGTGTCTCTCTCTCTGTGTGTCTCTCTCTCCGTGTCTGTGTGTCTCTCTCTGTGTTTGTCTCTCTCTGTGTATGTGTCTCTCTCCGTGTCTGTGTCTCTCTCTGTGTATGTGTCTCTCTCTCTCTCTCTCTGTGTCTCTCTCTCTCTGTCTCTCTCTGTGTGTGTCTCTCTCTTTCTGTGTCTCTCTCTCCGTGTCTGTGTGTCTCTCTCTGTGTATGTGTCTCTCTCTCCGTGTCTGTGTCTCTCTCTGTGTATGTGTCTCTCTCTCTCTGTATGTCTCTCTCTCTCTTTGTGTCTCTCCGTGTCTGTGTGTCTCTCTCTGTGTATGTGTCTCTCTCTCTCTGTATGTCTCTCTGTGTGTGTCTCTCTCTCTGTGTATGTGTCTCTCTGTGTATATCTCTCTCTCTCTGTGTATGTGTCTCTCTGTGTGTGTCTCTCTCTCTCCGTGTCTGTGTGTCTCTCTCTCTGTGTATGTGTCTCTCTCTGTGTATGTCTCTCTCTGTGTATGTGTCTCTCTCTCTGTATGTCTCTCTATCTCTTTGTCTCTCTCTCTCTCTGTGTCTCTCTCTCCGTGTCTGTGTGTCTCTCTGTGTATGTGTCTCTCTCTCTCCGTGTCTGTGTGTCTCTCTCTGTGTATGTGTCTCTCTCTCTGTGTATGTGTCTCTCTCCGTGTCTGTGTGTCTCTCTCCGTATGTGTCTCTCTGTGTCTGTGTCTCTCTCTGTGTATGTGTCTCTCTCTCCGTGTCTGTGTGTCTCTCTCTCCGTGTCTGTGTGTCTCTCTCTCCGTGTCTGTGTGTCTCTCTCTGTGTATGTGTCTCTCTCTGTGTCTCTCTCTCTCTCTGTGTATGTGTCTCTGTGTGTGTGTCTCTCTCTCCGTGTCTGTGTCTCTCTCTCTCCGTGTCTGTGTGTCTCTCTCTGTGTATGTGTCTCTCCGTGTCTGTGTCTCTCTCTCCTTGTCTGTGTGTCTCTCTCTGTGTATGTCTCTCTCTCTCCGTGTCTGTGTGTCTCTCTCTGTGTCTGTGTGTATCTCCGTGTCTGTGTGTCTCTCTCTGTGTATGTGTCTCTCTCTCTCTGTGTCTCTCCGTGTCTGTGTGTCTCTCTCTGTGTATGTGTCTCTCTCTGTGTATGTGTCTCTCTCTGTGTATGTCTCTCTCTCTGTGTATGTCTCTCTCTCTCTCTGTGTATGTGTGTCTCTCTCTGTGTGTGTGTCTCTCTCCGTGTATGTGTCTCTCTCTGTGTATGTATCTCTCTCTCTGTGTATGTGTCTCTCTGTGTATGTGTCTCTCTCTCTCTGTGTATGTGTCTCTCTCTGTGTATGTCTCTCTGTGTGTGTGTCTTTCCCCGTGTCTGTGTGTCTCTCTCTCTGTGTATGTCTCACTCTGTGTATGTGTCTCTCTCTCTCTCTGTATGTGTATCTCTCCGTGTCTGTCTCTCTCTCTCTCTGTGTATGTCTCTCTCTCTGTGTATGTGTCTCTCTCCGTGTCTGTGTGTCTCTCTCTCTGTGTATGTGTCTCACTCTGTGTATGTGTCTCTCTCTCTGTGTATGTGTCTCTCTGTGTGTATGTGTCTCTCTCTCTCTCTGTGTATGTGTCTCTCTGTGTGTATGTGTCTCTCTCTCCGTGTCTGTGCGTCTCTCTCTCCGTGTCTGTGTGTCTCTCTCTCCGTGTCTGTGTGTCTCTCTCTGTGTATGTGTCTCTCTCTCTGTGTATGTGTCTCTCTCTCTGTGTATGTGTCTCTCTCTCTGTGTCTGTGTCTCTCTCTCTGTGTATGTGTCTCTCTGTGTGTGTCTCTCTCTCCGTGTCTGTGTCTCTCTCTCTGTGTATGTGTCTCTCTCTCTCTGTGTATGTGTCTCTCTCTCTGTGTCTCTCTCCGTGTCTGTGTCTCTCTCTGTGTATGTGTCTCTCTCTCTGTGTATGTGTCTCTCTCTGTGTATGTGTCTCTCTGTGTCTCTCTCCGTGTCTGTGTGTGTCTCTCTCTCCGTGTCTGTGTGTCTCTCTCTGTGTATGTGTGTCTCTCTCTGTGTATGTGTCTCTCTCTCTGTGTATGTGTCTCTCTCTCTCTCTGTGTATGTGTCTCTCTCTCTGTGTATGTGTCTCTCTGTGTTTGTCTCTCTCCGAGCTTGCATTCACACCTGATGACGGTTGCTGGTGTTGCAATCGAAACGTCGCGTCATATTATTCATTTCATTTCTAACGTGACTTTACCGAAAGAACCAGAGAGTAATTCTCGAAAGCTTCAAGGCAAGCTCGAGTGCCAAGGGTCGGATGAGTGGTCCGAGTGGACGGGGTGGAGGGTTGACAGGGGGACGGGGGGTGGAGGGTTGACGGGGAGATGGGCGAGTCTCTCACCACGAGGACGTCCGGGTCCGTCACGTGGATCTTCGCGAGCAGGAAGCCGAGGAGTGCTCGCTCTGTGACGAAGACCTCCATCTTCATCGACTGCGCAGACGCGGACACACCGTGAGCACACGCAGCACAACAACAACAACAACAACAACCGCCATTCGCCACTAAGTGGCGTTACGACGTCACCACGGCGCCTGTGCCAGGCTAGGTGCACTTCGAGGCCACGTGAAGTGTCGAACCCCCGCTGGCAGGAGGTCACGGGACAGACCCAGCAGGTGCCATGGGTTGGCAGACCGAGATGACCGGCAGATGCACCGCCACCTGTTACCCCCTACTGTGCCAACTAGACCGAGATGACCGGTAGATGCACCACCACCTGTTACCCCATACTGCGCCAACTCGATCCATTTTAGCCGCCCGGCAGCCCCGCTCGTTGTTGCGAGCGTCGCTCCTCCGCCCTCCGTTGTTGCTGGAGGGCGACTGCCTCCAACAACTGCCCAGTAGCAGCGTCCTTCACGAGCCTCCTCCTCCACAGAGGACGATCTTGACACCGCTGGTACCGGTCATCGGCAAGTCCACTCAGCTCTACGTCCTACTGTAACCCCATCAGCTCCATCTCTTCGGCCAACGATCTCTGACACAAACGCAGCCTCTCACTCTATCGCAGCGCTGCCCCTGGTTCACCTCCGTGTCACACAGCACGGGGGCAGCAATTTACCCCAACCTGCTCCTTAAAGACGCCACCGGTCATTTCTTAAGGACGCCACCGGTCATTTCTTAAGGACACCACCCGTTTCTTCAAGACGCCACCAGTCATTTCTTCAAGACGCCACCGGTCATTTCTTAAAGACGCCACCGGTCATTTCTTAAGGACGACACCGGTCATTTCTTAAGGACGACACCAGTCATTTCTTAAGGCGCCACCCGTTTCTTCAAGACGCCATCAGTAATTTCTTAAGGACACCACCCGTTTCTTCAAGACGCCACCAGTCATTTCTTAAAGATGACACCGGTCATTTCTTGAGGACACCACCCCTCATTTCTTAAGGACGCCACCCGTTTCTTCAAGACGCCACCAGTCATTTCTTAAATACACCAACAGTCATTTCTTAAGGACGCCACCCGTTTCAAGACGCCACCAGTCATTTCTTAAACACGACACCGGTCATTTCTTAAGGACACCACCCCTCATTTCTTAAGGACGCCACCCGTTTCTTCAAGACGCCACCGGTCATTTCTTAAGGACGCCACCGGTCATTTCTTAAGGACGCCACCGTTCATTTCTTAAAGACACCAGTTATTTCTTAAGGACGCCACCCGTTTCTTCAAGACGCCACCAGTTATTTCTTAAAGACACCATATCTCATTTCTTAAGGACGCCACCGGTCATTTCTTAAGGACGCCGCCCACCCGCTCACCTGTTTCTTGAGCACGTCCTGCAGGTTGAAGGGGAAGATGCAGTCCCCGGGTTTGCAAATTGCTGCGGGAGACGAGACACGAGGCAAAGAAAGGAGGCCGAGATTTTCAATGGGCACGGGGTGACCAATACGTTCTGAGTTGGTCTGAAAATAAGGTAGGGCGCTGATAAAGAGGTTGATAGGTATGGTATAGAAGTGTAGTGCATAGTAGTGTAGCGTATATCGTAAAGTGTGTAGTGCAGTGTATAGTGACTTTGTAGGGTGAACGTTGCGATTTGCTAGGTGCAGGAGTTCACAGGACAGACCCAGCAGGTGGCATGGATTGACTGAGATAACTGGCCGATGCGCCACCTGTTATCCCTACTGTGCCAGGCTAGGTGCAGGAGATCACGGGACAGACCCAGCAGGTGCCACGGGTTGGCTGACTGAGATGACTGGCAGATGCATCACCTGTTCCCCTACTGTGCCAGGCTAGGTGCAGGAGATCACGGGACAGACCCAGCAGGTGCCATGGATTGACTGAGATGACTGGCAGATGCACCACCTGTTCCCCTACTGTGCCAGGCTAGGTGCAGGAGATCACGGGACAGACTCAGCAGGTGCCATGGATTGACTGAGATGACTGGCAGATGCACCACCTGTTCCCCTACTGTGCCAGGCTAGGTGCAGGAGATCACGGGACAGACTCAGCAGGTGCCATGGATTGACTGAGATGACTGGCAGATGCACCACCTGTTCCCCTACTGTGCCAGGCTAGGTGCAGGAGGTCACGGGACCGACCCAGCAGGTGCCATGGGTTGGCTGACTGAGCTGAGTGGCAGATGCACCACCTGTTCCCCTACTGTGCCAGGCTAGGTGCAGGAGATTACGGGACAGACCCAGGTGCCTGTATATCTCGGTTGACACAGACACACACACCGACAAAGATCCCCCGTATAGCCTTGACAGACTGTAGGGGCAAGTGCTGTTAGCGAGCACCTATGAAGGCCGGAACGGCACACGATGGGGTGGGTGGCCAGCACCACGCCCGACCGCCTTTGTCTCCCCAGTGGCGATGTTTACACACCGCACCAGGTACTCATTTGAGGCTGAGTCGACCTAGAGGAGGCCCAGGACCAGTTCAGATAATCGTCACTGATGTTGGCCGTGAGTGGGAATCGAACGCGGATCGCCGGGTTCATAGCGCAGCGTAGCGCTAACCGCTACACTACCGCTCCCCACAAACAGACACACACACGGACACACAACAACCGCCATTCGTCACTAAGTGGCGGTGACGTCACCACGACGCTTGTGCCAGGCCATGTGCACCTTGAGGCCAAGTGAAGTGTCGAACGCCCGCTGGCAGGAGGTCACGGGGCAGACCCAGGTGCCACGGGTCGACTGACTGAGATGACTGGCTGATGCACCACCTGTGCCCCCTACTGTGCCAACCTGCTGTGCTTTAGCCACCCGGCGCTCCGCTCGTTGTTGTGAGCGTCGCTCCTCCGCCCTCCGTTGTTGTTGGAGGGCGACTGCCTCCAACTGCCCAGTAGCGTCCAACACGAGCCTCCTCCACAGAGGCCGATCTTGACACCGCTGGTACCAGTCATCGGCAAGTCCACTCAGCTCCACGTCTTCCCGTACCACATCACTCCATCTCTTCTCTAGCCCGTGCCGCGCCCATTTAGCCCCCTCGATCCGGCCGAACAAAAGCTGCTTAGGCATGCGGTGGGTGGGCATGCGGGCTACATGACCCAGCCAACGCAGCCTTGCCTGCCGGAGGAGCTCACCGATGGGACCTTGCCCAGATCTTTCAAGGATTTTTGAGCTCCTCACACAATCCAGCCTGGTTAAACCCAGGATGGATCATAGGCAGGCTAGCCTAAATGTTTCTAACCGACGATGATGTTCCATTAGGGGGGTCAACGTTTCGAAAGCGTAGAGAAGGGAGGGAATGACCGTGGCTGAGAAGACCTGAAGCTTAGTGCGGAGCGACAGACCAGGTAGCTTCCACACAGCGTTACGCAACCGATGAAAATATATTGCCGCTCGACTGATTCGGAGTGAGACCTCTGCTGTTAAACTTGAGCCGGTCATAAGCACACTGCCCAGGTATGGGAAACTCTCCACTCTCTCCACAAATGCCCCATCACCGATTGGGAGTTGTGGGGGTGGAGTGTCCGATGGTACAAAATACCCAGGCAGGTGCTTAGTTTTGGTGGGGCTGATGGTAAGGCCCCACCTCTTAGTGGCACGCTCCAGTCTCAGCAGCAGCGTCTCCAACTCCTCCTCTGACTGAGCAGCTATTACCAAATCATCAGCATACATAACGTGGTTGAGCAATAGGGAGCCATCCCTTGACCGCACCCGGGCATCGATCAGCCTCCCATTATATCTGTACCATATGGAGATTCCCCCGGTACAGCTATTGAAGGCTTCACGAACTACGTGGTCAAAATAGATGTTAAATAATGTGGGAGCCAGAGGACATCCCTGTCACACCCCAAGGTGTACAGGGAATGGCTCTCACTCCCGGCCACGTAGTTTTACCCGGGCCTGCTCACCATCATGAAGGTCCTTAATGATCGTGAGCAGAGGGTCAGGTACTCCAAAAGCACGAAGAACAACCCAGAGCCCAGGCTTATTGATGGTATCATAGGCCTTGACCAGGTCAATAAAGCAGAGATGTAGGTCTTGTTGGAATTCCCTACACCTCTGCTGTAGCAGACGGATAGAAAATATGGCATCTGTGCAGGACCGCCCTTTCCTGAAACCGCATTGGGGCTCCGCAAGCCTCTCCTCAGCGTGCCTGGATGGGTGCGAGGGGCTGGTAGCCCCTCCACCTTCAATTAATTACCCCTAAACCACGAGTTAAACTCACAAACTACGGACACACACACACGTACACACACACACACCTACACACACACATTGACACACACACACACACACAGGCACATACCGGAGAAGTATGACTGGAAGGGTGGTCTGGGAGGAGCTTTGTCAACTGGGAAGGCCTGGTGAACGAGCACTCCGACTGACATCACCTGCCGACACACGCACCAAGATCACCCGCGTCGCCTCAACAGACTGTTGGGGCAAGTGCTGCTCGCGAGAAGCAGCTCATCTGAAGGCGGGCGGGCATGGCTCACGGCCTTCGAGCGCCGATGTTTTATGCAGAGAGCACCGGGTACTGGTTGAATGCCGAGTCGACCTAGGGGAGGCCCAGCACCGGTTCAGATAGTCGTCACTGAACCGGGAGGGAGGGACGATGATCATGATAGGCCTAGTCAACCCCCCCTCTAGCCAGGGCTTGAACCCGCGGACCTTCCCGAATGCGAGCCGAATGCTTCTGCCGTAAAGCCACCGCGGCCAGATAAAATTAACGCCCAGCAAACCGGATCATTACATGCTTTTGTTAGAAGTCACTGTCTGTTGTATGCACAAATCTTGTGACTCAATTTTAACCCGCTTTTCCAATGCGGTATCGACTACAGACTTGGTATACTGATGTCAAACTGATGACAATACTATATTCTATCATAAAAAATAAAAATTGTAAACAATCTTTTTACACGCTTTCATTTAACTCACTGTCTGTTGTTGTTGTTGTATCCTCAAATCTTGTAACTCAATATGAACCCGCTTCCCAATGTGGTATCGACTGCAAACTTGGTATACTGATGTCAAACTGATGACAACGCTATATTATATCATAAAAAATATAAAACAAATATTTAAAAAAAAAAAATTTTTTACATGTTATGTTTGGGCTTTGGTCTAATTGTCCACGGCCAACTGACGTTGGCTGTAATTTTCCACGGTCCCCTTACGTTGTGGCAAGCTGAGTCGTGGAGTTCTGCCATTACTAGTACGGTACATTTCATAAAAGCGTGTTTAAAAAAAATATAATAATTTTAAATATTACTTGTTTTTCATTATTACCGCTCGCGGGTTAAGTTTAGTTCGTCAACGATTTTTGAGCCAGTCTGGCCACGATTGGGCAAAACTTCGTCCACATTGTCACCCAGACAACTGGAGGACAGCACGGATGAACTATAAGTGTTTCGAACCTAACCATTAAAACAAGAACACGCTGAAAAATCGCGGTTGCAAAGAGGCGAACAAAGCATACGCCACTGAAAAAGAAAATAAGCTTTAGCCTTTCTGCCAACAGCACAAGAAGGTGTTAAGATGTTCCAACCACCAAACGGACACACCTATTGCAAGGCATCAAAGTCTGCATTAACCACACATGACTGTGGCAAATCATGCAAACAAATGTGCTTTGATGATGTATGTACTGCATGTGTATGTTGAACGTCTCTGTGTGATTCATAATAAAGGCTTTTGGGTGAGATCGCCTTATTTATAAATGTGTCGCAACCCTCCACCACCCGACACGGCCAATCAGTAAAAAAAAGTGTCACGTTGAAGAGTGAATCCACGACATTTACAATTTTTGAGTACGACGTTTCGCTGGCAAAACACATTCTCCTGCGGGAGGGAGCTGGCTGGAACGTCCGGTTGCTCGGTCAATGGCCAGGGTCAACAACGGGCGGCACCACCACGTGGTGTGTTCCGCAACAATATGCCCGACTGTGAGGGCGGGCACAAGCCGGCGTGAGTAGGTGAAACGTTGAGTTTTATAAGGGCACCACGGGGTGACCAGCCCCTCCCCTCCCCACCCAGCCCCTCCCTCTCTCCCCACCCAGCCCCTCCCCACCCATTGTTCGATGGACGCACGACGGACGGACACGACAACAATCCCCCTGTGGGCTGGTGTATAACCAGGAGGTTCCTACACGGTATTACATCCAGCAACATCGGGCGATTTGCCAGAATGGTGAAGGCCTCCCACTTGCTCCCGGTCTTAAATAGATCAGCAGCAGCAGCAGCAGGGTGACGTCATCATTTAACCCAATCTGATGCAGTGATTTGATGAGGCGGAGGGGTGCCGGGGTATTGTAATTATAGTTTAGCGATCAGTCCATTGTTATAATTAATAATGAGTTGTAGATTAGTAATTAGTTGTAATGTGTATTATTTAACTGCACCCAATTATTATAACCACTCAAGTGCAGAAATTAAAGGTGACTTCAGTGGAAGGTGACACTTTGAGAGGCGTTTGGGACGAATTCAACTATCGTCTCGATATTCTTGATTCTTTCGGTAAAGTCACATAGAAGGGAAACAATAAAATAATAAAAATATAAAACAATAAAATTCTCACGACGTTTCGACTGCAACACAAGCAATCATCATCAGATGATTGATCAGATGATTGATCAGATGATTGATGATTGCTTGTGTTTCAGTCGAAACGTCGTGAGAATTTTATTGTTTTATATTTGTATTATTTTATTGCTTTCCCTTCTACGCGGTGGTGACTTTACCGAAAGAACCAAGAATATGAATCCCTGCAGTCACGAAAGCTTTAAATCAAAACCTATCGTCTCGATGTTGTCCGTACAGCGGGTGAAGGGCACGTAGAGAATTTATAAAATGGTGAGTAAAACTTGATAACTCATTAAACCGTTTGTGACTTTTTGTGTAATTGTAACGTGTTGCCGACGTGAAATATACCGCTTTGAAATTGGGTCCATGATTTTGAAACACCCTGTACGATGCATTGTCTTTGAAAACTGATTGGCCAACGCCAGGGCCAGCAACGGCGTTCTTTAGAGCCTCGTCTCACTACCAGTGCCAGTAGATCAGTACAATATCGTATCACTTATTGTATGCATTGTCATTAATAAGAATGTAACTATAGTGTTATACGCGATGGCATTCGTCTTTGAAAACTGATTGGCCAACACCGGAGCCAGCAGCGGCGTTCTTTAGAGCCTGGTCTCACTACCAGTGTCAGTAGACCAGTACAATATCGTATTACTTATGTATGCATTGTCACTAATAAAAATGTAACTATAGTGTTATACACGATGGCATTCGTCTTTGAAAACTGATTGGCCAACACCGGAGCCAGTAGCGGCCTTCTGTAGAGCCTGGTCAGTAGACCAGTACAATATCGTATTACTTACGTATGCATTGTCACTAATAAAAATGTAACTACAGTGTTATACACGATGGCATTCGTCTTTGAAAACTGATTAGCCAACACCAGAGCCAGTAGCGGCCTTCTGTAAAGCCTGGTCAGTAGACCAGTACAATATCGTATTACTTATGTATGCATTGTCATTAATAAAAATGTAACTACAGTGTTATACACGATGGCATTCGTCTTTGAAAACTGATTGGCCAACGCCGGGGCCAGCAACGGCGTTCTTTAGAGCCTCGTCTCACTACCAGTGTCAGTAGACCAGTACAATATCGTATCACTTATTGTAAGCATTGTCATTAATAAGAATGTAACTATAGTGTTATACGCGATGGCATTCGTCTTTGAAAACTGATTGGCCAACACCGGAGCGAGCAGCAGCCTTCTGTAGAGCCTGGTCAGTAGACCAGTACAATATCGTATTACTTACGTATGCATCGTCACTAATAAAAATGTAACTATAGTGTTATACACGATGGCATTCGTCTTCCAACACCGGAGCCAGTAGCGGCCTTCTGTAGAGCCTGGTCAGTAGACCAGTACAATATCGTATTACTTACGTATGCATTGTCACTAATAAAAATGTAACTACAGTGTTATACGCGATGCCATTCGTCTTTGAAAACTGATTGGCCAACGCCAGGGCCGGCAGCGGCGTTCTTTAGAGCCTCGTCTCACTACCAGTGTCAGTAGACCAGTACAATATCGTATCACTTATGTATGCATCGTCACTAATAAAAATGTAACTATAGTGTTATACGCGATGGCATTTGTCTTTGAAAACTGATTGGCCAACACCGGAGCCAGCAGTGACCTTCTTTAGAGCCTGGTCAGTAGACCAGTACAATATCGTATTACTTACGTATGCATCGTCACTAGTAAAAATGTAACTACAGTGTTATATACGCGATGGCATTCGTCTTTGAAAACTGATTGGCCAACGCCATGGCCGGCAGCGGCGTTCTTTAGAGCCTCGTCTCACTACCAGTGTCAGTAGACCAGTACAATATCGTATCACTTATGTATGCATCGTCACTAATAAAAATGTAACTATAGTGTTATACGCGATGGCATTTGTCTTTGAAAACTGATTGGCCAACACCGGAGCCAGCAGTGACCTTCTTTAGAGCCTGGTCAGTAGACCAGTACAATATCGTATTACTTACGTATGCATCGTCACTAGTAAAAATGTAACTACAGTGTTATACACGATGGCATTCGTCTTTGAAAACTGATTGGCCAACGCCATGGCCGGCAGCGGCGTTCTTTGGATCCTCGTCTCACTACCAGTGTCAGACCAGGCAACAACAGCGTCTAAAGTGATACACGTCATCGACGACGCGGGGGGGAGGGGGAGGGTGGTGGCGGCGGCGGGGGGGGTCGCGACCTCGTTCTGGTGGGTCCTGTGGTTGGGCAGCGTCTTCATGGAGAGCGCCATGACCACCAGCGGAGGCGGGGGCCCGTCCTTGAGGGCGGTGAGAAGGCCCGGACGCGGGCAGAGGCACTCCACGCGGCACCAGCTCACAGGCCGAGCGCTCAGCTCTACGCACAAAGGCAAAAGAGGTTCCCCCCCCCCCCCGCATAACCTTGACGGACTGTTGGGGCAAGTGCTGTTGGTGAGGCCTAAGCACAAAGGTAAGGATGTTAGTGAGCTCTACGGAGACACACACACACACCAATCGTTTACACGCTCACCCACACGCTCACTCGCACAAACAGCAACCGCCATTCGCCACTGAGTGGCGGTGACGTCACCACGGCGCTTGTGCCAGGCTATGCGCACTTTGAGGCCACATTAAGTGTCAAACGGCCGCTGGCAGGAGGTTACGGGAGCAATCCCAAGTGCCATTGGTTAACGGACTTTCACACACGGTCATATATACACACACACCCAAGCACACGGTCACACACACACACAGCAATCATACACACACCCACACACACCGCAATCATACACACATACGCAAACACACGGTCATGCACACGCACAGCAATCATACACACACCCACACACACACGCACAGCAATCATACACACACCCACACACACGGTCACACGCACAGCAATCATACACACACCCACACACACGGTCACACGCACAGCAAACATACACACACCCACACACACGGTCACACGCACAGCAATCATACACACTCACACACACGGCAATCATACACACACCCACACACACGGTCACACGCACAGCAATCATGCACACACCCACACACACGGCAATCATACACACACCCACACACACGGTCACACGCACAGCAAACATACACACACCCACACACACGGTCACACGCACAGCAATCATACACACAGCCACACACACGGTCACACGCACAGCAAACATACACACACCCACACACACGGTCGGTCACACGCACAGCAATCATACACACACCCACACACACGGTCACACGCACAGCAATCATACACACACCCACACACACGGTCACACGCACAGCAATCATACACACAGCCACACACACGGTCGGTCACACGCACAGCAATCATACACACACCCACAAATGTAGCCTTTAACAGACTGTTGGGGCCAAGTGCCGAAATAGCGAGCGGCACCTATGAAGGCTACCGGCACGGCACACGAGGGAGTGGGTGTGGCGGCGATGCTTTTACACATCTCTCCAGGCAACTCATTTGAGGCTCAGCCGACCTAGGGGAGGGCCCAGCACCGGTGTTGGTGGCTGTGAGCGTGTGCGAGCGTGTGCGTGCGTGTGTGTGCGTGCGTGCTGTACGCGGGGAGGCCACGTGCACCCAGCAGGGCCCGTGAATTCCGCGCGTCACCAGCAGACGCTCCAGGCTTGAGGTGCTGGAGCCAAACACGCGGGAGAACGTCTGCCCGCACAGGTCCGCCGGCACCGCCGGGTACTGCGCCTGCAACAACGTCGCAACAACAACGTCGCAACAACAACGTCGCAACAACGTCACAACAACAACGTCGCAACAACGACGTCGCAACAACGACGGCCAGGTGGTGCTGGCGGCGGTGGTAGCGCACTTTCAGATGCTATAGACACTGCACTGTACACTTAAATATACACTACGCTACAAACTACTATACACTACACTATACACTTTTAGCTACAAACTACTATACACTACACTATATACAACACTATACACTACTATACACTACTCTTTCAGCTAGCCATCGAACAAAGATGGTTACTGGAATGCGCACTTTCAGATGCTATAGACACTACACTGTACACTTAAATATACACTACACTACAAACTACTATACACTACACTATATACACTACACTATACACTACTATACACTACACTTTTAGCTAGCCATCGAACAAAGATGGTCACTGCAATGCGCACTTTCAGATGCTATAGGCACTACACTGTACACTTAAATATACACTATGCTACAAACTACTATACACTATACTTTTAGCTACAACACTATACACTACTATACACTACACTTTTAGCTAGCCATCGAACAGATGGTCACTGCAATGCGCACTTTCAGATGCTATAGACACTGCACTATACACTTAAATATACACTACACTACAAACTACTATACACTACACTATATACAACACTATACACTACTATACACTACTCATTTAGCTAGCCATCGAACAGATGGTCACTGCAATGTGCACTTTCAGATGCTATAGACACTGCACTATACACTTAAATATACACTACACTACGTTACAAACTACTATACACTACACTTTTAGCGACAGCACTATACACAACTATACACTACACTATATACAACACTATACACTACTATACACTACACTATATACAACACTATACACAACTATACACTACTCTTTTAGCTAGCCATCGAACAGATGGTCACTGCAATGAGCACTTTCAAATGCTATAGACACTACACTATATACTTAAATATACACTACACTACAAACTACTATACACTACACTATATACAACACTATACACTACTATACACTACTCATTTAGCTAGCCATCGAACAGATGGTCACTGCAATGCGCACTTTCAAATGCTATAGACACTACACTATACACTTAAATATACACTACACTACAAACTACTATACACTACACTATATACAACACTATACACTACTATACACTACTCATTTAGCTAGCCATCGAACAAAGATGGTCACTGCAATGCGCACTTTCAGATGCTATAGACACTGCACTATACACTTAAATATACACTACACTACGTTACAAACTACTATACACTACACTATATACAACACTATACACTACTATACACTACTAATTTAGCTAGCCATCGAACAGATGGCCACTGCAATGCGCACTTTCAGATGCTATAGGCACTACACTATACACTTAAATAGACACTACACTACAAACTACTATACACTACACTATATACAACACTATACACTACTATACACTACTCATTTAGCTAGCCATCGAACAGATGGTCACTGCAATGCGCACTTTCAGATGCTATAGACACTACACTATACACTTAAATATACACTACACTACAAACTACTATACACTACACTATATACAACACTATACACTACTATACACTACTCATTTAGCTAGCCATCGAACAGATGGTCACTGCAATGAGCACTTTCAGATGCTATAGACACTGCACTATACACTTAAATATACACTACACTACGTTACAAACTACTATACACTACACTTTTAGCGACAGCACTATACACAACTATACACTACACTATATACAACACTATACACTACTATACACTACACTATATACAACACTATACACAACTATACACTACTCTTTTAGCTAGCCATCGAACAGATGGTCACTGCAATGAGCACTTTCAAATGCTATAGACACTACACTATACACTTAAATATACACTACACTACAAACTACTATACACTACACTATATACAACACTATACACTACTATACACTACTCATTTAGCTAGCCATCGAACAGATGGTCACTGCAATGCGCACTTTCAGATGCTATAGGCACTACACTGTACACTTAAATATACACTACACTACGTTACAAAACTACTATACACTACACTTTTAGCTACAACACTATACACAAACACTATATACACTACACTATACACTACTCTTTTAGCTAGCCATCGGACAAAGATGGTCACTGCAATGCGCACTTTCAGATGCTATAGACACTACACTGTACACTTAAATATACACTACACTACAAACTACTATACACTACACTATATACAACACTATACACTACTCTTTTAGCTAGCCATCGGACAAAGATGGTCACTGCAATGAGCACTTTCAGATGCTATAGACACTGCACTATACACTTAAATATACACTACACTACAAACTACTATACACTACACTATATACAACACTATACACTACTATACACTACTCATTTAGCTAGCCATCGAACAAAGATGGTCACTGCAATGCGCACTTTCAGATGCTATAGACACTGCACTATACACTTAAATATACACTACACTACGTTACAAACTACTATACACTACACTATATACAACACTATACACTACTATACACTACTAATTTAGCTAGCCATCGAACAGATGGTCACTGCAATGCGCACCTTCAGATGCTATAGACACTACACTATACACTTAAATATACACTACACTACAAACTACTATACACTACACTATATACAACACTATACACTACTATACAATACTCATTTAGCTAGCCATCGAACAGATGGTCACTGCAATGCGCACTTTCAGATGCTATAGACACTACACTATACACTTAAATATACACTACACTACAAACTACTATACACTACACTATATACAACACTATACACTACTATACACTACTCATTTAGCTAGCCATCGAACAGATGGTCACTGCAATGCGCACTTTCAAATGCTATAGACACTACACTATACACTTAAATATACACTACACTACAAACTACTATACACTACACTATATACAACACTATACACTACTATACACTACTCATTTAGCTAGCCATCGAACAGATGGTCACTGCAATGCGCACTTTCAGATGCTATAGACACTACACTATACACTTAAATATACACTACACTACAAACTACTATACACTACACTATATACAACACTATACACAACTATACACTACTCATTTAGCTAGCCATCGAACAGATGGCCACTGCATCGCGCGGCGCTTTCAGATACGCTTCTGCGGCCGTCTGGAACGCTCTTCCTTCCGACATTCGGAAGCCACCGGGAGCGATGGCGGCACCCTTTGAAATCATCGTCGTCGTCGTCGTCATCTAAGATTCACCAACTCGACATTTGAAGCTTTCGTGACTGCAAGGATCCACACTCTTTGGATCTACTCGGTAAAAATCACGTGGTGGGTAAAAAAATAAAACAACAACAACAACAATCACGACGTTTCGGCCACAACACAACAACACGACCTGACAAAGGCCGCTTGTGCTGCGGCCGAAACGTCGCGATTTTTGCCGTTTTAAATTTTTTTTTTTTACCTACGTGGTGACTTTACCGAACAGAACCCGAGAGTTTTGATTTAAAGCTTTCGTGACTGCAGTAGTTCATATTCTTAGTTTTTTTTCGGTAAAGTCACCACGTTGAAGGGAAACAACAAAATAATAAAAAATATATATGAAACAATAAAAAAAAATTCTCACGGACGTTTCGACCATAACTCAAACGGTCGTCTTCAGGTGTGTTGGTTCGCATAAATTTATTTTTAAACGGCGCATTTATTTATTTATAAAAACGTTAGCGCCACGCGCAACAATTTGGCAGCTTATTTAGGACTAGTCCATCTATATTCTGAAAAGAGGAGGGGGGAGACGAAATTTTTTTTTAATGTATGCTGTCTGAAAGCCACTGTAAGCGTGAACAATCAATTAAGACCTGAAATGGTTTATCAAATCTTTCCAATGATTGCTAAGATAGAATCCATCTTCTCGGTTGAAATTGTCTCTGTGCTTGTATATGTGGATAGCATCATGAACGAATCTCTCATGGAAGCTAGATGGCTTAAAAATAAATTTATGCAAACCAACACACCTGAAGATGACCGTTTGAGTTATGGTCGAAACGTCGTGAGAATTTTTTTATTGTTATATATATATTTTATTATTTTGTTGTTTCCCCTTCAACGTGGTGACTTTACCGAAAAAACTAAGAATAAGAACCCGAGAGTGTTCGCCAACTCATTCCCGTCAGAACTCGGCTCGCCGGGTTCGCAGCGCAGCGCTAACCGCGGCGCCACCGGCCACCGCCCCCCCGACCGACGAGTCTACTAGGCCCAACGCCCCGGGAGGGAGTCCTTTCAGCGTAAAACTTGCGTCAGCTTCGTCGGCCGCCCGAACGACGGCGACCACTTTGGTGAAGGGTTGGGGGAGTGGGCGGGGGGAGAAGGCCGCCGATCAGCGGGCAACGGCGCGGCATCGGCGAGGGGCGTGAGAGCTCACTGACCAGGTACTTGACCTCCAGGTACTCGGACTGCACGGGGACGTCCTTGCCCTCAAAGGCATAGCACTTCTCCACTTTCTGCGGTGCACAGGCGAACAGGGGGTGGAGTCCGTTATGGGAGGCCGTCGCGACCAACATCATCCACGACGCTGGGTTTATCTCGGGGTTCGATCGCGCAAATGTGTAAATGCGTCGTCACGCCCGCCACCGCCCGGACGCGGGTTTAACGACACATTTGTACGTTAACGCGATCAAGCCCAAAAACAACACGAAGATTCCACCCCACCACCGCCACCACCACCCCCACCACCACCGCCGCCGCCCATCGAAGCCTCAAGAGGTCGTTGGGGTGAGGAGTTGCTTGTTAGTGATGAGGGCCGATGGAAGGCCATCACACGCACACATGAGCGGACGCACACAACAGCAACAACAGCAACAACAACAAGAGTAACAGCCGCCACCAAGTGGCGGTGGTGACATCACCACTGTGCCAGGCCAGGTGCGCCCTTCGAGGTTACGTGAAGTGTCAAAGGCTCGTTGCTGGTGGGAGATCACGTGATAGACCCAGCAGGTGTCATGGGGTTGGCTGACTGAGACGACTGGCAGATGCACCGTCTGTGCACCCTACTGTGCCAGGCTAGGTGCAGGAGGTCACGTGACAGACCCAGCAGGTGCCATGGGGTTGGCTGACTGAGACGACTGGCCGATGCACCGCCTGTCCCCCCTACTGTGCCAGGCTAGGTGCAGGTCACGTGGCAGACCCAGCAGGTGCCATGGGGTTGGCTGACTGAGACGACTGGCAGATGCACCGCCCCTGTCCCCCCTACTGTGCCAGGCTAGGTGCAGGTCACGGGATAGACCCAGCAGGTGTCATGGGGTTGGCTGACTGAGACGACTGGCCGATGCACCGCCTGTCCCCCCTACTGTGCCAGGCTAGGTGCAGGAGGTCACGGGACAGACCCAGCAGGTGCCATGGGGTTGGCTGACTGAGACGACTGGCAGATGCACTGCCTGTCCCCCCTACTGTGCCAGGCTAGGTGCAGGAGGTCACGTGACAGACCCAGCAGGTGCCATGGGGTTGGCTGACTGAGACGACTGGCCGATGCACCCTCTGTGCGCCCGACTGCATCCCGACTTTGTCTTCCACACACACAAAGACAAAGATCCGCCGAATAGCCTTAACAGCCTGTTGGGGCAAGTGCTGTGAGCGAGTAGCAGCAGCACCTATGAAGGCCGGCACGGCACACGAGGGGGTGGGTGGCCGGCACCACGCCCGGCCGCCTTTGTCTCCCCAGTGGCGATGCTTACTACACACCGCCCCAGGTACTCATTTGAGGCCGAGTCGACCTAGGGGAGGGCCCAGGACCGGTTCAGATAATCGTCACTGGTGTATACCTGTCAACCCATACGGTTTACCCGTGTTCTTGTACAGGGACATTGGTTATTTGTTTGTGTTTCTCCCTTGTGATTGGACTTTGTAGGATGAACGTTGAGATTTATAAGGGGCACGGGGTGACCAATAAGGTCTGAATTTGTCTGTAGTAAGGTAGGGCACTGACAAGGTGTTGGCAGGTATGGTATAATAGTGTAGTGTATAGTGTAGTGTATAGTAGTGTAGTGTATAGTAGTGTAGTGTATATTGTAGTGTATAGTAGTGTAGTGTATAGTGTAGTGTATAGTAGTGTATAGTGTAGTGTATAGTGTAGTGTATAGTGTAGTATATAGTGTGTAGTAGTGTAGTGTTTAGTGTAGTGTATAGTGTAGTGTATAGTGTAGTGTATAGTGTAGTGTATAGTAGTGTAGTGTATAGTAGTGTAGTGTATAGTAGTGTAGTGTATAGTAGTGTCGTGTATAATAGTGTAGTGTATAGTGTAGTGTATAGTAGTGTAAAGTGTAGTGTATAGCAGTGTAGTGTATAGTAGTGTATAGTAGTGTAGTGTATAGTAGTGTAGTGTATAGTATAGTTTAGTGTATAGTGTAGTGTATAGTAGTGTAGTGTATAGTAGTGTAGTGAATAGTAGTGTATAGTATAGTTTAGTGTATAGTGTAGTGTATAGTAGTGTACTATATAGTGTAGTGTATAGTAGTGTAGTGTATAGTATAGTGTATAGTAGTGTAGTGTATAGTAGTGCAGTAGATAGTGTAGTGTATAGTGTAGTGTATAGTAGTGTAGTGTATAGTAGTGTATAGTGTAGTGTATAGTGTATAGTAGTGTATAGTAGTGCAGTGTATAGTAGCGCAGTGTATAGTGACTTAGTAAAATAAACGTTGAGATGTATAAAGGCACTGGGTGACCATTAAGGTCTGAATTGTTCTGCAACAAGGCAGGGCGCTGACAAGGGGCGGGGGGGGGTGGTGACAGCTGTGACAGCTGTGACAGCTGTGACAGCTGTGACAGCTGTGACAGCTGTGACAGCTGTGACAGCTGTGACAGCGTCTGCGAGCGGGGAATCGACCTCGGGGGTCCACGCCGGGCTCGTGGCGCAGCGCGCCGACCGCTGCACCGCCACTCCCCACGCGCAGACACGCGGCTCACCCTCGACTTGAACTTCATGATGCGGAACTTGTCAGCGAGCGAGTTGAACTCCTCATACACGTCCTTCATGGAGACGGGCTCGTCGTCCGTGGCGACGCCCGTCTTCACGTCCACGCGCTGAGGGCCGGGGGTGGAGGCAAACGGCGGCGGGTGGGGGAGGGGGGAGTGGTGGTGGTGGTGGTGGTGCGGGTGAATGAACGCGCCGAGAATCAAAATGACGCTTGTTCCTCTCCTTTGGCACGGACCAATTCGCGGCAGGCCAAAGACGTCGACCCCCTCGGCGTCGCGCAGCCAACTCCAAAGTTTGCCGTCCCCGGGAGCCGGAGGGCTCATCGCATCGCCCTCGCCTCCCCGAGGAGCAGTGAAGAGACGGCCGAGGCGGCGGCGCGTCCTTCGGCACAACCAAGAGGGCAGTGGCCAGGGGCCCCGAGGGATCTACTTGGGGTTCGTGTCTCTGACACGCGTGCCAGAGACACGCATTCGGGCGCCAGTCCGTTTTAAAGAGGGTCTACCCCCGTCATCTCGCGCTGGAAGAAACGGCTCTGATTGACCGGCGATCGTGAGCCATGGGCGAGGTGTGGTGTGGGTGGTGTGGGTGGTGATGGGTGGTGATGGGTGGCGTGGGTGGAGTCCTGGTCACACCTTGTCGCGAGGGAGCAGGTACAGGCAGCGCTCGACGTTCTGAACGGTGACGCAGCAGCTCACGTACGACTGAGAGTCCTCCACCAGCACCTTGCCGAACAGGTAAACCACACCTGGACAGACGCACGGAAAACGATCAGAGATCCCTCCCCGTGCATCCTTGACCACAGCGGGTCCCCCCCCAACCGTTTTGGCACCAGGCACCGACGACGTGAGAGACAATTTTTCTCGCCACGTTTTCAAAGAAGCTCTCCAGCGACGTTTGCTCTTGGCTCATCGCGGCCACCAGGGGTTAGAGAAGCTTGCGGGCGCGCCAACACCACGTGGCCGAGACCGAGTGCGCGGCGCGGGGAAAGAGGCGCCGACGGAAGTGGGAAAAATAATAAAATAACGGGGGCCTTTGTCTCCCCGGTTGCGAGCAGAAATTTGAGGTTCAAAATATCCGCCACCGTTTGTTGGCCGCGTGCGGCGAATCGAGCTCGGGGTCTTTGCAGTACGCCAACCAACGCACTTCCGTATACCCGCGGGACACGCAAAGGCAAAAAGGCGTTTATAATTATACACGACCGTGGTTACTCTTTCCCCGACTCTTTGGTTCTTTCGGTAAAGTCACGGGGAGAGAGAGAGAGAGAGAATAATAAAAAATAAAGTGAAGAGTAATATCACGATGCTTCGGTCGTGATATTTCTGCAGTCAAAATTCTTTCTCAATGAACTTTTAAGTCATCGATTCCTCAATCAAATGTTGAGGACCGGCGTCTTTCAGATCTTGAAACTGACACCGAAGCCCAACAGCTGTTACCATAGCCTACAACCTGACACCATAGCCCACCAGCTGTTACCATAGCCTACAACCTGACACCATAGCCTACCAGCTGTTACCATAGCCTACAACCTGACACCATAGCCCACCAGCTGTTACCATAGCCTACAACCTGATACCATAGCCCACCAGCTGTTACCATAGCCTATAACCTGACACCATAGCCCACCAGCTGTTACCATAGCCTACAACCTGACACCATAGCCCACCAGCTGTTACCATAGCCTACAACCTGACACCATAGCCCACCAGCTGTTACCATAGCCTACAACCTGACACCATAGCCCACCAGCTGTTACCAAAGGCCACCAGCTGATACCATAGCCCACCAGCTGTTACCATAGCCTACAACCTGACACCATAGCCCACCAGCTGATACCATAGCCTACAACCTGACACCATAGCCCACCAGCTGTTACCATAGCCTACAACCTGACACCATAGCCCACCAGCTGTTACCATAGCCTACAACCTGACACCATAGCCCACCAGCTGTTACCATAGCCTACAACCTGACACCATAGCCCACCAGCTGTTACTATAGCCTACAACCTGACACCATAGCCCACCAGCTGTTACCATAGCCTACAACCTGACACCATAGCCCACCAGCTGTTACCATAGCCTACAACCTGACACCATAGCCCAACAGCTGTTACCATAGCCTACAACCTGACACCATAGCCCACCAGCTGTTACCATAGCCCACCAACTGATACCATAGCCCACCAGCTGTTACCAAAGGCCACCAGCTGATACCATAGCCCACCAGCTGATACCATAGCCTACAACCTGACACCATAGCCCACCAGCTGTTACCAAAGGCCACCAGCTGACACCACAGCCCACCAGCTGACACCATACCCCACCAGCTGTCACCACAGCCCACCAGCTGTCACCACAGCCCACCAACTGTTACCATACCCCACCAGCTGGCACCATACCCCACCAGCTGGCACCATACCCCACCAGCTGACACCATAGCCCACCAGCTGTTACCATAGCCCACCAGCTGACACCATAGCCCACCAGCTGACACCATAGCCCACCAGCTGTTACCATAGCCCACCAGCTGACACCATAGCCCACCAGCTGACACCATACCCCACCAGCTGGCACCACAGCCCACCAGCTGATACCATACCCCACCAGCTGACACCACAGCCCACCAGCTGACACCACAGCTCACCAGCTGTCACCACAGCCCACAAGCTGACACCATAGCCCACCAGCTGTCACCACAGCCCACCAGCTGTCACCACAGCCCACCAGCTGACACCATAGCCCACCAGCTGACACCACAGCCCACCAGCTGACACCACAGCCCACCAGCTGACACCACAGCCCACCAGCTGACACCATAGCCCACCAGCTGACACCACAGCCCAACAGCTGGTACCATACCCCACCAGCTGACACCATAGCCCACCAGCTGACACCACAGCCCACCAGCTGACACCACAGCCCACCAGCTGACACCATAGCCCACCAGCTGACACCACAGCCCACCAGCTGTTACCATAGCCCACCAGCTGTCACCATAGCCCACAAGCTGACACCACAGCCCACCAGCTGTCACCACAGCCCACCAGCTGTCACCACAGCCCACCAGCTGTCACCACAGCCCACCAGCTGTCACCACAGCCCACCAGCTGACACCATAGCCCACCAGCTGACACCATACCCCACCAGCTGACACCATAGCCCACCAGCTGTTACCATAGCCCAACAACTGACACCATAGCCCACCAGCTTTTACCATAGCCCACCAGCTGACACCACAGCCCACCAGCTGTCACCATAGCCCACCAGCTGACACCACAGCCCACCAGCTGTCACCACAGCCCACCAGCTGACACCACAGCCCACCAGCTGTCACCACAGCCCACCAGCTGTCACCACAGCCCACCAGCTGTCACCATAGCCCACCAGCTGACACCACAGCCCACCAGCTGTCACCACAGCCCACCAGCTGACACCACAGCCCACCAGCTGTCACCATAGCCCACCAGCTGACACCACAGCCCACCAGCTGTCACCATGGTCTTCGACCCGATACCATACCCCACCAGCTGGCACCACAGCCCACCAGCTGTCACCACAGCCCACCAGCTGTCACCACAGCCCACCAGCTGTCACCACAGCCCACCAGCTGTCACCACAGCCCACCAGCTGTCACCACAGCCCACCAGCTGTCACCACAGCCCACCAGCTGTCACCACAGC